TAAACAAAAGAGGAATTTTAAGTATTACATTACTGTTGATAGTCGACTAAAACCATCTGGATATATCCGCAATGAAGTTAAGTAAGAGGTATATCGTTATCTTTTCTCTACTCTTCAAAAATCCTTCATAAATTTTACACAATAACAAACTACTCTTTACAAGATAATTCCTTATATTTTCTTTCTTTATTCCCTTATTATTTATTTCGTATTTTCTTTACGTGTAAAAAATGTTTCTTGTTATTTCTATGCTTCTACATATTTTTATTTTATTTCTAGACTATTGGAAATAAGCCTAACGCGATACTGGCCTACTCTGTTTCATTTAATCAAATAGACGTAGTCAATTGGATTTACTTAAACGGCATAGGTTGTAAGCAAAATAAGGGAAAAAAGGATAGATTTTTCTAATATTATATACTCTCTTTCCGGTTCCATTTTACGTATAATCTTACTTTTTTAATATAGATAATTTACAGTTAACTTTTTAGAAATGTTAGAAGAGTAAGATTAACTTTTTCCTAATAAAGTATCTCTTTGCCTCAACTGCTCTCTCTGTCTCTCTCTCTCTATTCTCCTCCTCCCTCATTTAACTCTTAAGTGTATGGTTATAATTAATCTCAAATATCAAATTATTTTTTTTACTATCTCTTTCCTCCAACTTTTCTCTTAAAAGAGGCAATTTATCAAAGAAAGAGAATAAATGATAAAGATTGATAGGTAAAGACACTGAAGGGAAAGATGAGTTTAAAATAAGGTAATAAATACAAAGCACATCCTCAAGTATTGACTAACAACACACTGCCAATTAATCTTTTGCAACGTACTTTCTCTTTTTTTGAGGTTTTCCCTTATGCATTAACACACTTTAACGTTTATCAAGAACAAACACAATTGACAAACCTCCAAATCTACGGAATCAATGCGTCGGATATTTCTATTCCTTTCACCTTCGCTCTCTGGCTTCTCTTTGATAATATCTCGGGAATGATGAAACATGACCTTCTTTTATGGAAAATCTAATCCCTCCGGATCGAAAAAGTTTTTAACGGTGACGAGCGAAAAGAGGGTAGAACGAAGCACTCGAAGATGGTGAAGAAAGAGGCAAACAGATAAACACGGGGTGGAGAGAGAGGGGAGAGAAGAGACACAGAGGGCGAGTTTTTATACGGGGTGGAAAGTTAAAAAGCTTTTTAAATTCGACAGCTAGGGGGCGTCCCGTCCATATGTTATATATACGCTTTCATAATTTCGTCAGGGGTAGTAAAGTTATTTGCATGCAAATAACTTTTTTTAAAGCTTAAAAAAAAAGATCTTTCCCTCTGCATAAAAAAAACTAAAAGGAAGAAGAAATAAAGTAGAAAAGGGGGGAAATTAAAAAGAACAGAAGGAGAGAAAGAAGAAAAAAAAGAAAGAGAGAGAGAGAGAGAGAAAAAAGAAAGAAACAAAATTTAGTTGTTCTTAATAAAAATTTATGATCCATCCATAAAAATTGATTTATATAAAAAAAATGAAAATAAAAAAAAATAGTAGAAAATATCCTTAGCGGAAAAAAAATCGACTTTTATCAATTGACATTTTAGTTTTTCATTTTGCACTCTAAAAAACGTTCAATATTTATTGATGAGTTTTTTTTTCTTTAATTCGGTTCAAGTGGATGACTTATCCACACTTTTCAATACTAACAAACATATTTATATTGTATATAAATATATATGTACTGTATATATAAGTATGTGCAAATTTTAGGATCTGTAAATTGTGTTTTATGTGTTTACATCGTGTATATACAATTATATATATACAGATTGTATAAATAAACATATATATATATAGTATATATACTGTATATGATATGCATTGGATTGCAGTTGGGACTTACAGATAGTCAACATAAATTGTCAATTAGATAGAATTGGCGTTGTTTTAAATTAAGTTGTTTTATTGTTACACTTTTATAATAGGTGGCGCTTTTGTCTACTTTTTACTTTTTCATCTCTTTTTCTCTGTCTCTTGCTTTTTTTTAACCTTATTTCCAATCACAATGACCCCATACAAATTTAATTTAACAAAAATAATGATTTTTTCCTAACAATTATGAAATTATAGAAGAATATATTTGAAAAACAAGAAACAAAAGGAAAATTAATTAAAGCTAAAGAAAAACAACAAACTTATAGTGATACTATTAGAAATATGAAAGTACAAAGAAAGAATAAAAGAGAGAATTTTTTAATCCTAATTAGTGCTTGCTATTAAGAAGTGAAAATGTTATAAATAAGTAAGGGGAAGGGCATTGAAAAAAATATTCTTGAAATGTTAATTAGATGACTAATTGCAATTATAAATGAAAACACAATATATTTGTATTTCTCTATTATTTCCTACCGTCGAGAAGAATTAAACTTATAATTATTAACAGCAAAATATTAAATCATCTCGTTCCTCTTTATGAGCTGAGATAACTGGAGGCAAATGTATTAGTATAATTTACAAAAACAATAACGACTTTAATGAATATTTCTATCTATTTTCTTCTCTTACCTCTCTTTCTGTCTCTCTCTCTCTTTCTTTCTTTTATCTAACATGAATTTATGATTAGGTTATACAAAACTTTCTCTTTTCGTTTATAAAATATTGACATAACCTTTTTTTAAAAGAAAAATAAATTATTATATGAAAATATTGATTATATATTTTTCAAATAAAAAGAATACAATTGATTTTTCGTCTATCTTATTTTGACGATATTTTGGTCCTTATCTCTTCTAATTAATAACTTATGGCACTACAACCGGAACTTCATTAGCTACTATGAGAAAAGATAAAAAAGAAGATCTAAAAGTAGTTAGAGTCCAGGAAACTACCTCGACAATGGTGAGAAAATATTTGTTTTCTATACGCTGTCTTTCATTCTATATACTGTATATAGTAATATATAAATGAATACCTCTCTTTCTAAAATACCAATAAAGCTATTTACATGATGGCTTATGCAAATTATTAAGTATTTTTATAGAGATTTAAATTACTTTCAACAAAGATAAAGGAAAGTCGACGAATTTATCGCCATCTATTGGAAATACAGTAAAACTTTTATAATTTAACTGAAATACTTTTTTTTTTAGGGGATCTTATAACTATTGACTTTTTAAGCATATTTATAACCTAATAGTTCATACGTCAAACATAAACAATTTATAATAATGTAACGTTAAATAAATCTATAAGAAGATAACATTTCTGCTAGACACAATATCCTTAGTAAAATATAATGAAGAAAATCTCCCAGTAAGCTCTTCGCTTAGTTGTAAACATATTAGTTAAGTAGCATAATTTAACTGTTGAAGACAAATCATAATAACCAACATCTGACATACAATTTCAACTTTCTAGCTGGGATATCTTCGAATAAATGATAATTAGGGATTATGTTTGTTTTTTCCCATTTTTATTTACATTACTACTTCCCCTTTATAATTTAATTTATAGAAACATATTTCAATGAACAAAGAAGCAATAAGAAAAAGTAGTCATGCTTAATTAAAAGAATATAAAATTATCCCGTTTAATATATAAATATCCATATTTTCTTATTTCGCTAACCTACTCACCTCGTTCTAAAGGAGGATACGATTGAATTAGGGAAGGATAAAAATGTTATTGGTTTAATAAAAGATATATTATATTAGAAAAATTTTATATTAATAATCGGCTTTGAATAAGTTTCTGTATAGAGTTATACGATAAGTATTTCTACACAGATGGGTATTAAACTGGTAATTAAATAGGAATCTAATAGGAACTTTTCCTACCATTAGATCATTCATTTGTTTATAATTATTGCTCTTATCTTTAGATGGCATTGGCTTGTCGATGGTTTTTATTTGAGCTGAAGTTCCAGCACTGGAATGCATTTTCTCCGCTTGTCCAATTGAGAGGTAAAGAGAGGAAGAAGAAGTAAAAGAGACAAAGCTCTAAATGGTGAGAAATAAAGATGGATTGTGAGAGAAGCTGAGAGTGATTGGTAAAGAATTCCAAATGAAAATTGCTGCTTCCAAATTATGATTTATCCGAAATAAACCGTTCTTCAAAGAGTTATCTTTAAAGATAAAACAATAAAACAGTAAATATTCCGCAGAAAAAGAAACAAGTGTTCCGCCTGCGACGACTTGCCGTAAAGAACTGCTACAATTCGGCTAACCATATAGGCCTAGCTTCATTTATTATTCTCGTCGTTTGTTTGATGCGACCACTAGCCTTCAGAGAATTTTGCTGGATATTTGTAAGTTCTTATTAAATATGGTATGAAATAGAAATATAATATTTTCCTTAATTTAAATAAAATATGAGATATGCTGTCGGAAAAAATTATTTTTTCCGGTCTCTATCCCCCTAAGTATTTGGAACAGAACAAATTTCGCTATCGGGATCAATTCTATTAAGAACAATTTATTTGTGCAGTCGTTTTTACTATCACGAGGATAGAAAAATCTTAGAAAGAAAAGGGCGAAAGTGAATTCGATAAAAAAAACTAAAGCTTCTTCCCTTTTAATACCGCGTTCGCTTCGTATTTCTCTCTCCCTTTGTCAGTATGCGTCTCTCTTTCTCTCACCTTTCTTTCTCCTTTATCTATATATTTGTTTCTATATTCCTACCAATGGCTTTTTTTCTTAATGCATTCTTTCTTGTCTGAAATAGAACTTTACAATCATCAAATTAACCCTGATAATTCGTTAGGGAACAAAAACTCTTAAGATAAGCGATAGATATACATAAATTTAAATTTTCTATAGTAACGATTCGGTCTGCAATGCTACCATTTATTGTTGAAGCATTTGTTTTTTCCTATCTATCGGAATGTCTTTAAACGATCATAGTACAATTGATTTTATCTGGATCATTACCTCTTATGAAGCCAATCATTCAAATGATAAGACCGCAAACTGATTTTACGATTATTGAATGTTAGTTAACCTATGTATAAGCAAAATCGGAAATGATTTGTAATTAATCCTGTATTAAAACTACAAGAAATCGAAACTAGGAAATTTAATAAAATTTCAAAGAGAGGAGGCTAACCACAAAATCTTTTCACGTGTTTCTATTGTGAGTTCTAAATGAAAATTATGACCCACGTAGGATGAGGGGTTGTCGAGATGAAAGTTTTATCGTCTTTCCTTTTTCTTTCTCTTATCTTCTCAGATAAATCATTCAGTATATATTTTATAATTCACACAGAATAGGTTATAATTAGTTTTCAACTGGTAACTCTACAGGTTCTTTAAATTCCTCAACCTTCTCGCAAGTCCCATTTGGTATGGGTTCTTTAGATTCCTCGACTTGTTCATATGTTCCATTTGGTACAGGTTCAGATATTTCTTTTCCCTCAAATTGTTCAGGTTCTTTAGTAATAGTTTCTTTCTTTTCTTCTTCCTCTTTATTAACCTCAATTTCACCATTAACCATTTCAGTGTTATTTTTTAATTGTCCTTCCTCGCTCTTTACTTCTTTATCGTTGACTTTTTGAGTAATATTTACTGGTGGCTTTGGAGCTGTCATTATAGAATAAGTGTTACTAATTAGACTAGTCAATTACTTGTCCAATTTACCCGTTGGATTGTCAGGAGAATCCCACATTTTTAATTGTAATTTCTTAAAATATTTTGAGGGAATTTTCGAACCTGTGTACACTAATCTTCTCCTTGGGGAGTCTTCGTCATCAGTACGACAGCCTCTTTCATATTCTATCGAAATAACAATAATATAAAAGAACGCCACCTACAGTCCTTAGGGGAAATGCTTTACCATCATTTTGTAGAAAACGCTCCTTCGAAATAGACCGACTAGTCCTGTAAAATTCACTATTGACTGCATTTTCTTTGTTAGATCCCCTCTGTCGTCTTCGTATAAAGCGACTTTCGTCGAATTCAGCGTCCGACACTGTTCCGTCATCCCTAAATCTCCTTTCCCAAGGAGCTTTATTTCTCGTGTAAGCTGTCCTCTCAAACACTACAGGATCATTTTATTTATTAGTCTAGAGATCGCTGTGTTAATAATTAAAAAAATTACCAGGAGTGCTCGCTAATTCTCTATCAACTGACTGTCGAACAGTTCCTCTTCCGCCCTTTAAGAACTCTTTTTCATCAAAATCGTCGGTAGTTACAACAGGATTTATCTCTTCCCTTTGCCAAGGTGCTTTTTCTTTTATTTTTTCTGGTTTGTTGAAACCCGCCGGCTGGTTTTCACCCTCGCCGCTAATAATAGGAACCTTTCCAGCAAGAAAAGCTTTTTCATCGAAATCTGTCTTTAAATGGGGCTTATCTCCTTCTTCCAATGAATTAGATACAGTATTATTATTCGTCTGACTCTCGTAATATTCAATAACTTTTGGATCGACGTTGCCGCCGTGAACAATCGGTATTTTTCCGGCAAGAAACGCTTGTTCATTAAATAATCTTTGCTTCTCAGGAGGTCTCTGTCGACGTCTCCTGGTGCCAGTTGGAGCTGGAATAGATATACAAAGTTCAGAATAAAAATAACAACTATCTAAAGTGGACTCTTCCACCTGTTGTTCCATTTCATATATATTTTTCCATTTTTTTTTATCTCGGTAATAATACTGTGTGTTATATTTATTTATATAGACTAACCTGGAGGCTGTTCTATCGTCGGCTGTGCAAAATGATTCGTCCCAGCTCCGGTTTTCGCTGCATGTAACAGTTTTTCGCTAATTACGAATATTTATACAGACTGAAATACTCTCTTTTATTTTCTAAATCCTTTTTTCTCTCTACTATATAATTTTCTACAATTATTCATATTTTTTTTATCTAACATTAGCATCAATATCAATTTGTTATCACTGTTTTTCTTTTATCACCATAGTAATATCTCATCATTCGTGTCTTCTCTCTTCCAAAAAGAATTTTGAGAAGAGAGAAGATTTAAAAGAGAGAAAAATTATAACACATCAAAAAATTAAATAAATGAAGCACAATCTAACCACAACGGAACACACAAACACGCAATAAAGGCAATATCAACTAAAATAATTCTTATTCATTCCTTATCTTTCACTATCTTGTTTCTTATTTTTTTAAGCAAAAAATTAAATAGCCAAAAAGTTCAAAACAAAAAAGAAAATAGTAAAAGATGGAGAGGATGAAAAAAATCAGACAATAAGGATATTTTAGGTATCAGAAAGAGGATGTTCAACAGGAATTTTGGACGAGGTAAAAGTCACAACAGGATTGTTTTTTTTTTTGTTTAAACTATTTTCTTTAATCCTAGAAATCCGTAACCCCTGGAAATTCCTCGAATATGTATGGTTCGTCACTTTGAGAACCCAGTCGTAGAACGATTTTAGACCGAGAAGCGTTATTTTCTAATCGCACTCCACACAAGACTGAAAATTCAGTCAATGACTAGTTTACGAAAGAAGTTGCATGCTTTTAACCCGCAATTAATTAATATTTGTTTTTTTTTTAATAAAGTTTAAGAAGTAAGATAAAGGAAAAAGAAAATAAGTGTATTATATCAGTGCATTAATCAACTCACCGTCTTCACCAACTTGATTCATTGGTTGATTTGTAGGTTGATTTATAGGTTGACTTGTAGGTAGATTTGTAGTTAGCTGACTTTCAACTTGAACGTTTGTGTTACTCTCTAATTCGTGCTTTGGGTAACTTTGTTGCAAGATTTTAAAGGATCTAGACGGGATATGCCCACCGCTGTAAACTGTTGGCTCATACTGAGGGATATTCTCTTCTTCATCGTGTTTTTTCACATTTTTTCTATACGTTGGTGTAGAATCTGTTTTGATTCAGTAGTAGATTAAGTTTATTGGACCATTATCTCATAGTTTATCTCACCGCTAACGTCGTCTTCTGTACCAGTAATAGATTGCAAGATTTTGAAGGATCTCGAAGGTATATTACCTCCTGTATAGCGGTCGTGGCTCCTATCTAAATAACATCAAATTTATTCTACTAAATCTCACATCTCATTTAATCAACAATGCTTACAAGCGAACAAAGAGCTTTCATCAACTTCTCCTCGTGGTTCTTCCTTTCTACTGCCGGAGTTTAATCCAGTAAATCGAAGTTCATCATCCGGCGCAGGCTCTCTTGGCGATCTCTCATAGGAGTGCTGACGATTGGGACGATTGTTAATATTTTTCTTCGGTTCTTCTAATCCATGAATCATTTTGAAAACTGGTGATTTTTCACTGTCACTGGGAGAATTTTTCGTCCTTTTGTCAAAGAATTAAAATTGAATATTATATGTAAAATCTTGACAATAGATAATACGTACCCTGGTAAACCTTGAAGGTTATTATCTGTTTGAGGTACACTGGTATTATTGGTATTATTATCATCATCAAAAGCTGGTAAATTTAGAATATTTTGATATCTCGGTATTGTAGAACCTCTGTAATTGAAATTCGATAAATTCACTTATTTTTTAATTAAAAGTGATTATATACTAATACAAACCTTTTACGAACTTTTTCCCTTTGTTGTTTAATGACATCCAAATCAGGAGCATATGACCATGGTTTCTTGTCAGATCCTTTACTTGCAGCCATATTTAAAATTGCATCAGGTATTTTGTGTTGAACTCTATTGTCCGAGATGGGACTCTTAGGTTTATCTTTTGGTTTTTCCAGCTCAGTCATATTCGTCATTACAGGTTTAGGAAGAGAACCGAATTTTTGTATGTTTTCCAATTGCTGTTCAAGTCTGGTATTAGTTATAGCAGGCGCCTGAAACACAAAAAAGAGATTAACAACTATATTGACAATCCTCCTGAAACAAAGTCTTTTTTTATCGTCTATAATAGGTTTACCTGAGGAATAGAATGTAGAGGAGGAGGAACTGGAGGAGGAGCGGGAGGAGGAGCGGGAGGAGGATTAGTTGATAAAACTGCTGGAGGTGGGACAGATACAGACGTATTTGGTACATAGGGGGCAGAAAGAGGTGGCGAGAAGCAATGCCGAACCTCTGAATTATCAGATAATTCGCTTGTTGACGATGACACTGCAGCCTGATTAAATCCAAACGGCTTCGGCTTAGCGTTGAAGTCAGACGATGTCTGACGAAGATAACGGGGAGATCCCCCAAAGGGAGCTTGCATTTGATTTGTACCGTAGTTAAGTTGATTAGGTGTAGAAGGTGGAGATTGAATCGAGCTCACTGGAGAAAAGGTTCTATTTTGTTGAATAGGTGCTCCATACTGATTGTAATGACTGGGAGGATTTTCTGTCACCGGTGATATGGGCGCTTGTACACTTCTAATTGGCGAGTAAGTTCTATCGCTTGTCTGGCTCATTCCTTGCTGGTTAGATATTTCGCTACTAGGAGAAAAAGTTCCACTTGACTGATACGACGGATATCGGTTGTAAGCTGGTTGCTCGTAGCGTTGATTTTGAGGAGTAGGTGAACTGTAACCTCCAGTATAGTTCTGACCGCCGTAGCAGTCACTAGATTGATTATATTGCGAAGAATAGTAAGAGTTTTGATAAGGATCCACTTGCTCTTGGGGAGAATAGTAGGCTTGTTGAAAGTTTTGCTGTTCGTATGGTTGATATTGCTGCTGCGGCTGCTGCTGGTAGTATTGTTGTTGTGGGTGATATTGTTGGCCAGATTGTCCCGTTCTGCTTTTTTTAAAGTATAGGCATAAAAAAGAGTATAATTTACATACGTTGATTAAAAATAGAATACAACCTGATAACGTTTAACTGCAGTAAATTTCCAGAGCATTTTATCAACTCTTGCGTTTCATTCAGATTTAAATTAGCCGTGTCATAGCTGCCAATTTTTGTAATAATATCACCAACCGATAGTCCCGTCCCAGCTATACTACCCACGGTTACCTATTATTAAGTTGTAGAACGAAAACAGTCGATTTTTAATTAAGAAAACAAACGAATAAACAAACTTAACGAAAAAATTGTTTATTTACCATTTATACTCAATAATCAATCACTTACCCTTTGAACTATTATTGGACATTGGTAATCTCTTCCTCCTTTAAGCCGGAAACCCCAAGGAACGTCGGAAGAAGGCCGTCGCAGGCAGATTGTTTCACTCATGCTAAACTCAGCAAAATTTTCTCGACCGACGTATTTTTAGCCGTTGCATTGCAGACTGGTAAATGCCTACTTCGCTGCCTGCGTGTATTGTAGAGGGTATAGCGTTCCGCTAGGTAGGCTGAAAAAGAACATAAAATTTTACCGCACCTCCCCCTGCCCTCTCCCACTTTTTTTTGCATACGAAAGCTAAAGGCCACGAAAGGATATCAGTTTTTAGTCTCTCGTAGACTTTAGTTATAAGTCCATGTCGTTTTCCTACCTCAGCTCAATTCTAATAAAACCTGAACATGGCCTAACCTAACCAGGGTAACAAGCATCTGAAGAATTTTCTTCTGCTGTTATATACCCTGACGCTGCAGCAATATGTTACGCAGAGATATGTTGATAATCTCGCCGAGTGTTGTTGTAAAGCAGTTGACCGAGTTAAATACCTATGATTTTTATATACTAGAGGTATCGAAGAAAAAATGAAAGAAGGGGAGGGAAACTATCTTACAAAATATGAAAAGTCATCTAAAAAGTTTCTTTCTGAAAATTTGATATTAGTAGGTGTCGTTAGTGTTTTTCCAGCTTATTTCTGAATATCTTCCCTCCTTTCTAAATCTTTCTCCCCTCCACTCTCTCTCCATCTCTATCTATCTCTTTCTCTTCTCTATAAATATTTATTTATGAATTATGTAGCGTTTATGTTCTAAAGTGTAAACTTGGAAAAATATATCATATTGAAACGTTTAAGCGAAATATTTCGATCAGTTCAAAATTACAAAAAAAAGATCGATAGTATAAAAAAAAATTAAATGAATTAAAAGGAAAATTACATGATTACCGGATCTTTTATAAAAATATTTAAAAAGGCAATCTCTCTGCAGGTTATGTTTCATTTTGCTGCTTTTTCTTTTACCTTTCTAAAAATACAGTATAAGGTAAATTAATATTTAAAAATATGACTGGAATGAAATCATTTTTTAGTGAAACTGTTTAGATTTTAAATAGCTCACTAGCGAATTTCAAATATAATATAGACCGCTAGATGGAGTAGTGTAAATAAAAAAGAAAGTATTAGATAAACCAAAAATACCCGTCAGGAAAGAGAAGCCTCGCTTTTAGACAACTATGCGGCCGTGAGCTGCAAACAACCCTCAGTTCCAGCAAAAAGTAACTACTATGGCGTCTTCGGAATTCCAAGTCCGTCTCTACAGAGATTCTTTTTCGACGCCCTGGGGTTTTCGGTTACAGGGTGGAAAGGATTTTAAGACACCCTTAACAATACAGAGGGTGAAGACATTTTTTCATAATCTTTCCATTATTTTCGAGCTCTTTAGTCAAGAATTCCGAAGGTCATTGACTCACTAAGGTGTCTATTCAACAGGTTTTTGTTGGTAGTCCTGCAGAAGGAGAACTTCATAGAGGGGACATTATCAATGCTATAGAAAACTATGATGCATCCCATATGACCCATAAACAAGCCCAGGACGTAATTAAAGGTTGCGGAGGAAGTTGCAGTTTAAGAATAAAAAGAGGGTATGTATATATGCATTAGTATACAAACATGTTTAAAATATTTGTAAAATTGTGTGTAGAAACACTATAGTCCTAGCAAACTCAATATTTTTTTATAACCGCCAAAAAACGAAAAAGAGAGAGAGAAAAATAAGAGAGAATGGTGCAGTACGAACGCCTAAAAGTGTATACTGCTGTCCGACTAGGTCAATAATCTCACGTTTCGCAAGTTTAAAATAATACGACGTCTAACAAGATATTGTTACTCAAGGACAAAAAGGATATCGTAGATAAGCATCATACCTTGATTTAAAAGAAAAAACAAGGGTTTTCTATTAATAGAAAGGAAACTGTTAGAAAATATTGCTGGTTGTATAAAATGTTTTCCTCCCTCACAATTCTTATTCTAGATAGTCTGTCACGTGATGATTTTATACATAAACTTTCCTCGAATTCGACTGGTTTACAGACGTATATTTCTATAATTTTTTTACTTTACAGCGGATCTCAGTACAACGCAGCACCAACTATGCAGCCCTTTACCGGTTATACTCAACCAGTTCAGCCAGCACAGGTAATTTGACAAGGACTTATCTTAAGAGAAATGCGACAGTATTATAAACAATAACATATTTCAAAAATTAAAAAAACACTTGATTTAGGGAAATAATCTCGTATATATATAGCTCTACAGACCGCAACCTTTCTGCCCACCGCAGAAGACACCAACAAATTCGGCACCATCTTTTGGAGTAGACTATTCTCAGCCAAGAAAGCCGGATAGTATGTTGACACAGGTTAAAAGAAGCTTGGATAACGCTCTTTTTTCAGCTAACTACATTGGTGAGATAGCGCAACAAGGTGATGAAGATTACAATCATAAACCAGTTTCGGAAATAAAAAGAATGTTCACCAACGCTCCAGTAAGAAATAATATGGACTTTTCGCAGAATAGAGGTAAGTTCATTTTGTAGGTCCAGTTTTTCTCCTCACTCTCCTTTAATTCAACCTTTAATATCTTTTTCTTCTTTCAAATTATGATTCATAAAAAATATCTATTTATAATTTATCTACTTTTTCCGTTTAGGCATGCTTTTAACTGGTAAACCAAAAATCCACACTTGTAATGTATCATATTTTAATAATAGATTCGATACTCTTACTTAATTAGTTTTTAATTAAACGAGGAATTCTGTTCTACTGTATATTGCATACCATTGTGTTTATACAGTAAAACTTTCGGGAGTGTGAGAGTTTTTCTATTGGTGCTCTTTTTTTAGACGAATATAAATTTACTGACACTAACTGAAATTAACTTAGTTTTATTTTAGAAGAAGACGTATTAATTCACGACAAGTATAAGTAAGGAATAGGATACAAATTTATATTATTAATCCATTAAAGTCACTAACCATCCCGAACCCCTCCGACAGACCGGAATTTTCGAGCATCCAGTGTCCCTCCTGGCCAATACACAACCCGAACCTGGCGAAAACCAGATCCGTCACATTGGGCCTCAATTCCTTCAGGTTTAAAGGAACCAGGATGGACCCCCAATTCTTCTAGACCTAAACCACAACAATCTTGGGCCCCGATTAGAGCGCCTAACACCAACGCTCCTATACCTGTAAACAGGGCGCCTATGGAAGTGAACCGTTTCGAGCAACAAAGCAGTGCACCTCCTGCTTGGATGGGTACCCTTAAAAATTCTGGTGAGTTACACAATTTAATCTTTTGATTAGATACCAGATGTTTATTTCTATGAATAATTTTATCAGGAACTTTGAAACCATGGGAAGTTAATAGATCTAATGAAATTTCTGGACAGCAACCGCCCGCCCAAAGGGTTAATTTCAAATCTGTTTCGCCAAATCCGGATGTGCAGGCAGTTCATCAACCTCGCGTTCAAAATATCCATCATGGATTTGATGGACCACAATATCAGCAAGTTGCTGATCAGAATTCTGACACTGCTCAAGTCAAACACTTGCAGTATAACTCTCCTTTAGCTCTTTACTCGAGAGAGAATGCTAAAGAAGCATTGGTAAGCCAAACTACTGGAAGACCTGGACAAGGAACTCTACAGTATGATTCTTTTTATTGCAAAAATATTTTCCCTAACCTGAATTCCAAATTACAGAGTAACGGGCGGCCCCGGTTCTAAAAATTTTAATATGCAAGATTCTGAGACATATAGGTTGATTCAAGAATCTGAAAATCGTAGGGCTCCACAAGCTTATAATCAGCGTAATGTCAATCAGTCTCCTGCAAAACCTCAATTCGCTGGAGCTTCCGATTTCTAGTGAATTTTTTTTGCCAGAACCTAACCTTTCAAATAACGAATGCAATTAGTTCATTTGAATTTTGGAGGAGGCATCAGAAGATCCTGCAAACTAGTTTGATTGAATTGATACCCATATTGACCCTTATTCGTGTGTAGTTTATCCTTATCGGAGGAACAGAGTCTCAGTTATGTTGATTATTTTACTATTCTTTTCTTTTCTCCTCTATGATAATTAGTATTTATTTTCTTTTTCTATTTTCTCACTGTTTTCCTTAATGTTCTCGAAACCACAAGTGCCAAAATGAATTGTACAGGATTTTTGCTGTGGAAATTTCGTCTGCTGTGATTAATTGATGGTGAAATTAAAATTTAACATTTTAAACGCATCTCTTGAATTGAAGTGTTTAAAATGTAAATAGAACAAAAACTTTGGACAATGCTTAAATAAATTATCCCATCATATGCTTGTCGATTGTAGCGTTTTCCTTAAATCAAAGAGAAGGGCAAAGAAATGCGTATGTCAGCGGTTAACTAAAATAGCTCTGGTTTATCTCATAGCTGTCTAGTCTACTTTTTTTTAGTCGGCAGCTTTTTTCTTTGCTTACGGCTAGTTTGATAAAGTTCATCCCATAATGAGTGCGAAAGAGCTGTTATCATTTATCGCTCTAATATTTCTGATCATGAAACAAGACTCTCTTCTTAGCCTACCATACAGGATCTCTTAACGTCTTTCTTATCTATTCAAAAATTTACTTGTATTTAAAAATAATAACTGTTTTAGTAATAAAGAATAGTTCCAACAATAAGAAACATTAAGTATAATTATTATGTTTCTTTTGACAAAAGCCATTTTGATAACTCGATCTTTGTATTGAACAAAAAGATCAAATCTCATGATTGTTTTATAGATCGACTTTAAATTCTATATAAACATAGATATATTTCTTACTTTTTAGCCATATGTTCACATATATTTAAACGTAATAAAAGGTAAATGAACTTAAACAACAAGTCTATATGTAATATATCTTCCTGCCGTTTCTGACGGACGAATAATTTTAACAACCTAAAAAATTAGAAGGATTGATTAAGTATTTTATAAAAGAACTCTAAGTTGCACTGACCTGTCCTCGTTTTAAACCAAAATATCTCGCAACAGGATCTCCCTGCTGAATTCTGGGTAACTGAGACTCTTTCAATTTACTAAAATAAGCAAAGAAAGTTTTAATAATCAATCATAATTGGAGCGTAGAAGCTTACTATCTATCCAACAATTCTTTTTTTTCATCTGGAGTCATCAACACGTGCTCGGGAACCAACTGAAAAAGATGAAAGAAATTTTTAAGATGGATATCTTAAAAAAGCGATTAAAGAAATCTAACTTGATGCTCTGTTATATTCACTAAAAGCTCAGTTTCCATAAATTGCTCCATAATGTACTTTGGTGCGAGATCAACTAAAGACTGAAATAAAGTGATAAAAGTATCCATTTAGTAAAATATCAAAGATATTATAAGAGAAGCAAAACCAACTTGCTTAGCAGAGGGGGTCATGCCTAACTGAACTATTATAATTGCTCTAGAAATATTCTCCTGTTGCATTCTTTGACAGTAGGTTTTGATGGTTTTTATTCCAACTTTAGGTTCTTCAGGAAAGAACACGAATAATTGATCTGTTGGATCATCATTGTGAGCGACCAGAATGATTAAGTCGCTTCGGTTCGGCCTCCTCTGACTGAAAATAACGAATAGAGAAAATTAGAGATAAGTAAATCAGAAAATATTGCACTTTACTTTGCGTTATTGCAAAATGTACCCTTAAAGTCGTCAAACGTCATATCCAATTCATCTTGAGTGACGAGATAGCCTCGATCATGGCAAAGCTATTAAAAATTCAGTTAAATTTGTCGTATTGTAAAAATAAAATAAGAGTGTTATCTATTAAACTTTATACCTGCATTACAGTCTTTCTGATCCGCCATAAATTATAAGTTTCTTGCTCCTCATCCATAACTTCGGTTATTTTCGCTCAATGCCGCCGGAAGTAGAACACGCTTAACAGAGCTTCCTGTTCTATTGCATAATTGTTCAGCAACCAATAATAATGCTTGTGTATGGATAGTAAGAATTTCATTGGTTAGAACATTTGCCAGAGCCTGGCTCCATCTACGGGATATTTCCCTAAAAAAGCCTACAAAATGTTATTTACAAATTTCCTATTCAATGTAGCAATAGTAAATTGTATAGGACAATTGTATTCAGAAGTTATTGAGTAAATATCATTTCCAATAAAACTATAAAACTTAATAATTAGGTCTAAATTGGAGACTAATATTTATTAAAAAAATTTCGATTATTAAAAGAAATCGAATCTCCTATTATTATCACGTCTTTAGTAAATATACCTGAAAGTTAAAATTCAATTGACAAAGCTTATAACAGTGACTGCCTACTGTGATTATTAAAGCAATGTACGTTATTTGGTTCTCAGCAGGGTTCTGAAATAGGTCAGATAGGAGTCTGTTAGAGTAACTATTTGAGTGTTCCGCCGAGTAAAGTAAAAGAGATTTGAATAACCCCAAATTATCAAAGCACGTACTTGAGTAAGAAATCTTTGTTTAATTTTGCCGAAAAGAGTTTAATTAGAGCGAACCCAACGTGTGGTCTCCATCAGTTAGATTTTGAGTTGATTTACGTAACGAAAGTTTAACGCTTTTTATATTTATAAAAGTCAATTCAAACGCAGGTTAAGTTTATATTAAACAGAAAACTGTATTATTACAGCACACAACGGCCGTTTAAGCACAAAATAAAGACTAGAGCATGATTTACGAAAAGTTGCAGACGTAAAGAAAACGCGGAGGGGAAGTTCTGAACACTTGAAAATGACAGAAGACGACCAAGTCACATATTCTTGACCGAGTTACCATCAGATGGCGTTGGTGACGGTATGGAAGAGGTTGTGGAAGACATTCCGTCACTGTTCAACGTATCGTTAATGATATGTAAACCATTCTTTAACATATCTGGATCAAAGTCCGGATGCCGGCTGGCGTGTTTTTTCAAATGATCCGACCTCATAAATTTTTTCTCACACAGAGGACATTGGAACCGCTTTTCTCCCGTATGCGTTCGGTAATGTCTTGCTAACTCGTCAGAACGAGCAAACTTCTTTACGCACTCTGGCCAACTGCATTCAAACGGTCTCTCACCTGTTAGGGAAAATTTTACATTTAAATGGTTTTATTTACATGTATTTGTAAGGATTTCGACAGGGATCAAGATATGGGATAAGCCAACAACCGGTTAAAATGGGAAATCTTTGTCTATAATTTAACACATAAGTTGAATTATTATCACGTGATAAGAGAGTGGCATATAGTATTGTTCAAATATCGATCAAACTCATCGAAGGAGTTAAATACCAGATCTGCTCGTTATAAGAGAAGTTCCCGGAGGGCGTCAAGTCAAAGATAATCACTAACAGCCTCTTCTCACTACACTTCTATTTGCTTTGGCAAGAGCCGCTTATTTATTTTTAACCGTTCGTCATTTATAATTCAATTTTAGAAAATTATCTACAATTTCGCGCCAACAAAGAAGACGGGGGCTTGTCCCGGCACGCGACAGGTGTGACAGGTGCAAAAGAGGACAATATTCGGCAGCAGGTGCTTTTTTCGTTTTTTTCAAAAAAAAAGTAGGTGTGACGGTTTTCAGTCAAAATTTATGCAAGCGTCTAAGACCGATGGTATTTTTTAACAGCTTTGCCTGCTCGCCCGCCTGCCTGCTTGCCTGCCTGCCTGCTCACTAGCTTCGTCGGTTGCTAGTTCGCTTGTAAGCTTTTACATAAAAAAAAATCTTTTGGGTTTCATTTGATTCCAACAGAACAATCGTAAGAAGTGTTCTTGTCTAATTAATAACAAATATTAGAGCTATACACGTTCTATCTGTTCGTTAGAGAAGCAGTTATCGATTCATAGGCCTCTTAATCATTCCATTATAATGGATCTTAATCAATTGTTAATAATACGCATACGCTATAATATATGTAAAAAAATATCAGTAATATACGTTTTCTCTAAGATGTACCAAGGAACTGTTTCGTTTTCTAAGCTCTTAGCCACGTACTGACTGATTTTGTACGATTCTCAACGTGTTTATGTCGATAGGAAATTATCTATAAATGCTTTACTACATATACTTGTATTTTAATAAATAAGCTTGTGTGTTTTACTATTTAACACAAAAAGTTGGGCCCCTTAGTTAAATACTTATTTTTACGTCAATATATCGAACAGATCTTTACTACATTAGTTTCTATAGAAACAAACGAGATTTCTAATTATATCTATTTTGCCTGTGACCTCGGTAGATTATTGTAAACGTCTGTGTGTCCTTACTAGAATAGGTCAAGATACTAGTAGAAAAGATGGGCGTTACCTGTATGCGTTCGTTGGTGAGCTTTCAAGTGCGAACTCTTTCCGTACACTTTTCCACAAAACTGATACGGGCAAGCATGTGTCTTTTTTGCGTTCTTTCTTCGTGCATTTGAACTTGAAGATTTTCGTTTTCTTTCTCTTAATTTTTTCTCTTTTGGTTCTTCTTGTTTATACTTTGTGAGATCAGTAAGTATTCGGGCAATCTGGAAAACAGCTTGATCCGAATCGGAAGCAGTAGGCGGATAACAGTTTGTTATTGGTAAACTACTAGGCCTAGCCGGCCTAGAATTCGCCAGTCCTAATAAACATTCGGCGGCGTTCTTCATTTCTTGATCAGGCTCGAATTCCATTTTTCCCGCTCTTCTTCGCATTACGTCTTTCTTCTGAAGTCAGCGGAAATTTGACAATTGATCGTTCGATCTCGAATCGATCTAAAGTAATTATTCGAACACGGTATTCCTTTCAGAGTCTCCCTAAGCTTCTTCGATAAAAGGCGCTACTGAAAGCAACAGATGGCTTGGCAGGCTGCCTATCTTCTTCAAAGTGGAGACCACGTTGTCAAATTTGACCTTCACCCTTCTCTCGTAGCTGATTCGACGGAGCGACACCTGGCGTATGATCGGTTTCTTTAATCTTTTCAAAAATGGCTCTTACGTCACAAAGCGTGTACGCCATTTTTTTATGCACGGTCTTCTAAAACTATATTATTTATCTACGTAGTCTTATAGGCCTATGTACTATTATTTTGCCAATAACATTAAGCTATGGGATTGAGCAATGAGGGGACCGCCCGCTTCTTTATATCATTATTAATTTTTCATTCGAAATGTAATAGTTCGGTTGTATTACACAAGAAAATACGCCACTCCCATTACTCAGACTTTGTATATATTTGACTTTATAGCCGATCCTTCGAAACGATCAGATATGCCTTTTCTGAATATCGGATTGCCCAACTTGTTTCGTTAATGCATTCCCAGTCTTCTTTCACCTAATTGTTGAAAATACGTTGGTGTTGAATTTATATGAGCGGCCTCAAGCAAATTGTACAAAATGATGTAAACCTACAAATTAAACGATTAGATATCGTTGTTGTCGAATCACTTTAAATATAATATTTATTTAAAAAAAAAGGCCAAAGTAACATTTATAGAAATAACTGGTTAAATTTTCTTCGTTATCACCAGCATCAAAATCACCTTCTCTTTAAATTGTAAATAAGAAGTAATTATTATCTCTGCGTATTTTCATTATATCAATTTCTTCTTTTTACTATCAATTCAACTTTTGGATTTGGAGTTATAAGTAGTTGCGACGCTTTGCGCACTTTATAGCCTGGTGGCCTTTCGAAAATGAAGTTTTGTATAAGCAAAGCTAAAATTAGACGACTTTCAACTTTTGCCAATTGATGTCCTAGACATTTGTGAGCACCGGTACCAAAGGGCAAAAATTGATACATATACTTATCCATTGTGGTATTTAGGAATCTCTCTGGTTTAAATTCATCAGGATCCTCCCAAACATGAGGATTCCTGCATTAAAAATTTTTTAAACTTACATTTTTTAAATAAATAAATCAGTAGCGTTTCTACCTCATAGCAGCACCAAGATGAGCAACAACAACTGTTCCTTCAGGTATATCATAGCCATTTATCTTAGCTCCTCTTTGGGCTTTTTTTAAGACAGAGCTCACAATGGGTATTAATCTATAGAACAAACTACATTTAATATTAACGTCTCTTCAAAATATTTACTGCAGTATATTTTACGAAAGTATACTGTATAGAGATATACAATATATATATATATATATATATGTAAATAATATATATATATAGTATATTGTATACAAATAACTACATTCTGATGGAAGCGCCATCTAACTACTAAGTTGAATTAAAAATAAGTCATGCACCACCCACTCTTAATAAACAAAAGCTTAAGACAGAAAGCACGGGTAGGCATGTTACACGATTGAAAAATCTGCAAAGGTAATATTTCTTTCATATGTTTTTAAATTAAATTTACGAGAACATGCCATACTCTTTTATCTCAAGTAACACCATCGAAAAACTGACCTTTGGCTCTCTTTAAAAACTGCATCTAGATAAACAAGCTTATCCAAATTGCTCCATGTCCAACAACCATCGTGAACCATGACCTCAGCTACCTCTTGAGCTATTTTTTCTTGAATATCCGGTTTTTCGGACAAGATATGTAAACACCAAGTGATTGCTGTCGATGTTGTCTGGAATCCTTAAATATTGAATGTTTTAAGCTTAATATAACCGTAAGATTCCTTGTTCTGTTTACCTGCAAATATAATTGTACTGATTAGTCCCGCTACTTGATCTTCAGTTAGTGGTTTAGATGAATCAGCTTCAAGGAACAGTCTTCCGACCAAATCTTTTTTCATTTCTTCTTTACCCTGATCAGTCATCAGTTTTGCTCTTTTATCTTCCATCAATTTTTTGACAAAATCATTTGCAAATTTTATGTTTTTCGCTAAGGCTCTATTTGATTTCGTTGGGAGCCAACCTAATATTGGAATCGTTTGAGTAAAACTGGAATAATATCGCATCATATTACTTATTTTTTACATGTTTATTTAAATGAATAGTATGCCGACCTTACAATTGGCGATAAGGATAGTGCAGACATAAGAGCTGTTACAATATTCTGACTTGAATCTTCCATTTTTGGAAATTCACCAAATGCATATCGACAAATGAATTCTTTTACCTAATATTAGAATTTTATATTAAAAATAACCATGTAGACAATGCTTCTTGATAAAACTATACTAACGCAATCAGTCACCATGTTTTGAATTGGTAGTAATTTTTCTGTTACTCCTTTTAATTGATCTTCTACGGAATTTTTAAGATCTTGGGCTTGTTCCAAAAATATATCGAAGGAAGCATTTAAAGACATTTGTGTAAAGTGTGGATTAACCAGCTTCCTTTGATAGCTATGCTCGGCGCCATCGTTTGTCAATAGTACGATATTAAGGCGACTTTTGAGAAGGGAAAAAAGAGAAGTTATCTAAATAGTTTTATCAACTTAAGTTGCGTAAGGTTAACTAAATATTCTTATTTGAAAACGTTATGTTTGTGCAGCTACAGTTTATATAGTACATAAAAAATATCTTATTATCTCTTTCTAACGCACACACATATACACACAGGCTTCTCTCCCTTACCTGCCAATTCCAAGTTGGATGTCTCGCAGAAATTTTTCGTCTTCTTTCACTAAAATAGTACGAAGACCTTGAGGATCTGCTACAAGGATTCTATGTTCGCCAAGTAAATGACGGTAATGTACAATACCCCCATACTTTCGAACCCAATTGATTGATGTTTCTCCAGCTTCCGAACCACTTCCTTCCATTGCATTTGCGACATTTCCAAATATAAAATTTTTTATTCCAAATGGCGGTCCAGGAATCTAATTGACGATGGTGTTAATATTAAAAATTAAATGTTCTCAACTATTGAGTCCTTACTTTATTTAAGGGACTGAAGAACGGCTTGATCAAAATTTTATACAGAACATAAATAGTTCCGCTGGTGCCTGCCACAATTAAAATCTTTTTAGTTGCCGTCTTGTCATTTGTCCAGTTCTCAAATGAATTTTTAAATGTTGAACTTGCAGAAACTATCCAGTCCATTCTCAACCAGGTAATATTTTTTTTATATGGCTAAGCAATTAACCGGAAAAAATAGCAATTTTAATATATTTTTAACCGAAAGAGCTTATATAACAGCTCTTTACCCTTATCATCAACTGATAGGTCGTAGTTATATGAGACTTTGGGTATCCGAGTTACTGACCCCGATGTCATACACAAGTAATTCCGGCAGATGTCAGCACTACCCTAGACGAACTATTTTAGCCAGCTCTCCTATATTATATACCGAGTAGTAACTATGTATTAATACGCATTTTACGCACTTTCGAGCGTTTTGGAACTTTTAAATTGATTAATGCGTTTATTTAGCTTTTAACTTCTTGTTGTCTCTCACTTTGCTCCTATTGGTTATAGAGAGAAAAAAGCAAGGATATTTTCGACTATTTTCGACATTGGACCAAGAAAAAGCTCTTAGACTGTTTTGTGTGAAAAGTTCTGATTTTCGCTCAGTGCACTTATATCGATCATAGACTTTACCAATGACTAACCGCTGTCAAAAGTTTATTCCAAACATTTTTAATAAAAGTAGATGTCAGCAATGTTTTAAGGATAAAGAATCGCATTCACCTGAAGCTTTGGAACATCTCAAGGTAAAGGATTTACAGAAGATGATTACTTTCCCTAACCTGAAGAATTACGTAACTTTTTGCAGGCATCAAGAAAAATATCAAAATGTGGCTACTTATTTGTTGCACCAGAACAATTCGATTTTAATAATCCTTTAGATAAAACAAGGGTTTGTATGAAAAATTTGCTAGTAAATGATATGTAACATTAACGATCACATACAATCTATTGCAGAGATGGCAAAGAAGATTTTTTGTACTCTACGACGACGGAGAGTTAACCTATTCGGTGGATGAAAGTGTAAGTTCGCCTATACTATATCAACGCACGTATCGAACGCGATCATATAAAAACGCCACTTGGTATTTTGTTATTGTTTGGTGATATACTGTTTCCATTAACCTATTTTAACAACGTAGTATTGCCTAAAAAGCTTTAGCTCCCGTGCTGTAATATACTTTTACTCTTGTTATGTAAGGATCCTTAGAATCTATTTCTTCTAAATTACATAAGGATTTAAAAGAATTCTCATATGAATCGTAAGAAAATAGCAAGTTAGATTATTACTGAAAAAAGTACAAAAGCGTCTTTTATACGCTGAACTCAATATCTCTATATGTGTTTATCGTAACTTATTGCTATGAAATATTCTCTTGTATAAGCAGAATACTGAGTAGGAATTAGTAGCAGAATATTGACTCGATAAAAATTATCTGATAAGCTTCAGATGTAAATAGAAAATTACAGATGCTTATATAATTGTTAATAAATGATAGAATACGCTTTGGAGGAATGACTAATTCGCTAATTTAATTCTTGACTGCGCTCCATATGTTAAAATAAACTTAGATCTAATCACTTTGTTTAAAAATAGAAGGATTATGTCTGATCGGAGCCTGCTTGTTTTGACCTATCAACCTTAGAAAAAAGTTTTCTGTTTTTAAACGATTTATCTAAGAGCTAACTAACCGTTTCTTTCATTCTATAAACATATAATTAACTTTGTGAATGACCTATGAATGAACCAAAGAAAGGCTGAACAGCTGCATGTAGGTCATAAATTATTAGGTTGCTATAAAACATGCTCTTTTTGCTATCTATATAAGTCCTCTTCTCTTATAAAGATATTAATACTAGAATTTAATCGATTGTTTTACATTTACGCAATTGGCAATAAGGAAATGATAATGGATCTCTCTATGTCAATAAATTAGAAATGTTGAGCGAGAAGAACACGTGTTTCAATCTGTTCTCTCTATAATATGTATTCTTCCTTTCCGATGTGTTTACTATTCAATCCACTTTCAATTTGCCGACAACAGTCTTTATGACAGTTTTAATGGCTCTTGTCAAATATTATTCGTTTTAATGTTCAACCATAGTATAAACGAATCATTTTAATGATACATGAACAAAAATTTTAGTTGTATTCTCAGATTGCACCATTCTCTCCACACAGTCCGTAATCTAGTTCTATTAAAACGGCCTCAGATCCATTAATAGTATTAATTCGATCATGTAGAGAAATTTTTGCGGTTTTTGTCTAAATATATGTCTTTGATTACAAGTTTGAAGTATTTATTATGGGTGCAAGATATTCTCTTTTCCCAAGCTTCTGCTTGACAAAAGAGTAATCCCCAAAGGGGTGGCGCCAAGGTACTTCATGTGAGCAACTTTTCATCGTGCCACCTTTCATGAAGTGATAGAGAATATATTTTTTCATATACAATATAGGTTATTAGTATTGAAAGGACATGGGAGGGTTGTTTTTAGAAATTCAACTCCAAGTTTCTATTCAATAATAATAATTTTTAAAATGGTTTGTTAATCCCCTACTTAGATTGTTCGATATTGAATCGGATTGATCTTTCCTAATTTTCAATTACCAGCGTTGTTGAACGTATTTTCTACGATTATGGGGATTAGGTTACACGTGCAACAAACCAATTTTTTTACTCTTTTTTTTGTACCACTGCGCCATCTGTCGTCTGTAAACTTATATTCGTTAAAAATAAAAACGAATGTCTTTTTTACGTTAATAATGATTTTAATTTGTTCTTTTTTTCATAGATTCACACTATACCACAAGGGGTTATTGATATGAATACATGCACCGACGTAAATGAAGCGCAAGATATAACGTCACATCAATTTTCTCTATCTATTGAAATTCCAAAGAAAAAAACATTTATTAAAGGAACAAATAAAGAGGAAATTAATAGGTAAAATTAACGAATATATCAGATTTACAGCTCCTAATGATACTAAATGACGTGACATAGGTGGTACGACGTTTTAATAATGTATCCAAGAAGTGTGAAAACAAAACATAGAAGATCAACACCTGTATTAAATGATAATACTAAAAAGGTAATAATTTCGCAATTGTGTATCAATTTTACAAATACGTGCGACTATTTATTAATCTAAAGGTTCAGCGTATAAAGTGTTACAATGTTAAGGTTTTTTTTTCTTAGGATTTACTGTTCTGTCAATTATTCAGGAAATATAGGTTATAGCTGGATTAAATTCGTAGTTATTATTATTATAAAAGAAAGGATTTTGAATAATATAAATTATTCGAAACCGAAGAATTAAAGAACATTTCAATGACAAGTCTCTTTTGTTGTTAAAATTAATAGTTGGTAGATGGTAATAATAAGAATAATGGATGGTATTGATTTTTCTCAATGCGAAAAGAAAACATTCAATATAACTGATGGTTGTTATCTAAATCGTTTGCAAAAATCTTGATAAGGATATATATCAGTTTATACAATATTTACTTAGTTTTAATATATATGTTTATATATCTACACTACATATTGGAGCGGCTTTATATTACATTAATTACTCTTTAGAGAGATTGATTGTTTGTTCTTTTTAATCAACACAAATGTTCCATTGTAATATTATTCAATAATGTTCATTGGAGTAAATTACAGATTTTGAGTTTCCCTTGATTGATAAAATAAGCTTTATTATAGTATTTTGTAAATATCAATAGTCTATTGTAGAAACCAAATTGACTATGTATATTGTTTTAATTGGACAGCTGTTAGATATATTCATCTCTAATCCGGTAATTATTTTTTGCATATTGCCATTGTATATATTAAGAGTTTTTGATTAATAGTTGTTTTCGCGATGTTTTTAAACAATATTAAAGGGATTAATAGGTAAAAGCTTAGATAGTAAAAAATACGAGTTACTTTTTGAACTTTTGGGTCTCAATCCCCATTTACTATCTATAAATAATAACAAAAATTGTGAGAGAATTTAACAATACTACCGTCTTTTAAGATTTAATCCTTTTTGGATGAGTTGGTGCATGCGTTCCTTATTGAGTCTTCATTTGAATTGTTGCATTAGCAAAGTATACCTCGAGAAAAAAATATAGATTATGAACGAGGTAGGTGTTTGATTTTAGGATTTAATTTTATATGTAAACTTCGAAATTGAGTTGAAAACCACCAATTTATATAGTAGTTGTATTTACGAATATGCTTTTAAAGGCATGCTAACAATTTGATAGTAGTTTGAATGAGACTTGATATTGATTTTATATCTGCTGGTAAAATTCGTTCAAGGTAAAATCATACGAATGATCTATTGTATGAATTCATTTTGATATAATCAGTTAGTTTTCTTTTTTTAAATACTTGTATCTAATAGTATAGACACTATTCATTCAATGTTTGCAGTAGTTTGATACACGTAAATGCGATTACTTTCATTTTTGGTAGAAGTATTCCTTTTAGGCTAAAGTTGCTCACGTTACATAGCATACAAAAGGGCTGTGATAGGGGTAACCTTTTTTCAACAGTTTTACTGTTAGATTTTTATATGAGTTTAGGATCTGAATATAAAAAAACCTCAGTTTATTATTTGTTGTTGGAAAATAACGCTTTGTTGTCTGAAAAAATATAAACTGTATAAATTCTATATCCCTAATAAACTGATTAAATTTGTATACTAACTTATACCAGTAAAGGTTTATATGACAGGGAGTAAATATGTAAAGCTTTCATCCTCCAAAAGAGAGCAAAGTGTTCAATTTGATAATTTTTTTTTGTAAATTATGGATAAGTGGGAAATTCTCTATCTGCGCATGTCGAGACATATTAACGGGGCGCCTGTTATTTATTATGGTATTTAAGTCGCCTAGAGCACTCGACACCGGTAGTTTGATTGACTGCAACTAGTTTTGTGGAATGTATAACTTCTTGTCATTGTTTGATTGAAAAAAAATATGTTGGGTACTTTTTACGGATACCACGGTATTCTAGATGATGTTAATCATTCTAATTTTACCTATATGGATTATTTGGAATTTTACTATAACTATTATTATCATTTCTTGCCCGTAAGCTTTCTAATGATAGATTTATTATCTCTATCAATTAGCATGTTGCATGCTCTTTTCAGTCAAGCGTTACGAGCAACCCGCCTAGTGATACGTCATCTCTAATTGCCCATTGCTCTTCAACCTCCGATGCCCCAGTTATGCACGGTATACCACCGGATATAAGGACATTTAAAGGGGTGCGTGATATGAAACATAAAGGTTCAGTTAGCGACGGATTAAAAAGAAGTAGTAGCTTAAGTGACCTTCCCGAATCAGAGGACAGTAAGCCTAAGAGCTTATACGAAACTCTTTTGAGTGATTCAAAAAAGAGACCATTATCAAGATACGAACGCTTTGCTCATTTACCTAGTTCAAAGCCTATTTTCGATTACAATGCCTCCGATTTGGATGAACATGATAAACCTCGAACTAGAAGGTCGAGATCTGTGACTAGGAAGGAAACTGATTGGGATAATACGTTTCCTAGATCCTCTAAAGCTACTTCGCGTACTTCTTTTACGTCGGACAGAAATTTACCACCGTCCCGAGCTATACGCTTAGGAAGTTGGAATCCTGGCGAAAAAACTGGTGCTAGAACTAGTCCATTAACAATAAGAAATGCCACAGATGAACATAAGGTGATTTTTGGAATATATTTCAATAATATTTCAGAGCATGCTGCATGCTTTGAAAATATAATTATTCACAGTAAAACTTAAACTCTTGATTTATCAATTGATTATGCGTGATCGTAGTGCTTAAATAAAACAGATAAACACAAGCGATTCAAGTCCTGCACGTACTGAATCTGAAAGCTTTTATCCAGTTAGAAAACGTTACGAGTCTGTAAGTTGCACCATGCGCGATTACTGGTCTCTATATTTGTTTGTTCTAATCTAATTCGACTTTGTTTAATTTTCAACTCGTTGCTATCATTGTGTTTTTTTACGTATACGATTTTTGAGTGCAGTGGTATTCTTTTTAATTTTAAACAAACTACCTTTCATATTTCAGCAAATTTCTCTGCTTTTATTATTGCCAAATATCGAAAGCTATTAAATTGAATGAGTTAAAATCTCTTATATTTGTCAGCTAATATATATTTACTTTTAATCGTTACAAAAGTAAATTTAATTGCTCTTTAGATTAAACAAAATTAAAGCACACTTCTATTTTCTTTGATCTTTAGGAATACTCTCAATATACAAAAAAAGGCTGGCTTGTTCGACTAAAGGATAAAGTAAACGGAAATCGGGAAAATATAAAAGATATTGGGCAAGAAAATTGGCAAAAGCATTGGTTTGTACTTAATGGAACACAGCTACGATATTATAAGGATTCTAGGGCCGAAGAAGCTGGCCATTCCGATGGAAACGTTGATCTACGCGATTGTACTCATTTGTATGAGAAGGAAGTGGGAAGAAACTATGGTTTTGAAATAAAGGTTTGTCAGAATTTGATATTGTAAATTGTATATAAGTTAGTCGTCTGTAGAGTTTGAAAGGAACTACGACACTCTCTGCCATGACTACTGGTATCAGGAATAATTGGTTAACACTAATGAGGAAAGCCATGCACCATGCGGGCGTTGCTCCTGAAACTCAACGCTTGGATAGTCCCAATAGTAAAAAATCGCTGAAATTTGGATTAGATTACAATCAAAAGCAAGCGCCATCTGGTAGGCAACTTCCCGATCTGCCAAAAGACGAACAACTTGATGAAGTTGAAAAGAACGTTAGAAGAATTCATCAACGTTCACTAACTGACTTTATAAATAAACCCAAATTCTACGAAGTGGGTAATAACGTTGATGTTGATAATAAGAGGAATAGAACGGATTCTGAAAGAAGTACTAGTTCTTCGCCGTGTACACCAAGGGGTGAAAGAAATGGCAAAAGTTCATCAGAAAATAATTCATCACCCTGTGGAGGGAAGATGATATCTAAAAAGTCAAAGGCTCCATCAGCAAAAATAAAAGAACGTTCTAGAGCCAAGTCACCTCGTGTAAAAAGTCCACCTTTAAGAACAATTTCCAACGGGGAAACACACTCTTCCAAGAGACTGGTAGGTTTTTTAGCAGAATTTAATTTAATCTTTTTATTGGTTACAATTGATATATTTTGGTATCCATTAACGATACCATAATATTGTAAAACTAATTGCAAAGCTTTTGAGCTATTAAGTACAAAAATACCAAGGCGATATTTTAAATTTACTCTTCAAACCTTGCTAACAAGTACTTTCTGCGAGACGTCGATCAACCATTGATCTTGTCGCTACTGGCGCCACATTCTTTGTGTCGGCGTCACTTCATTTCCTCCAGTCATACCTACGTCATCTTATTAGCTCGTCGACAAAATATGGATTCGTTTAAAAAATTCGCGTGTAGAGTAAAATCGTTAAATTCTATGTTTAAGGGAGGCGGAAGCGGGAGTAGCAGCCCAAGTAATTCAACTCCCGGAACCCCGACAAAAAGTAAGTACGAACAAGGAGACAAAATGGATATGGGAGAGGAGGATAAGGCAGAAAAGAAAAGTCTGGCCAAATCAACATCGAGCGGTGCAATAAGTGCTGGGGATACAGCTCTGGTAGATCTACTGGAAACTGAGGTAATTTCTTATTTTCTAATGAGACGCTTCACTGACAACTGTACATTTTGCTAATGCAAATACGATCGATTTACCTAATCGACGTCTAATAGTCATTAATTATTTCACCTCCTAACAACATTTCAAAAAAGAACTACAGTAAAAAAATTTTTTTCGGCCTTCAATATTTTCTTCGCTATTCGGTTACACTAAAACGTACTTCACACTGAGAAAATTAATTGAGTAATTGCTGTAAGTGCTGCTAAGTTAACAAGTCGTAGGAAAGACACTTTCAGTCATAACGGATACCAAGTTAAATATGTGCCAAACAAAAAAGCAACACTATAAAACTGGCGTATGTTTAGAATGATGCACCATAGACAGTATATTCACCTGTAGAACCAACTACGCGCAGTATGCACTGAGTTACTTGTCATTGAGTGCTCGTCATTCAGTTGTAGCGTTACCGCGTTTTTAATTTGTCATAGAGCTACATTAGGAAAATATTTTTAGCTACATTATTATGTTTTAACAGAATTTTTTTAAACATTAAGTTACTTATCTCTCATACATCGGTTAATCGAACTTGTTGATATATTTACAAGTATTACCTTGGTGATTCTAGCACTTTCCTCCTTATTTTTCAGGTCGATTCGCTGAAGACACAATTGGAACAAAGCCAGAATCGCAACTCAAAACTGCAGCATCAAATTAGCGAATTAAGATCAAAGACTCATCAGCGACAGGCTTCCCGGGATTCTGTAGTGGGTTCACCCTCAACACCCTCTCGTAAACATAGTCAGGTGGTAAGAAAATTATAACAATTATGTTTGCCTCTCAAGACTTATAAAAATGATGTGTTGTAGCAGACATATCTTGACGACAGCGATACAGGGGAAAGTATCGATGTTTTACAAGCTAAACTAGTTGATCATCAGAGGCAAGCTACAATGATCAAAGCTCAGGTAGAAATTTTTTTTTTGGAAAATTACATCTGTTATTATGATTAATTATTTCAAAGCAGATGTCTAGACTCAGCGAACAGGTTGCTGCAACAGAACAAACGGCCACACGCCACGCCGATGAGGCGAAAAATTACAGGCGTCAGTTAGACGCTTGTGCTCAACGTCTGGTTTCCGCTGAACGACAAATTGATCAGTTTCGTTCTGATTTGAGAAAGGAACAAGATAAAAACGCGGAAAAGGATATGAAATTAAAACAATTAGAGCGTGACTTTTTTGAGAAAGACGATTTCTTGCGTAGAAAAAGTGTTGAATTAGACGAGACAAAAAATCGTGTAAAAAGCCTACAAACTAAATTGCTTGATGTTGACGAATTAGAAGGTCAATTACAAGATTCAATGCTTGAGGCTCGAGCCGTTACGGATGAGCTATCTCAATGTCAAATAAAAATTCGATCAAAAGAGCAAGCATTACGAATCCAGCAGGAAAGGTTCCAAAGTGCATTGAAAGAAAACGATCAACTAAGAGAAAGACTACAAACGCTCGAGGCAGAACTTGAAGCCCCCAAGCAGAAAAAAGCCAATGAATCGCCTATGGACAGATCGGATGTACTCCTCCAAGAGAAAAATAAAGAAATTGCTGATTTACAAAATCGATTGGAAGATACTGAGAATACTTTAAGAGAGTCTAACAGAAATTGTTCTGTTTTGCGAAGTCAACTAGAACATGAACTGGAAGAAGGTAAAATTACACATATTTTCTTACATCCATATAATTCAACAATATTGTATTATATAATTGCAAATATTTATATACATATACTGTATATATATATATATATATATATATAACTATATATGTAACGTTGTCTAGGTATGAAAATACGACAAGAATTGGCAACATCGGAGGAAAAATTACGAGAGGCAAATCAAGAGATAGAAGCTGTCGCCAGGCACGACGATGATGCCAGCAAAGTCGAATTTAGAAAATACGAATCCGAAATGGCCGAATTAGAAAGAGAAAATGAAAAAGTTATGGAAATGATAAATGCAAAGAATGAAGAATTAATGGAGACTGTGAAGGAAAAAGAAACACTTGCGAAGCAGTTATCAAATATGAAATCGTCCGTGGAAATTAATAGCCGCATGGAAACTAGATATAAAGAAGCAATAAGTGAACTACAACGAGTTGAAGAAGAAAAGCGCAAACTACGAGAAGATTTTGAGACTTCTATGACTCGTAAGGACAATGAACTCAGAGAAGCAAGGCGAAATATTGAGAATCTCAAAGAAGTGAATAAAGAAAGCGAAGGAAGTGACGCAGATGATCCGGCAGAAAGTCGACGAAAATATGAGAGAGCAATAAGCGAAATAAAACGTTTAAGAAAACGTTGCAACGAAACTCAAGATTCTTTAGATAAGATTGAAATTGCTTATGCTGGTATTAAGCAGCAACTAGAATCAGTCGATGAGGACTATCAGGAACAACTACGACTTATGTGTGCCAGAGTGGAGGATTTAACTAACAAATTAACAGTAACCGAAAGAAAAAAACGTCGTGAGAGCCTAGTTATTGATTTACAAATTTTAAGTGATATAGACAAACAAGTGCAAGTATTAGAGGAGACTTTCTCCATTAATGCATATGAGCAAGAGGAAGAAGAAAAAGAAAAGAGTGAGGAAATGTCGCTTCCAATTAATCTTGGACCTCCTCCGCAGGTTGCTGTAATAGCTCCTGATGGTTCGCAGGGTATCGATAATTCGCCACGTATAAATGATAAAGAACATGATACAGAAATCGACGACCTTATTTCTGATACATGCTCAACAACATCAGAATCATCTTCAACGGATCAATTACAAGTTTTGCATAATCGCTTAGTGAGAGTTTTAGAGAGTATTAGCACAGAGGATAAAACTTCAAATCTTGAGGCGACTGAGAAGCAATATCGAGACGCTAGAAAAAAATTGCGCTTGTCGTTGGATATGATCGATTCGACCAGAAAGAAATTAAAAGATCTTGTTAGTGCTTTACAATCATTGGATTTCAGTAGGGCGAGTGAAAATACTCTGGAAAATGTTGTTCATGGTTTAAAAGATGCTTTACTCGTAACTGATTCCGTTGAGTATGATTCAATTTATAACAAAGAATCGAAGATCGATAAAATGGACGATCATGGGACTAAAACTTTGAAATTAAACGCCCTTGCTGAAAAATTGGCTATAGAAGCAATAGTGGTTGGGGAAATGGCATATGTTGTTAGAAGTCAGACGAACAAGCAAATGACTGAAAGAGATATGTATTTAAGCGAAATGCGGGACGCTCATTCGCAAATATTAGAATTGGAGTGTAAATTGGAAGAGATGCAAGTGGAGAAAAATCAGATAGATAAGGCCAAAAATGATTCCCTATCTACTTATGCACAATTATTGGCAGAGAAGATGGTACTTCAGGCAGAATTATACTTGTCCATGCAAAAGACGGAGGTGCCAAAGACAAAAATAGAGAGTGATGCTCTCGGTAATGTCCTAGCTTCAGAAGCCGTTAGCCGATGTTCACAAACAGACATTGAAGGCTTGTGTCCGGTAGCCAGATCAGCTCTTGTTCAGGCCGAATTATCGGCTGCTGTCTCTCATTTAAGACGAGGTCTTTGTACCTGCTCTAATGATAGAGAAAGAATTGATTTGGTAGAAAGTGAACTTAAGTTAGCAAAGGAAAGACTAGAAGAGCGCGAGAAAGCGTTAGAACAGGCAGTAACAAAATACTTGAATGAAAATGTTGCTAAAGTTGCCAAAGTGTCGAAGGAAAACAAAGTACAAGCGGTTCTTCAAAGAAAGGCTTCCGAAACATCGTTATCTTTACCCGAAAATGAAGAAAAAGCAAAGCATGTAAATGAAGCTCTCGCTGAGGAAGTCCAACAAACAATGCAACACTTCAAGTCATTTTTCGATGTACAAACTATTGAAGAGGCAGACGATACATTACTCGAAGAACTCGCTGATATTGTCACTAAGAAAGCGGTCATATCTGGTCAACTAGCATATATGCATGAGCACTTCGAAAAAAGAGTATTACTACACATGTTTAATAGGACTGATTCTGGTTTACCCAGTTCGCCTCCTGATGTCTACAAAGCTCATATTGACTCTCTTGTTGCTGATTCCCTGCAACAGGATGCTGCTATGAAGGACAGTATGGCTAATTATCTAAAGCATTTTGGTGCCGACGGCATGGAGATGAGCTGTTCGTTAACCTCCAGATTAGCCCAGTTAGCAGCCGACTTGGGCAAAGTTGAAGACTCTCTACAAAAAAGGTGTAGGCCCGCATCTGGTAATGACCTCGCTGATATCGTTGCAAGAGAGGCGGTTTTCCATGCTCAATTGGCCTATGTTGCTTACACTTTGAAATATGAGCACGCTGCGAAATTGGAAGAACTCAAAGCAAAATACACTGATCGTAAAGAGGTTGAGACGAAGCGGGAAGTAGAATATCGGCAAGACGATAGGCAACAATTATATTCGGAGATTGAGAATATGGAAAAAGAATTGCATAGAGCCCATCTTGCTCTCGAACAAATTCGACAAGATAAAGAAAATCAATTGGCTGTTCTTCACGCTCGAGTAGCACAAATGGAGGCGGAAGACGCTATTTGTAAGGCTCACTTGGAAAAATTACAAAATGAAAGAGATAGTGATATCGAGCATTTACGAAATAGAGTAGAGAAGTTACAATTAGCCTTAGAAGAAAAAAGTAGTCGCTACCAAATTGAATTTAGTTCTTTACAAGCTGAAAGTGATTTGCTGCTGCAAAATGAACGGGACAGATATGAAAAACAAATTGATGAAGAAAGGCAAAAGTTTCAAGTTGAATTGGAAAGACTTATGGGAAGTAGACGAGAGGATAGCGCCGTTCAAGCACGAATTCATCAATTAGAAAGTGAATTACAAGATGCATATGACAGCAATAAGCGTCGTTTGGCAGTTGAAAAAGCAACTCATACGCGGTTAATGAACAAAGCCAAGGAGGAATGGCAAAGTATGAGTATACTAATGCGAAATTCTCCTGAAGATGAAACTAAGGTAGTGTCAAAGTACAAGCAAGAAATGGAGAGAATGAAAGAATTATATGACAGAGGATTGGTGTGTATTGAGCGTACAAACGAACAAATCATAAATGAGATGAAAGTCACTCATGAAAGGGAATTACAAAAATTAAAGCTGGAGAGAGAAGAAGAATTAAAGGAAGAAGTACGTGCAACACAAACCGGTAAGTAACGCTTTAGTTCTCGTTGAAAAATAAGTGCGTTACATATTGAAATGAGAGCCTTCAAGTGTCAACATTCATATTCTCGATTATTTTATATGCTTATAGACGGAGGTTTAGTTACAGGTTTGTTTTTCCGACGTTGTACTGTAATCGTGTCTTTTTTACTCACTTTAATACGTATTAAAAAACCATCTTACACATATGTCACGTTCCATATACGGAGTCTACTAAAGACCCTATAATGTAGTAATGACGCTGGGGATTTTATTGTTACTAATTAATTGTTTTTTCTTTCTTACAGCTCTAGACTCATTAAGGAAAGCACAACGAGAAGAATTAGAAATGGAAAGGAAGAAATATGCTGATTTAGAACGTAAGGTGTTGTCCTCTGAAGAGATACAGTCATTACAAAGACAGCACGACGAAGATATGGAGTTGATGCAGAAAGAAATTAAGTGCGTTGGCGATAAACTAAGCCTATCGAATCTTGAAAAAGCACAAATGGAAGAAAGAATAGAAAAGCAAGCTAAGCTTGTTACAGAATTGAAAGAAAAAGTTGAAGAGTTATTAGAAAGGTACAATTATTTCAGAACAAAATGCGCATCAGAATGTATTTAACAAGTTTTTCTATAATAAATTTTCGACTTCTTTCAGAAACGATGAATTAAATTTAAAATTGGAACACGACATAGAGGTACTCAGCAAGAAAGTGACAACAGCGTCTTCCGATTGTCAACTTCACTCATTAGATTTGAAACTAAAGGAAACCGATATCGAAAGAATCAAAGATGAAAAGCGATCTCTCCATATACGGCTTCGACAGGCTTTACATGTTAGTGACTTAAAAATTTATTTTAACCGTGATATCGAGATAAATGTATATATTTATGCCGCAGGATAAAGAAGAAGCTACTGCAGACAGTGAATCATTGCAAGCTCAACACTCTTTGATCGTTCGACAACTGCAAAGCGAAAAAGACGAATTAAGTGAGCGTCTTAGGAGGAAAGAATCTGGAAGTACGAGAAGGAGGAAGAGTCTAATTGCTGAGATCGAAGCTCTTCAAAACATGAACAGAGAAAGCTGGGGTAATTGATTCTCTTATAATTTTTGGTCATAAAAAGCAATAATCAACAATTCTAACCTTATAGAAAAAGATCCAAAATATACCGGAAAGAGAGATTATTATGGTAGCATCGACAGCAGGAGAAATTGGAGGTTGATGAGTGCGTGTTGTCACGTGATTGTGACTTGATTTTTTTTTTGATTTTTTTTTTCATGTTTCGGTGTAGTTGAATATTTTTTTTTTGGCACGAATTTTTATTTATGTAATTTCTTGAAAACTTCTTCATTTCAAACAAACAAAAAACTTTTTATTCCTTTTAAGTTTTTTCAAGTTTCCTTTATTGATTTTTCAAAAGAAATATAGAAGTTATCTTGAATTATTTATTTAATCATTATTTTTCTTTTATTATGAATTTATACTCTTCTTTGTTTTTCTTTCTTATTTAACGATCAAAAAACTAATACTTTAATTCTTTTTTTTCTTTATTATAGATCCTAGAAGAGCGTTTAGTATATCGGAAGAGGAATCTAACGTTAATTCAACGGCATTCCATCCAACGGATAAGCTTAAATGGCGTCATGATAAAAGCCATAGTATTGATGAATATTTAAGAATATCAGACGTTTGAGTGTACAATTTTTTCTTTACGTTTTTAATTTATTAACGTTTGTGTAATACGTCGCAAACAATTGTAGAAACGGTGCACACAATAATAATGTGTTCAAATAACAAAAATATTGTTAATGGTTTTAATTTGTTATATTTGTGTATAGATGTTGTTAAAAGATGCTTTGATTTGACCATGAAAAGGAATTCTTGTAACGTAATCTGAAGAACTACCTCGAGATTGATCGTTCCATAAGCTCCAAAAGAATTTCATTCAAACGTTGTGGGGCTTTTCGTCACTTTGTTCAAACAATCGATGTTATTATTCTGTTGTATAAATCAAAAGTAATATCGCGTACGCGTCAATATTAGGATACAATACATTTGTCTTTCAAAGCTTATTGACTATGCAATTATATGCTTTTAGTTCGGCTAGCGTCTTTAGAACGTCAATATTCAATCGCAAATGTCGCGAGTGTACAGAGAGAATTGAACGGATTTTACTTTATTCTCTCTTTGTTGGCGAATTTTCTCATTTCGAACAATTAATTAAGGAAGGAGGGAAATGAACTAAAGCAAAAAGCACCTGCTCTTACCAGAGGTGAATCAACGACAGGTACGAATATAACAGAATTTTTACTTAAAAAGATTATATTTCTAAAACTAGTAGGTTAAGAGTGGCTGAATAACAATAATCGCCAATAACAAATGTAAATAATAAATATACTTTGATATTTACTTTATAAATAAAAATGTAACCTAAATGGAAACCCTACTGTAACAATTTGAGCATCGCTCCTCAAGCTCTATAAAAAGTAATAGCTATTTGTTAAAAAAAAACATTAGCTTCATCTCCTAGTGATGAATAGTAGGCAATACTCCGCTAAGAAGTTGGATATTCTACAATGGACGAAGAAGGAATTGGTCGAGAGGTAATAGAAAAAAAACAGTAAAAGTCGATAAGGCATATGAATTTGTAGAAACAATACACAAAGAACTTCTGTTTACTTTATACACAATTCTAGCTTATTCTATTTAACACGCTTCATTTATCTCTCTTTTTCCCTAGTGCAAAGAATTTAGCCATACCGGAATTGTTATTTATTAGCAACGAATCATCTAGTAGCCTATCGCCATCTGCCTCCTCCTACTCATCCTCCTCCTTCTCGTCTCTACAACCGCCATCCTCTGTAATGGCATTTTTTGTCCGAACTGGTCGATTAGATCTTAGACGTTTAGAGAATAAACCTCAAGAGAGCCTTCAGACTATACATAAAATATTATCTGCTCAAATTTCGAATATAATTAGGTCCATTAAATTGGCGGAGAAACAATTTTATGATGGTAAAACTTATATTGATGAAATTCGCAAGTGGAACAAATGTGTTAATACTATGTCAAAAGTGGCTGAACTAAGCGAATTGAGTCGTGTATGGCAAATTGAAGAAATAATTAAATGGTGTGAAGATCCTCAACGTAAATTTGCTGTTGACGCAAAAATTATTAATAAGTTTAAAGAGTGTTATAGGAAAATTAGAGATTCTATTCCTGACAAATTTTCTGAAATTGTTAAGCAAACAAAGAAAGTTTTAAAATATTTAGATAAATATTGTATGAGCTTTTACGAACTCGAAGAAGATATTAATCTTGAGACTGCGAGGACCTACGAAACTCAGAGAAAGGAATTGTCAGCAAAAATTAAAACAAACGTTGATAAAGTTGAATATTTATCGCATAAATGGAGAACAGAAGGTTTATTCGTCTATGACTTAGGAGAATACGGTATCGAAGTATGTAGGCGTTTAGACGTTGTTCAAGCTGCTTTTCTCGCTCTATTTCCTACGCTTTGCGAAAATTTACGATTAGCTTGTGATGCAATGTTAACTTGGGTAGAAACGGATAAGAATTATTCCCAATTTCTTAAGAATGATATAAGTGATCTCGAGGAGAAGAGGGAAGAGCTACTTAAGGAAGTTCGTCAACACCAGCACAGATATCACCAGGTTAATTATCGTAAAAACCAGGTAGCTAATGAGTTAGAAAAGCTAGAAGAAGAAGTTGAAAAATTAGTAGAGAAAGAAGATGAATTACTTGTTGATGTTGAAACTCTCTTGGATAAAAGTAACAGGCTACAAATTAATATGGAAATAAAGGAGTATCGAAGAGATGAGTTAATTAAGCGAATAAACGAATATCCCACTAATTTATATTATGAAAAATACAATAAGCTGACGAAAGATTTACGTGATCTTAAGCACGAACTACCTGATGTTAAAAGAAGTATAGCTGGCTGCAATCTAAAGTTGAATTGGATAACAACTAAACGAGACTCGCTACTTAGCGAAAGACAATTGTGTAAGCAATTAAATAACGAACTAGAGGAAATGATTGAACAAAGAATTAAATATGAATTGGAATATCACGACGTTATTGGTTCTTTAGAATTAGCCAAGAAGATTTATTTATACAAAACATGTCCAGATTCAATTAACAAAATATTTCATCAACAACCAGTCGAAGTTAATTACGCAAGGTTACCTGGTAAACGCAGCGAGGATGGTTTGTATCAATGACAATATATCGTTAATCATTCTAATTAAAATCCGCTTCTTGACAGATCCTTTTGAGAAAGCTTGCAATATTGTTTGTATGACAATTAATACGGATTGGCCTCAACTTTATCGAAGTTTACCTTTTGCACCCACCAGAGGTCGGTTAACGTTGGATAGGGATATAGAAGAATTTACAGAAAGAGAAAGTAGAAAGGGTAATGACGAAAGGGCACGTTATGCTCTCAATCGTTGGAGACGCTATCACACAAGGGCTAAGCTAGATGATTTAATGGAAGGTCTTAATGGCTGTGGAAGAGCTGATATTGCACAGAACATAAATTCAATACTTTATCCAAAAGATGATGAAGAAATAGACGATTTCGAAGATCCTGCATATAAAATTGTTGAAGCGCATTTAGTACCTTTTTTAAAAGAAGTTGAAAGATTTGACGAACTAAAAGCTGCAAATAAAATTTAAATATTATGTAAATATTAAAAAAATTATCAACAATCCTCCAATAGACTTCTTTTACATCAATTTTTATTGATTGTATTTCAGTATTTATCAAGAGAACAAAAAAAAATTGAAGAGATAAATAAAAAACAATATAAATATTACAAATACTTTATATATATATATATATATATATATAAATTCTATATATATAATAATCAAAAAAAGATAATACATTATTTACCCTTTTTTCCCCTTCTAATACGTGAACGCTGAACACAATTTGCTTATTATTCGGCTAGAAAATTGACGTCGACTAGAATTCTTTGCTTAATTGATTTCAACTTCAAAAAAAAGAAAGATAAATTTTCTAAGGAAGCTTTTTTTTAAATGGAGAAAGTGAGAAAGAGAGAAGGAAAGGTAGAGAGAAAAGGAGACTGGCTGACTGTGTCATAAATATGCATACAATTCGTTTGTTTGTACTTGAATGCTTCTATAGAGGTAATTGAGACGGGAGAGGATAGCTTAGATACTATTTAATCTATCGCTTCGTCAAAAGATAGTGCTTTTTTGATATTATCGTGAATTTCTCTGAATAGTTGCTTATATTCAGCTGCATTAGGGCTGATTTCAAAGCGACCCTCTACTGGATTTTTTGGCGTGAGAAATTGCAAACTCTTAGGTCTATCCAAATTTGTTGGCTTTCGAAGTGGGATCGTTTGCGTTGCTGCATCCTTGCTGCTACGAAAGGCAGCCATTTCTTTTAGTTCTCCGAATAATGATTTTTCGTCATCGTTTAGTGTAATCTGAACCAATTCGTTCGATCCTTGCTCGTACGAATCATCCTCGAGAATTCCTGAATTATCTCGAATACATATCGAATTTTTCGCTTTTGCGCTTTCAAGATCTATATTTAGCTGTTCAACTCGAGTAGATAATTCAGAAATTTGTTGTTCCATTACGGATGATCTCTTATATTCCAGTTTTAGATCATGCTTTAAATTTTTAACAGTAGTCTTTAGCGCCGTAACAATGGCAGTATCTCGAACTTCTTCAACTGAAGGCGGCGGAGCAAAGCCAGTTTCCGGTAGTGGCTTCCGACGAAGTGAAGGCACGCTTAGTGTTCGCCGCTTGTGAAGATTTCGCTTCTGCTCTTTCTCTGCTGACCTCTTAGAGATGTCAGCTTTAAAATCATCAATGTTTTTTTGCAACTCATCACTGTGTCGTTCTAAGGCCTCAATGCGTTCGTTTTGCCTACAAATGAACTAAATTAGTAAACGCCCTACAGTCTTTAATCGAATATTTCTTTTTCTCTCATTTACAAACCAGTTAATTTTTTCACGCAGTCTTTCATTTTCAGACTGAAAATGATGACTTCGTTGATCTAATTCATTGTTTTGTTTCTCAACTTCTTCGTAAACTTTTAAACGAGATTCATTAAATTCTTTTAATAATTGAACTTGTTTCGAGTAATTCTAAAACATAAGAATTTTTTGTTCATCAGATAAGAAGATGATATAGATAATCTTCTAGTACTTTATTAATTTTTTTGTACTATTTATTTATTTAATAGGATACCTTCAATTCTTGTTCTTGTTGATAATTAATTTCTGCATATTCTTCTAATTGCTTTTCTAGTATTTCGTTACGTTCTAATAAACTCTTTCCCAGTTCGGCTGCTAGTTGCAAATCTGAAAACATATGTACACACATGATTTTTTTTCAACCCCATGTATATTTCATTGCCCTTTTTTGTCATTTTACTAAAAAACGAACCATTTTCGTATTGCGAAATTTCTGCAGAAGGATTTAGACTGTCCATCCCAAATTTCCTAGATCGCCTTGTCTCTTAAAATTTTGCCGGTCAAAATATTAACTATAAAATATTCTGATAAGCCTGCCTCATGGTTTCTTAATTTAACTACAGATGGCGTACTCATTCGGTTGAATAGGTTCGTAATCATGTTCTTGAAGAATTCCACGTTGAACATTTATGCATTCTGTAGAAAAATTTATCAGATTTTGTTGAGTTAAGAATTTAGCAAGGTATCTGTATTTTTAAGCTTATACGAAAATTTTAACCTTCTATGACTTTTGTCTGTTGTGTCAAGGTCAAATCTCGCAAACATTTTCTCCTTCAGAAAAAATTTAGATTTATTCACTACAAGAGGTATGGCAACCTACAAAATTGTGTTTGTTAGACACGGAGAAAGTGTTTGGAACAAGGAAAATAGATTCACTGGTTGGTACGATGCAGACTTAGCAGAAACTGGTGTTGCTGAGGCTAAGTTGGCTGCAACGGTTGGTGGACAAAAAAAACTTTTGCAGTGTGAACAAACCTAATTTTTAATTGCAATTTTAATTTTACAGTTTCTTAAGGAAAAGGGGTTTACTCACTTTGACGTTGCTTTTACAAGCGTTCTGAAGAGAGCCATTAAAACTCTATTTCACATTCAAGAGGGTTTGGATTTGCACTGGATCCCAGTCCAACGAAGCTGGAGATTGAACGAGCGCATGTACGGTGCTCTTCAAGGTCTAAACAAATCCGAAACTGCCGCCAAGCATGGTGAAAAGCAAGTTCAAATCTGGAGACGCTCGTATGATACTCCACCACCACCTATGGATAAATCTGATGAAAGATGGCCAGGACGAGATCCAAGATACAGTCACATAGACAAAAACCTCCTTCCCCTAAGCGAATGCTTGAAAGATACTGTTGACAGAGTTCTACCTTTTTGGCATGATAGCATCGTTCCCCAAATCTTGGTTAGTAAAATATAGACTGTTAATTATCATGATTAAACGTTTAACGTACTAAATTAATGATTCTAGGCTGGAAAGAGTATTATCATTGCTGCACATGGTAACAGTCTTCGTGCTCTTGTCAAATATTTGGATAATATGTCTGATGCCGATATAATGGGATTGAATATACCAACAGGTCAGTAAATACTTTATACAAAACATTCTCTCTGATTTATTGTCTTTTTTCTTATTAAATAGGCATTCCACTCGTTTACGAATTGGACGCCGACCTGAAACCAATAAAACACTACTATTTGGCTACTTCGGAACAAATCGAAGCCGCCATAAACAAAGTTAAAAGTCAAGGAAAAGCTAATTAAGATACCCAAAAAAACTCTTTCCAATTGAGTGTCCTGTGTGCATAACCTTTGACGGCTTGTAGTAAAAATATAAATTTATTGCACAATAAAATATTGAACATTTTTATTGTTCGGTCAAAATAAGTAAATGTTTGAAATTAGAACATAAACAGTATTTCGTGTAGAGAGTATCATGTTAATTGTATTAATAAACCTTTTCAATGGAATATTCCACTTAATTAGCAAGATATATAATTTATTTAACTAATGGTTGCCCTGATAAATGAAATAAAAACAGTAATATTTTAAACTAATAACTCTTCATGTTTTTAATGTACATGTTTATTATGAAAATTAATAAGCGAGTGTTATACAGTGATGATTTGTTCACAACCAATATTTTCATATTCAGTTTTATACATTCCCGGAGCTGTAAACGCTGTCCTAGAACTAGGATCTGGTAGAATGTAGGGAGTATCGACCGGACAATATTCAGCTTGTTTACATTTTGAATCGGAAGGTATTTCGTAACGTTCGCAATACTCAGTTTTAGTGCCAGAATGGGGAACTGGAATCATTCTGTTGGGAATTCTACCAACTTTTGTTGCAGTTTTAAATACCATAGTATCTCTCATTGGCGGTCTTTCTCTGGGTACAGCATGCTTTGGAAGCGGATTATGCTTCAGCCCAAAACCCCAAGCTTTAGGATATTCTTCACATTCCCAATAAGTTGCAACATCTTTTTTCCCAACATTATGTAACTCCTTAGGAGTCCACCTTCTATGTTCTTTCATATTGGTTGTGGTGTAGGGATTATTTAATTCCATAATACTTAGATCATTGACTTTGAAAGGTCTTCCAGCCATCTTTGGATTTTTAGTGTTCTGTTCACCCAATTTAGTAGGACCCTCTTTTTGATGATCTCCAAATAAGATACCCTGAGGATTGGGAGCTGGATATCTATCATATAGATATACTGCGTCAGGTTTATTTGCTTTATATTTAGCCTTCATCTCACTCTCTTCGTTACCCATTGTAAGCGGTCTTCTATGACCACCATGACCTAATTTTTCTATAACATTTCGATTATAATGTACTTTGTAGAGTGCTGGAGCTTTTTTATAAGTAGGGTGATCATTTCCATATTCAATACCAGCAAATTTATTATCATGAAAGGTTCCTGTGGTTGTTCCAAATCTTTCGCCTTTTATTTCATCAGGACAGGCTAACTCTGGAGGCAGTTTATCTTTAAGGACACCCTAAGTTTAAAGAATAAGAGTTTAAGAATCGTTCTTTCTAAGTATTTTATGTAAACTAACCTTAAAGTTTGAACTGGGAAAATAATATCCCGGTTGGTATCTATGACCTACTCCAGTACTAGTTAAATGCAGATCTTTTCTACTGAAATCCGCCATCCTCTTTACTTCTTAGCCGGTTGCGGTTCTTCTGTTTATGTTTTCCTTCTATTAGTGCTCACGGTTGCTATGTAACAATATTCGATTGTCGTATTCTTAAAAGTGTATTTTTTCGTTCAAAGAGAAGATACATTGATTTAATAGCATCTTAAACGATTTTTTTCACGCTCTTTTGTTTTTACGAAAATATTTTTTGAATTGTGATAGGCGGGAATTTCAAACAACGCCTTGTCATACTCTACTAAAAATGATTAAGAGATTTTACATGATATTGTATTATTGCTCAGCGGTAGCAAAGAAAAAGTTTTATTAGAATAAAAAGTATGGCAGAATTTGCAGTATTATTTTGTGTTGGGACAAGTTATGTTAATCCAGAAATATTCAAGTTATTTGTCAATTCAAGAGTGTTTCTCATTTTAATTGCATTTAAAAAACGTGTGTCAAGCTGAGCATTGTGTCAAAAATGTTTTTTCCAAATAATTCCACTTTCTTGCCGAATCTCTTGACCACCATATCTGAAGAAATTCACTCTCGTAAACGTGCCGCATGTAATCCTTATGAGCCCTCCTCCAGCTTCTCATAAAATGCTTCCTTTCTTTAAGCAACGCCTTCAAGTTTACTAGTTTCAATAACCGGTGAGGATATTCGTTACCATATGTTTTTTCAAGATATCTGGTAAAGCCTACAATAATCTGCTGATAGTATGGAGTTAATAATGATAACTTGTTTCTTGGACGATATAAATTAGCAGTGTATAAGAATATCAGCTCTTCATATGTTGGTTTTAGTTCATCAAGTGCAACATGTAATTTTTCTGTATAGCCAGCAAACTCATCATCAGTTAAATTTCTAAGAAAATTTCTATCGACTCTCATTTCGTAACCACTTATACTTACGTCTACAGTTCCTCTTTCAAAACTCCTCATAATAGCAATTAACATAATAAGATGGAAAAATTCATCCCCTACATACATTGCATCCATCAATTCAACTCTATTGAGATCCTTCAATCCAGGTAGTTCCAACATGTTAATCATGGTATTTTTTACAAGTAATTCCCAAATTTTTCCAAAACACGTTAAAAAATTTTTCCTCTCATCTACTTCAATACCAATTATGTCTAAATAAAGTATATAGTCATCCCGGGTAAAAATTCCGTTTACTATAGCTTGAGCAGCCGATGTGAATAATTCATGGAAATTTTTTATTTCCCTTTGATAATCAATTTCTCTCAATGAACCCAATAAGTTTAAACATTGAATAAATACATCATCAAATTCAGTTGTGTCAATTTGTAAAGGTACACAAATTTTATTCATATGAAATACAGCGAGTTGTTGCTCTTTTTGATCTAGTCTTTCTTTAGAGTATCTACCTATTTTAATCTTTTGCCGAGACATTCCAACATCTAAACACTTTTTATATCGACAATATTTACATGAAAAAGAAAAATCGGTACCCGGTATACAACTCTTTCTTCCATTACTACATTTATAAGTTTCGAACTTATATGAGCTTCTTCTATAGAACACTTTGCAAGCTTCGCAAGTAAAAACTCCGTAGTGATATCTATATTTAAAAGAAAATCGTATTATTAAGTGAAATGAATTTGTCAATTTTAAATTTCATTCTAATATTTACCCGCTAGAACTAATTCCACAAACTTGACAGGGTAGATTAGCGTTGGCGAATACCGAAGAAGGTTTTTTTCTTTTACTAATTTTTGTAGCCTTCTTTGAAGCCATCAATGTTGTGTCATGAGTGTATTTATTTACCTCTCATGTTTCATAAAACAATTACACAATTACTACGATCTATTATAAAAATCCTCTTCAGTTGATATTACGATAATAATTAGACCAATAAGTAGAACGTCATAGAAAAAAATGCAGATGTCACTAAGATATTTATGTTTAAAACTCTAAAAAGAAGTTTTAAAGTCTTTATATTTTTTATTCAATTTAAGAAAATGTTTTACTACAAGAAAAAGTTAAAAATACGACAAATTATCTTTATACGAAGATGTTTTTGCTGATGCTGCCGGAAGCGGAAACGTCATTCGTTTAAAATCTCTAAATCAGGTCAAAAACTGAAAAAATGGCTATGGTTGAAAATTGGAAAAGTAAGCTTGATAAAGCTTTACACGAGAGAAATGCGTTTACAGACCAGTTAGAGAAAATCGAAAAGAAAACGAATGTACAACGTTTGTACATTGTCCTGGGTGAGTATCTTTGTTTATGACTAAAGATGATTAGGACTTCTTAACATTTGTTACTTAAAAAACTGAAAACCTACATATTCTATTTAAATTATTCATTTTACGCCAAGTGATATTTTATAGATGCTCTAGTAACACCACGATTTTCCTAATAAATTTAACAGCCGTTACACTAACGATTTCGATTATATATAGATATATATTAGTATATACATATATTTGTTTTTCTTATAGGATGTACGGCTTTTTTGGGTTTATACTTGATGATCGGCTATGGAGCACAGTTCATCTGTAACTTTGTCGGCTTTTTGTATCCAGCCTATGCTTCGTGAGTAATTTATGCGTTATTATCGTTAACGAAATTGCATTGCACCAGACAACTGATGATTTTAATCAATAGTTTAGTCTGTCTTGTGATCTTTGAGCTTTCGACATTGGTTAACTGTCCGTCTGAAAGTTACGTAATCAGAAAAAGTTGAAGGTTATAAGTTAAAAATGAAAGATCCCAAGTAGATAAACTAATTACTAAATAGAAAAAATTTTGTTTTTAAATAATTATCTCTTTCAATATGAAAGAGCCTTGTTTTTGTTGTCGAACAACAATTTTTTAGTTTTTGCGAACAACAGCATTTGATATGAGCTATGCTTTTGCCCCACATGTTCAACATGCTCATACCCCTCTGGATATATCGATTGAGTTTCATTAAATTGTATTTTTAGTAATATCCTTGTTGCTTCTGCAGCCCAATTAAAATATCTTCGCTGTAAAAGTAAGATAAGATAAATCAAATAGGCTCTATATAAATTGATCCAGTATAATAGGACTAGATGCTATAGACTTTCTGTCATAATATTTAGGGTAAAAGCAATAGAAAGCGAAGATAAGGATGATGATACAAAATGGCTTATATATTGGGTTGTTTACTCAGTGTTTCATTTAACGGAATTCTTTGGTGACATATTTCTATTTTGGATTCCATTATATTGGTTTTTAAAGGTATTTCGCATAAATTAAAAGAGAGTAGAACAAAATTGCGGAAGGGGTATTTCATACAGCACATTCCATACTTTCTTTCGGGAACACCCTAACTGATTATAGAATTAACTAAGAGATAATCAATCTGAGTGCCTTTTATACGTTTATTGCATGAGATAATCACACTATTTGCATATTTTCTAATCTAAGAACTATTTAAAAGAAACGCAAACAATTTTTTTGCATGAACCTAAATTTTATTTGGTGACGGATTTACCTAAACAGAGTAAAGGCTATTGAGTCTCGTGACAAGGATGATGATACGAAATGGTTAACCTATTGGGTCACTTATTCGGCTTTTGCACTTGTTGAATTTTTCGCCGATATCTTTCTCTTCTGGATACCGTTTTACTGGTTCTTTAAGGTAGATCTTTTAACTTTCTGAGCACGCTCTCATCTTTAACGCTTTGGGATATTTGAGTCACTTGTTGAATTTTTATAATGTAGGATGTTTAATCAGATTATAATTTAAAGGTGTCCCTCATGTACAGTGCATTTTCTTGGTTTACTTAATGGTACCAACCTCTTGGAATGGATCGATTTTTATTTATACAAAGTTTATCCGACCCTTCGTCTTGAAACATCAAGAGCGTGTAGATGATTTCGTTGGCAAAGCAGCAGATACGATGGAAGATATTGCTAAAGAAGGTAAACATTTCACTATTAATTTTTTGTCAGCTGTTCAAATTGGGTTAAAATAGCTGTATTTAAATATGTCGATTTCGTTAGGTTTCATTCGCCATTTTATTAGTAATCCATATACATTAAGCATACGTTTTTATATCCAGTTAAAGGTGCCGCTACAGCATCAGGTACAGATGGTTTAAAGATTCTTTTTGGTTTTTTTTTTAAATAGCATTAAGCTTTTAAGCACGTCGAAGGAGAAAATATTCGTTTTTAATTTGTTTTATAGCTGTAGCTATTTCTTTTATTGATGATAAAATGCATAACTAGTTGCTATAAGCAAATATCACATATGCATAACTACTCAAATAATTGAAATCTTGCTGTTTAAGCACGGGGAGTTGGCTCTTCTCTTGCATTTCTATCTTCTCGACGGGGAATAATATTTTTTTTGTTTATTTTAACAGCCAAGACAGCTGCTGGAGATGCTGCCGCTGCGATGAGCAAACAGCAATTTGAAGACTTTGGCAAAATGGATTAAAAAGTCTATGAATTAATATAAATATATACATATATATATATTACTATACATATGCATATATATATATATATATTAACATACATATATATCTATATATTTATATATGTAATCATACTAAACATTTTGAATTATATAATTTATAGTTTTATGGACTTATTTGGAACTAAAAAATATATATCCGTGTACACTTGGTATACATGCTTAGTTGTATGGTAGTTTTACTAATAGCTATATTGTCTTCTAGTCCGCAGTGTGTACAAGATAACGATGCTTTTTTATCAAACTTGTCATTGAGTTTAAGTTAATAGTACTATGCAAATATGTTATGTCAGTTTATATTGTCTCACACTTAGTGAAGATATATTTCAAAAAATATCGTATTTCACCCTAGACTGTCTTTGCAGACTGCAACTAAAATAGTTCATCACTTTTTTCTTGCATGCAGTGTTTTTTTCATTTTTTCTGAAATGCACTATTTATTCTACCTATTACAAAGACCTACTCAAATTAATAAGCCATTTGTGCTAATGAAGTTTAATTCTCTGAGGTATCCGACTTTTAAACGTTGTATTTATCATATTTTTCACTTTTCTTTCTCTACCTTTCGTAGACGTTTCTTCAATTGTGTTGTTATTTAGAACAGCATTACTTTCTTGTTTAATTTTCCATCTGCCTTTTGTAATTGTTTGAAAACCAGGTGCGAATCCATAAAGACCTAAATTGTAATTTTTGTATTTTAGAAAAGTATGTGAATTATCACTATTCTTTATGGAGCGACCTAGTTTTAATTGTTCAACGCTTCTCACATAGTCACTACTTTTTCGCCTTGTCTCTTCAACCAATAGAATCAATTTTATATTCTCTTCCTTTTCTTTTTTCAGTTCTTCTTTATATTCTTCCATATCTATACTGATTTTATTAAAATGATCATATATACTATCGATCAAAACACCCATTTCTCGAGCGGAACTGTTGTAAAATTGTTTTGATCGACTTGAATCCATATTTAATAACTTATGTTCATTACTTTGATCAAAGTTTTTTATTTTAAAAAAATTAATACTTTTCAAGTAGTACGATTTTTAAAATGAACACAATACGTCAATTTTAAGTATTAATCTCTTCTTTTGTTTCTTCCTTAATTTCTACTTTGTCTTCCTTAGAAATCTTTCTCGTTTTAGGTTTTCTGACAGATTTTGTTGATTTTAATCCTTCAAATGAGGGACAGATGTCTTTATTTAAACATTCGGAGCACTTTGGTCTGACTGGAGCACAAATTGTTTGGCCGAAGCCAACGAGAAGATGATTGACTGTATCCCAATACTCTCTGAAAAGTTTTAGTTTTAATTAACAAAACCGAACAAAATATTAAAGAAGTTTAATATATATTTATATAGTGAATTACTTCGGTAACCAATCTTCCAAACCATGTCTTGTTTGTTCTGGAGTTTTTGTTGGCTTTTGCAACCATTTTAACCTATTAGAAATTCTATGAACGTGTGTATCAACGCCAATTCCTTCTAGTTTATTCCATGCACTGCGTAATATAAGAAAAGCCATTTTCGGTCCTATCCCCGGTAAAGCCAATAGATCGTCTAGATTATCTGGAACATCGCCTTTGAATTTGTCTTTTAAAATTTTTGTAGTCTTTTTTATGTTTTTAACTTTAGTTCTATAAAAGCTGACGGGATAAATTAATTCCTGAAGTAAGTCATCTTCTGTTTTCAGTATATTATCAATATTGCAGCCGTGTTTTTTCAATTTTGACATGGCTGCGTCATTAACTTGGTCTTTTGTTTGACTGGAGAGCATTAAGGATATAAGAACTTGATATCTATATACATGTCCCTCAGCTTTCTTATCGCCAACCTTAACATATTAGATTGTGCATAAAATAAGTCATTTAAGAGAAATAAAAACCTACAGCATCACAACCCATAGTATCAACTGGAGCCTCTCTTTCAGATCTCATTTTTTCTATATTTTTTATATGAATTTTCCAATTTTCAGGTTCCCATTTTTCTTTTTTCAAGTCTATTTCGTGGTTTTCGGCTTCAGAGCTTGTTCGTTTTTCTTTTTTCACTTTTCCCTTTCCTCTGGTTTTCGTTGATTTGACGAAATATTTTGAATCTTCGCCTATTTCACTCATATCCTTTTGGTCCTGTATTCAATCAAAAGAAAGAATTATTGATATAATAATTGTATAGGAAGGAAAAACAATCCATCCTCCTTTACCTTTAGACTAAACAGATATCTAGAATTGAGAAATTTCGTAGATTGAAGCGCGGGAAAATGTCGGATTAGGGGAAAGACTACTGTAAGATATGACGTCATTGGAATTCCCAATATATTTTATTTAATATTAAAATAAAAGTTCCGCTAAACAGTGAGTTTAAAACTAAACTGAAACCCTTTGTAGCTAATGAAATTATTTTCATTTATTTTCGAACTGAATAAGTTGTGATAAGGGTAAATATACTGATAATTTGAAAAATGGGTGTATTTAAAAGTTGGATATGGGAAAGACAAACTAAGTTAGTATAAATATTAACAAAATACAACTCAGTTTTATTAAACAATGTAATTTTAATTAAATATGCCTATTCAAACATAATGAGCAAATGATGTAATAATAAAATAAATGCGAAGAAGAAAACATTCTATTTTTAGAAACCGTAATTAGACAATTACCATGCCCATTCCGTTTTTCATTCAATTATAAAAGATAACTAATTACAAGTGACAAATAGAATTTTCATATAAAAAGAGGTGATATTTTTAGAAAGCAGATCTTTATCTTTATCCTCTTTAAGCCATTTCAAAGACAAATACTTTTAATGATACAAACATAAATTGATTATATTGTCGAAAATGTATAAATCACCCTGCAAATGCAAATAAGCAGTCTACTCAGGAAGAATTTCGGTTGTTATTCTTTACTTTATACAAAACATTCTTCTCTATTTTACTTTCATTGGACATAAATAATAGATGTAAGAGAAAAAGACATTAATTGTCAATAATGTTAAACATAGAAGAAAATGTCATAACCTTTTTAAAACTTATAGAAATTTTGCAATTCTCTAGCTCATTAATAACTGAAAAACATTCATTTCACTAAAGTCTCTCTAATATAGCGTTTCATTGCAAAGAGAATGATCATTTGGTGTATTTCCTATGATCAGCGCTTATGTGGTGATTATAAAAAGTAAAAGTTTATTACTTTACGGATTTCTTGACAAGTTTTGTATATCTTATATAATAAATGAGATAATAAGAATATGAACGATTCGTTGAATGACTGTCACAATATAAATAAACTAATAGTTCATATATATATGTATTAAAGTTTGATTACGTTGACTTCATTTCATTAATTAATAATGAAAAAGTCTTTAAATGTTAGACAATGACATTAAAATAGCAAAATGGCATGAGAGTATATTATAGGAGCATATTAGTAAGATCTAACTCCGTTCGCATTCTAGGTTTACCATCAGATCTCGTAAAATACCGTTTAAGGCACGTGAGGTGACAACGTTGAACGTCAACTAATTTTTGTTGATTATTTATTGCTGGTAAATCGATTGGACGAAAGTTGGCTTCGGCTTGGATAGAAAAAAGATCTTGTGCATTGTTTGAGATTTTTAGGTATTATCTTTATTTCCTGTCAATGTAAAAAGCAGTTTATTTATCACCGGTGTTGTGTTTTTGAATAGCTTATTTATTTAAATAATATACTGATTCATTTCATCAATGGAAGATTCTAAACTCTCTAAAAGGTTTTCTGAGAAAATTATTATTGATCATTGGGCAAAAGTTTCTAAAATCTGATAAGATTACAGTAAATACAGGATGAATGAACAACCAAAATATATTTTTAAAAAATCTCTATAATTGTCTTTTTTTTTTAAAATATAAACGTACTTCTTTTATTAGTATATTTTATTGAATTTAAATAGAGCTTACAAATGTTTCACTACTATATCTAATTTTTATATTTGATTTTCTGGTATCTGCCAGCCGCCTTAAAAACACCAGATTGAGTTAAAAAAAGAACTTTTGACCTGGTTTATAAAAGATAAGATAGGATACGGAATAGTTTATATTTTTACATTCTATAAATTTTACCTGTAAATTTTCAATAAATTAATTAAATATTTAGGAGCGTTGCTCAGCGTAAGAGAAAGTATCTATAAGATCAAATTATCAATATGGGTAATGAATAATCTCATAGTTAAATAAGCGAAACGTGTTATATCTTGTTCATTTAAAAACATTTTTGTTCGAAATAATTTTCAATTTATTAAAAGAGAGATTAAGTATCTAAGGATTTTGTTGATCTGTTTTTCAAATTTACACAATAAAATATTAATGCAAAGTCGATTAGAATTCTTCATTTGTTTCTAGCTCGGTAATATTGAATTTTCTGTTCATACTTTTTCTTTATTATAGAAGTTTTAAACTATATTTTACGATCATATATATATATTTATATTGATTTCTGCTGACGTAAATATAGTTATAATGTAGACGAAACAACGCTTTAATATTGTAATTTGTAGGGGTAAATAGTGACGTGGTTTAATTAAATTATTCTCTGATAGAACATAGACAGTAATGCGTTTAGTTAATCTTTAAATAAAAAAAAAATCAATGTTATCAATCTTTGCAGGGAAATATTAAATTGTAATTTAGATAATTTCTTCGAAAGTTATAATTTATTCAGTTGAATAAGGAGGTATGATTGATATCAAGATAGATATAAAATAGAATAGATAAACAGAGAAAAAAAATTTATATGTAAAATGATAAAACAGAACAATGAAATTGACTGCAAATTGGAAATTGATAGTTGAAATCGTTCAGCTTGTTTGGCTATGTATATTTTGTTTTTTACCATTTATTAATCATAATTTGGAGAACTGAATGTATTGTCCGTATATGATGTGTATGCATATGCATAGTGATCTGTATTTATTCATTATTTTAAGCGTCTATAATTTACATATATTCTTTATAAGCTATATATATATATATATATATATATACATTTACTTTAAACATCAGTTTTTTAGCAGACAAAATAAGAGAATTACGAATATACGAGTTTTCTATTGTAGAAAATGATATATTTGTAAACATATAAACATTGTAACATTGGACATTTTGTATTCTAGCATTGTTTTATTAATAATTATCCAATTTTAATTTTATTCAGATATTCTAAATTAACTCCTGGAAGTGGATTTGACTTACGTGTCATGACTACTGGCAATGAGAAGGAAGCATGTTACTTTTACATTAATTGCCATTTTTCTGATTTGGAATGTGATTGCTTATATATACCTGTTTACGAGGCCCAGGGTAAGTAAATGCCAATCGTTAGTGTATCTCCTCGTCATACGAGATTACAGCTCGGTTCTTCCTAGCTTATTAATGTCTGAAATCATTACGTATTGTTTTTCCTTGCTTTTTATCTAAAATTTGTAAAATAATATACAAAAATAATCGTTAATAATTGTTAAAAATAACTGATTTATAGTATTAACAAGCATGAGCTTAGTGCATGACAACTTATAACCTAACAGACTCAAGGAAAGTATCTGCCTAATGTACTTCAGCCTGAAGAAAAGGTGCAATTGACTGAAAAATTAAAAGACCTAGCTGATGCAATCGCAAGCCAAGGAGAATGGAACCAATATTTATTAAAACAGCTACAGGGTTTAAAAATGGAACTGGAGGGAAATAATAAAATGGGTAAATTTTTGCAACTGATATTTATTTAATAAAAATAAAATGAATTGTTATCTTCTTGCAGATATTTTTAAAAGAGAGCCTATAAATGATAATTTAGGGTCAGAAATTCAAATACCAATCTTAATGATTGCCTGTAACCGACCTGAAGCCTTACGGGCATCTCTGAAGAATCTTATTGATACCAGACCGTCCAGTAGTCGATTTCCTATTGTTGTAAGTCAAGACTGCATGCATCAACCAACTGCAGATGTTGTTCGATCGTTTGGTAACGAGATCAAACATTTCACTCAGCAACCTGATCAGTCACCAATAAAAGATCTCAAGCCCAAAGAAAAAAAGCTAGAGGTAATTTTGTTTTTTCTTAAACATTAGACGACATATTCGAAAAAAACTTTTTTTCCTTCAGGGGTATTACAAAATATCACGTCACTACAAATGGGCTTTAACTCAAGTCTTTGACATAAAAGGCTATAAAGCTGCAATAATAGTGGAAGATGACTTGGTATTTGCTAAGGACTTTTTCGAATATATGGAAGCTCTTTACCCTTATCTTATGAAAGATCCAAGTCTTTTCTGCGTCTCTGCGTGGAACGATAATGGTAAAGAGTCAATGGTTGATAATTCGCAAAATGGTAACTTTATCTTTTGTTCTGAAAAAATTATCTAACTAAGGAACATGTATTCTTTTCTAGAAAAATTGTATAGGACTGATTTCTTTCCTGGTCTCGGATGGATGATTACAAGTAATCTGTGGTCTGAGTTACGAGATAAATGGCCAAAAGGGTTAGTATGAATGGATCGTCAAGAATATATTTCATATAACTTTACGGGCGTTTCACAGCTGGCTGCCTTATTAAGACAGGAGTTAAATATAGGTTATAGATAGGAGTCAGCCAGAGTGAATAAAAAGCAGCAAATTAGATATTCTTTATAAATGGCTGTAGTTAGCTTTGTTTATAGAATAGCAATAATTTTCCATATCCTATGCACACACAACTATTGCTTGTCTGAACTAGCAGCTTTATTTAAAACATATCTTATAGGAAGTTTAAATATACACTTTAAAATTTCCTACTGTTTAACATAGTGCAACGTGATATTTATTTGTAGTTGCTAGTCTTAAATGGATATTGATAAAATAGCTCAATAAATAAGATAAACAAGCTTAACGACCCGACTTACCAAAAAGAACCTATGGAGATATTAGAGTAGCTAAACAATCATTTTTTTATCTTTCATGTAGATTTTGGGATGATTGGTTGCGACAACCGGATCAACGGAGAGATCGCCAGTGCATTCGGCCAGAAATTCCTCGTACAGAAATTTCCCCTCATGGGAAGAAGGGAGTTAGCAAGTAGGCTCAATATTTTCCTATTGAAACTTGGACATGCGCGTCAATCTTTTCCTATTTCTCTTTTTCAGAGGGCAATTCTTTGATAAACATCTCAAATTTATAAAAATGAATACCAAATTTGTGCCTTTTACAAAATTAGATTTAAGTTATTTAACTAAGGTGATTTTAATTTATTTCCTTATTATTAAAATGATTGATAATATCTTATGACGTTTCTGTTAGGATCGATACGATTCTGAATGGGTAAAAGGGATATACAAATTGCCTCTGGTATCCATCAATGATGTGCTCAAGAATACAAATCCCAGTCATAAGGAGGTTCGTATTGAGTATGTAACCAAAAATGATTTCAAGTCTTTGGCAAAGAGAATGGGAATTATGGACGATTTTAAGGTAAGATTATTGACTGTTTACTCATAATGAAATAAATTAATCGTCTATCTTTTCATTATCAATAACAGTCAGGTGTTCCTCGTATGGGTTATAGAGGAATTATTCCTTTTCTGCTAAACAAAAAGCGAGTATATTTTTCTCCCCCTTCAACGTGGACCAAATATGACACTAGCTGGTCCTAATAAGCAATAGGATGCATGTGATATTTGTTGGTTGTTATTAGGCTCTTTCTTATATTGTTAATATAGTTGTTAAAAAAAAGAATGGAAATATTGCTATTATGACTTTTCATTAACTAATTTAAACTATATACTCTATTAAATATCTTTGTGGAAGTATTTTTTGAAAAACAAGAGAAATATGAACTATTTTCTTTATATCAATGTAAACATTGATTGTGTGATAAAAAAATAGAATATTTTAGATTAAATACTACAATGTAACTGCAAAACAAGAATGCAATATTTTTTCTAAAAATAAACAAAAGTAAAAGTTAAAGGAACAATTGTTATGTTATATTATATTTCATACTTCCAAAATATAACAAAGTGTTTTGAAATAATAGAACTTTCGATTCTGAGATTAAAAATGTTTTTTTGGATTAAACTTGAAGTCAAATATCTTCTTTGGATCTATTTGCCAATTAATTTGCACCCTCTTTGGATCTGGAGGATTCCTCATTCCTCCATGATTATATTCTATGTCCTCAAAATAATGAACTTGATTCAATGAGACAAATAAACTAACAGCTATGGTCTTTATTGGGGCATCACCCCATCTATACCTATAAATACCCCCTAAATTATCAAGATAAGATATAAATTTTGTATAGCTGTCCGATTTAAAGAGAGAAACGGAGCTTATTTCAAAGTTATTCATAAAAATGAGAGGATAAGGCCACTTGTGAAAAAAACATGTACGGTTTAAAAGATTGACCTCAACATATAAATTTACTGCTTCCCATAAATTCTTAACACATAAAACTTCATCCTGAGTGACCACCGTCCATCCATAAAGTAATTTTTTTGCTCTCATAAAGTTAAACACATCGTAATTAATATCAGAAAGTATTCGAGAATCGTCATCTAAACGCCATATATATTCTAAATGATCTAGAATAGGTTCTTCGTACACAAGAAAAGACTGAAATCTGCACATCGTTCTATAGTTAACATCCTCTGCTCTAGAGCAAATCCGACCTTTACCAGCATCCTTTACAAGTAATTTATCGATCAAAGGTAAATTCCTTTTATATTGCGTTGGAACGGTAAAGTTTATAAGCTGAAAAAATAGATTACACTTTGGACAGATATTTCTGAATTCATCTTTCAATTGCTGTGATAGTTTTTGTTCATGAAACAATATGATTGGATAATTAAATTTCTTATTAAACCTTGAATAAATATTAATCAAACCATCAATCATCATTTCAGATCTCTCCGTTTTAACAAGGTAGTAAATGGCGCTGTCAGATTTCTCTTTCGGAAAGGAGGCCAAATATCTCCTAAATTTACTTAACTCCTCGCATTTTTCTTCAATTAAAGAATATTGCACAATACCATTTCTTTTAATGCGTTTTAAATCAGTCTCTGAGCAATTGTATAAGCTAAATTCTTTCTCTACATTTAAATTATGCCTTCCATCTCGTTGATACTTCAGTAATTGACTATTCATATCATTCATTTGAAAGTTATTCGATTTGCTATTCCTTGTAAACTTTAACAAAATATATGTCATTACAGGAATCCAAAATAAAAGCGTTACAAAGCAAGATATTCTCCTAAGATAGTGCTTTATCATTTTATAAACTCTTCGTTATATTGATCGCTTGGCGAATTTCACAGGTCACATCGGTGAATAGAACAGAAAAAGCATATGGAAAAGCGCAAGCGAGTCAATACTGTATCAGCCACCTTTTAAAATTGAATGGAAATCGGCAGTTTTTTAAAAGTGTAACATTCAATGTGCATAATTAAAAGCCGCAATTTAAGAAAACACCATACGGTGTAATCAGTCTGAAAGGGGTTTTTTTATTATTATTTAGCTCTTTTATATTTCAACTATAGTTCAACGTTTTAACAGAATTACATAAATAATCATATAGGATAGATGATAGTAAATTATTATGATCAACATAAATACCTGTATATTGTTGCATTACATAATTATCGAATTATATTTACTAAATGTAAACTATCAGTTGTTCTTCGTTCTATTAAAAAGTATATGTTGGGGGTATTTTTTTATTCTGTATGAATATTACTCACTATAAAAATTTCCCAGAAGACTAATTATAAAACAGAATTGGCAAAATAATGAACATTAAGATGGTCAATTTTCCTAAAATATTAATGATGTTAAATTAACTTTCAGAAGACTAGTCACGTGATACAATAGGCAATAACCGGGTTCGTATTCCATTATATGAAAGGAAATGGCGTCTGTTTGGGTTGCGTTGGAGAAATTGGTTAATACAAGTTGCTTGAAAACAACTTTATGCTTGTAAGATTATATGTTACATAATGATACAAGGTAATTAATCATATATCATATCATAAGATTCCATAAAATTTGTATATAATGTCGATAGAATGATATATTATAATAGGTATTACCTGTACTTGCCCCCATAACAGCGCGCCCTGATGGATTCGAAATATAGGATAGAACCGTTAAACAAAGTTAAATTACATATTTATTAACAGGTTTTCCATCTTCCTTAAGTACGTCCGACAATTCGTCTTCAACACCGATTTTTGATCATACTCTTCATTGTAAGTTTCTTTTTCATCTTTCTAATTTTTCTGACGTCTCTTAATCAGCTCATCCATAAAGAAGTGTCTATTAAATCCTTTTAGGGTGTCCTATATGTAAGAAAGGATACACAAACCCATGTACGAAGCATATATTGCACAGAATTAAAGATAAACTACTTCCTCCTCGAGCCAAGTTGACTCTACCCTCTATACTTCAATTGAAAAAATTTGATGAATTGTCGGATACAGAACGTAATTTCATCTATGAAAAATGTGTATTAATATTAAATTTACTAAGATAACAATATTTTTCCAGCTAATGGAGTTATAGCTAAGAAAAGAATTGCTAAAGACACAATTTTTGGTCCTTTGGAAGGTTCAAATTCTGAAAGTCAAAATAATACACATATTAAATATTATAAAGTAACTTTAGTCGTTTTCTTTAAAGCATTTAACTAATCTGGAACATTTTTTTTAATAAATAGATATTTCAATTTGATGGATCTTCGTCAACTATATATCTTAACGATCCTAATAAATGTAGTTGGGAGATTTATTTGAGGTCGGCACTAGTCGCAGAGGATATAAACATTGTAGCCTATCAATGTCAATCGGAAATTTATTTCATGACAACGAAAGAAATTGAGCCTAATGAGGAATTGCTTGTTTGGTATGAAGAAAATTATTCTAAATTAATGAATGTTAAACCATTACGTAAGTTGGTTGGCAACTAAATATAAAAATTTAAATTTTTACGATTTTGTAGCTAGTAGAAAAAGATCTTCAATGTCGGAAGATCATGTGATGGACGCCTTAAAAGATCTTCACTCTAGCTCTGATATAGCTGAGGTTAATAAAAGATCGAGTACAGCGGCCTTTCTTGATGATAAAAAAGAAATTAAGAGTGCTAACAAAAGACTATTAGAAACTGTAGACATGCAAGCTATGAATAATTCTATGGAAGATGGAGATAAGTTAGTTGTTAAATAAGTTTCAAAGCAGTAGTAATTGTTTTAAAATCTACTTCCGATAGTTGTTTAGTGGAACAAAGTAAAGTATGTGAGAAGAATGAAACGAGGAAGAAGCGAGACGCCAAAAAGCAAACTTGGGCTGACAGAAAGACGCATAAATGCCCACATTGTGAAGCAGTTTTCGTGACATCCTCAAGATTAGCAGCGCACATCAATATGCATACGGGAGATAGACCTTTTAAGTACGATTAAATGAAGAGATAGATATTAAAAATTTTTGTATTTTTATATTTCTTCCTTCAAACAGATGTTCAACCTGCGATAAAGCGTTTAGCAGCAAGTTCAAGCTGGATAGGCATTCTTTAAACCATAAAGAGAAGACTATTAATTGTCCTTATTGTTCAAGAGTTAGTGCAAATTATTATGTAAATATCTAATATTTACTTAGCTTATATATAGATGTTTTCAAGAAGAGATCATCTAAGGAGCCATTTAAATACGCACGATCCCAACAAGAAGCAATTTATATGTGAAGAATGCAATAAAGTTTATCAATCATCTTTGTGCTACAAAACCCATATGTCAGTTCATGCTGCTGACAAGGGAGATTTCACTTGTTTAGTTTGTAATAAGAAGTTTGAAACAAAAGAAGAAATTGATTATCATCTTAAGAAACATTTAGGTTCAAGAACTCTACTTTCTGAAAATGATAAAAAGCACAATTGTTCTGTATGCTCTAAAAAGTTTTTTTCCAAAAAAGACTTAGAGAGGCACAGAATTGTTCATACGAAAAAGAAAGATTTCTTATGTCAATATTGTCCGCAAACTTTTGGTAGACAAGATCATTTGAATCGTCATCTCAAAAAAACTCATAAAGTTGAATTGAACACAAATAGAGGTAAAATGCAATATAAAGACTTTTCTATTAATCTTTTGTAACAAAAATAACCACAGGTCAAGACTCTAATGAAAGTAATGAAATATCAGAGGAACAAAGAACCGAAGAAGATACAATTGAAAGCAGTAGTCTTGTCTATTTAATGCAAGACGCAGCAAAATCAGTAGGGATTCATCCAGAGTCCAATAAGCTGGAAGAAAGTCAAACTATTGCCTATACTTATGCACCAGGTGATACCTTTTTTACGGTCGTTAATAATGACATAAACAACGTGCAGCCTCAATCGCAGTCTATGCAACAGCCCCATTTAGGTTACATATTGGTTGATGCTAATAATCCATCTCAATACGCCCAAATAATAGATTCAAATAGTGAACAATTAAGCACTTTTCAAACTTAAAATATTATTCATCTGTGATAACATGAAATGTTTATTTTTTTGATAAGAAAGTTAAATAAAACCTTTGAAACTATTTGTATGAAGTTTAATATGGGAAATAAGACTCCGTATAAATTGCAAAATTATCAGAGAAGGGTGAATTTAATTCATATATAGATGGCGCCACCAGTCATTTATCCCAAATTTCATTTGTCCGGTATTTTCGCTCACCCAAAAAAGTGATTATTTCCATAAATAAATATGGAATTAAATACTAGCGACGATCTAGACAAAATAAAAGTCCAATTGATGGATGCTGTATCTAATATTTGCTGCGATAATTTAAACTTTAAGAGTGATTTACAAATTGAAGGCTTAATTGGTGTCACAATAGACCAAAAGAGAATATTCCTAGTCAACCTACAATCTCAATTCTTACCAATCAAGAAGCCAGATATTGTTCTAAGTGAGGGTGAAACAGATATATATGGGGAACAAAACGATACCGTAACGGCTATTACATGTTCTACCTCTCCTAGTCGTAAGAATAAAAGAAAGGCTAGACCGGTCAAAACAGAACAAGTCAATCATTTAATCGAGGGTTTTGAAGAGTCGAAGAAAAGCCGATTATCAAGTTCAGACGACCCGAATTTGGCAACAACATCGTCTTTTATCGACGACGAACCTCATACCTTAACATCGGATCCAGTCTATGGTGAAGCTGCAATTCCAGTCTCTCATTTAAATCCAGAACCTGCCCTAAATAATGTTTTTAATAATATTTCTCAAAAAATTCTCTCAAGTTATGAAGAAACTGTTGAAACGTCCGAACCCGTGAAACCGGTGAAAAAAAATAAGAAAAATAGTCTCTCAGAAGTTCTTCCTCGTATTAAACATCCTGTAGCCTCAAAGCCGCAGTCCTTATATACTAATAAACCAACACCAACAAATCAAAGATTAAAGAGAAGAAAACCTAGAGGAATGTACACAACATATACTAAAGAGACAAGAGAGGAACTAGGAAGATATGCCATGATGAATGGAGTAGCGGAAACAGTTCGACATTATAAAGAAAAATTCGGTTGTCGTATTGGCGAATCTACAGTCAGGAGTATGAGGAAATTTTACGTTAGCTGCCTCTCACATTCCTCAGATAACGAAACATCTTGTAAAAAAGGACGAACATCGTGTCTCCAAGAATTAGAACCAAAGGTTCGACAATATGTTAAAGACTTGCTTAGAACTCAGCCTGATTTGACTTCTCAAGTTGTTATTGCCGCTGCAAAAATGATTTTAGGTCAACACGGTAAAAAGGATTTACTAAAAGAAAATGGGGGAAATTTAGAACTGACAAAAGCCTGGGCTGACTCTTTTTTAAGTTCTGTTCGAAGCCCTCCTGTCGAAGGTATACACGACGTGGACTGAGAATTGATATTTGGATACACAATGTAGAATTTAATAAATTCAATTTATGTATTGAAATAAAAAGTGCAATTTTTTAATTTTTATTGTTATTTAATGTTTTCAGTGAAAAAGTATTCAAGTTAAATTAAAAGCACAGAAATTGCTGCACAGAAAAAGAGGGTGGGCTGATAGTTTTTCTAAACACGTTGACTTCCATCTGGTGCTAAACCAACATAAGGAACTTCTTCTCTCTTCTTTCTCCAGCAAAGCAGAACGCAAGATGCTATTATGCCAAGAATAAGTAAACCCAAAAATCCGAAAGCTGTTCCCAAAATTATATCGAGATGATTAACAACAAAATTTTTAACCTTTGGTACGCAACCATCCTTCCTTAAATACAATTCAGATGTTTCATTTTTGTAACAAGATTTTGGATAAGGTTCCATCGGATGGTGATGACCCCAAGGTGTATCAATCCAATCGGTGGCGTTATTAACACCACAGCATTTGAATTTTTCTTGAATGAAATCAATTTCATTTCTCCAAATACTGTTGTTTTTATAATGATTCAATCCTTTTTCCAATACTTTTGAAGCAGATTTCTCAACCTTGTGACGATAATGATACGACAATGAAGCCGAAACAATGAGACCAACAGCGATTATAATTATGCAGACACAGAAGGTTCCCAATAAACATTTATGCTCCTTACAACTACCAATACAACCCAAGAGGCCGACAACGAAGAACAATACTGCACATAAAATGAGAACAACCGTTGGTACAAGGATATATAAAGCTTTCCCAAGCTCCTCTATATTCCTGTATTCAACGAATATTTGGACAGATACCCAGATCAAAGCAGCGGCAAGTGCCTGAAAAAGTTGAAAATTATTTTAATACAGACGTTTAAAAACATTAGCAAAGTATAAATTTAATACATTGATGAGTCACCTCCTTGTGACTTGTTATTGCCCAAGAATAACAAAGCGTAAAACATTTTAAACTTACCCATAATATTGTCCCGAATAGAAGGAGAAACGCTTTCGTTGAACATTTACACATTCTGAAGGTTGTGTTGTTGAATTTTTCTAATGTCTGTAGGAAATTACGACTTTTATCGGATGGACTGAGTAACTACCATGAGACAGCCCACGTGATAAGTATTCACATGACTATGTCTTCGACATTTAAATTTTTTACCCTGTTATGAACCTGGTTCCACGTCGTTATTGTGTGTAAAAATTCAGCTCGGACAGGAAGCCTTATTATGGAAAAATTGGAAATCCCTAAAAACGACAGAAATCTTGAATAAATTGAATATTATAGTGTATCGTTCGAGAATAATTTGATTAACGTAGGTTTATTATATTATATCCCATTATTGTCAGTTAACTTTTAAGTTCCTTTATCAAGTAAACAACATGATATTAAAATATATCTAAATTTCGACAAGGTTTTTAATTTCGTATAATGAAATAATTCGTTATTTTTATGTTGATGGTAGTGTCAGGTGGTGGGATCAAAAATTGGAAGTATAAAGAGATTATTTAGCTAAAAGTTTGGCTTTTAATGTTCTCGTTTAAAAGTAATCCGCAGGAAAATTTTAGATCAAAATGAGTGGATGTTAATTAAAATGAGTTAAGAAAAGAGATTACTAATAACTTAAAAGTAATTAAAAACATTTTAAGTATATTAATGATATAATACTATTTTGTTTAAACCTTACTCATTAAGTCATGCAGATGGCGCCTAATAATATTTTACTTTGCAGGTAATGCGTTACAGAGGTTTCCAACCGAGCATAATTTCCGAGTGGCTGTTGGAATGTAAACAAGTCAGTTGACTTATTTGATTATATAGTTTAGGTTATAGTATTGTTTATTTCCAACTTGTTGTGATCAGAGTTTTTTCCTATTTTTTTTGCATCTCTCTTTGCCTAGAATCATTTTCTAACCAAAACGTTTTCCCCGTCAATCACACATTTTAATCTTATTATGTTTGGGGAGAAAATTATAATTCCTACTTTTCAAAAATAGAAATATAAAAATTTTTTTAACGAAAAAAGTGTTAGAATAGTTAATTAACGTGTAGCTCAGGCGTTTTCCTCTTTGAAGTCAAAAAAGCGGGTGCAAAAGATGAAGACACACCCAGCTATTTCAAGCGTCAATTATCCTTTGTCTAAACTGCTGGTGCAGTTTCTCGCCTTTCATATAATGCACTTTTATGTAGCGCATTAGTGCATTTTGGGTGTGGTGATATTGAGCAGTGATTCGTTTAACGTTGAAAAAAGTTGGAAAACAATATATGTATCCTTCACCATCCATAATGAGCTCTGTTATAATCTGTAATGAATATAATATTCAAATTCCTCCATATTTCTTTAAGAAATTTGAGGACTTTTTGGGAAGGGGATTAAAAGTAGGCGGATGTTCTATTGAATTCTCAGTGAAAAGAAATACTAAACTATTTGTTTTTTTTTCAAGGATTCATCCAAAATTGAATTGGGAGCTTATGCGCAAACCATTCGCAATAATGATGAAATTGTCAACACGTTATATGAACTATTCGAAAAGTACCCTGATCATGACGTAATATTAATATTTTCCGATATTTCATCTATTTACTTGATAATTAATCTTTTATCTTAAATTTCAGCTTATTTCACCGGTCTGTCATCAACTATTTGAGTTTTATAGAGCGTCTAATGATGAATTAAAAAAATTTACATTGGAGCTTGTCCCATCATTAATAGGAGCCTATCTGACATCAGTCTACAACAGAGAGACAAAAGTGCGTTTTGCCTATTTTTTTAATTATATCGCTTAGGAAAGTATATTTGTAGTATAAAGCTTGACCATGTAAATAAATAATAGGAATGTGCTATTTACTTTCATATATTCTGCATAAGTATATTAATATTTTAAAAAATGTATGAAAGTAATAGTGTATTAATATATTTACATTTTATTCATACCGCCTCTCCTCTATCATGGACATAGAAATGTCCGTTCATCATATATTATATATGCTGCTTTCAGTATATATATATATACATATACATATAGATATATTTACAGATTTACAGATAAATACTGTTTATGAGCCATGCTATGTAATAAATATGCGAAATAGGCGATATTTGCTTTTTTTGTAAAGCTATTTATACCACCCGCTCCCCTCTGCCCTTACATATACAATTATGCTTAGAGTATTTATTTATTTCTTATTAATATATACCTATATATATATATATATATATATATATAAACATAAATATAGATTTTGCTTTTTTATTTCAACAGAGAGTATGCTCCATAGCCACATGTTTGCTAGGAATCTATAATATGGTAAGATTATTATCTAGCGCCAATTTCGCTGTTCTCATAATGTAACTCTAACCGAAAATGTGGGAGGGTGTGGTTGTCTTTAGCACGGAGAATATTAAGGGGCATCAATAATAAGGCGTCGAGAAAATAGTCGCAATAGTTCTTGGGGACAATAGCTTAAGTGTGACGTAACGATTATCTTTCCCTTTTGAACTCGTTAACGAGTACTTTCATCTTCTCTTACCTGCTTCAATTCGTTAAGGCGAAAGGCGAAAGGGTTTTTTATCATAAAGGAAACGAATAATTTGCCACGCCCAAAAAATATTCGTATAGACGCTAAGTTTAGTAGCTGACACCCCCAGGAAAACGTTTAGAATGGAAACTGCCGCCTGCGTCACTACTGTCATATCTCAACGGCATAAAAATGTGTCGGCTTTTGCAGTTATTGCAGTAGCCACACCCGTTTGCAAGAGTAAACGTCAGTAAGTTGCGGTGTGTATATGTTTGCATGTATGGTTTGTCGTGTTCGGTTTTTCTTTTACGCCTTATTTCTAATGTTATTTTTCTACGTTTCTTTTCTTTCCTTCTTGTCTTGTATGCTTCGTAAGTTGTTGAAAGAAGGAGTTTGTTTTATTTTGAGAGAATGATTTTTGTATGAAGACATTTTGTAGGGTACAAATGTAAAAGGCACTTAGTGAGGTTATGAATAAAATATTTGCCTTTTTTAGTGTGAAAGAGAACTTTCGTTTGACTTGTTATTAAATGTTAAATTATTACTCGTGAAAAGTTTTCTATGAGTAACCAAATGCTTCTAATAAGATGCTCATCTGTTTTGTACAATGACAGAGAAAGTGAATGATATATAAAGTATGAATATCATCATGGCTAAACATATATAAGGAATATGTTGCTATGGTAACTCTATATAGGTATGCACGAAACGCTCAATACGTACATGGTTAGAATCGGCATTTTAGACGCTCGACGCCTAAATATACAGAATGCAGTTTAGCAGTGGTGTAGTGCTGGTATCGTAATCTTTTTAGTTATCAGCAGTTGTACCACTGATGTGCTACATTCTATCAATCTTCAACGAAATTGGCGTATTTTTTCTCTTTACCTTAAGTTTATTGCATAAATGTTCTAACTGAATTAGCACTAACAGGAAGTCGTAGAAAAGGAGAGTGGACAAGCTAAAGTTCGAACATACACAGTACCAACAGTAGCCACTGCGTCCTGTTATCACGAAGTAAGTAATCGTGTTGGCTGGGCGGCGTTTAGTCTGATGAGACTATGAATATTTTACATTGCCGACTTTTTGCGATAAATGCTATTAGTCGCCGCCGTCGCTAATAGCCTAGTGACATTGCAGTTATTATAAAGATTGAAATATTATATTAGACGCCCATCGATACGTATATAATTACCAACGTCTTATTATATCCGTGATTGGCGAGTATTGATGGGGTTGTATGCTTAGATTCTTCGTTTTCATATCCGTAAATAATGCGCATTTCATGTCTTTTGAAGTAACGCCTGTTGCGCTTTTCTAGAATTTCATGCGTAAACATACGCTTAAAGTATTAATTCTGTTTTAGTCACGTGTATTACTCTTCTCCATATCTCTTATATTACTTTATTTTAATATATAAAAATTACACAATTTCTTTTAAAATATTCTATAAAGCATTTATCATTAATTCAGCCACCAAGTTTGACATCATTAGTACTAAGCGACAGTGCACTAATGAATTACCATCACGACAAGAACATCACATTCCAGCAGGGACCCTTCGAACAAATCGAAGAGTTTTCGGCTCAAAATAGATTCATGATCCTCACACAGGTTCTACGAGCTTATAATAGCTTTATAGCAGAACTATCGTTGAAGTCCAGAACAAATCTTTGCGAGTGGTCTTGCAGGTAAGCTTTTCCGGCGAATTATTGAATTTCATTCGCTTCAAAGACTCATCTAGCTAGAAAAAATGGCCGGGGGACTGATCGCCGTTTGCGTGCTGCCTTGATCAAACGCGTTTGCCGTTTTAATTAGACGGGCGAATTAGGGAAATATCGGGCTATAGTTGACCCTGCCTTCGGCCGCACTGATAACTCATAAGGGTGAAATGAAGAAAAGGCGGAAGCAGGTGCAACGAAGTATAGTGCACCAATATGTTCGCCTTCTGGCGAAAGACTTTTATGCCCATTAACAGAAATAGATAGTTAGTTGGATACTTTGACTATTTACTCTCTCCTTTCCTCCATCGCTCCATCGAAATCTTTTTAGTAAGATTTTTTATAAACTTTATTTTTCAAAGGCTTTTAAGAAGCGGTTACAAAGGAACTCTATTCAACAACGCTGAAGCTGAAATAGAGGATAACTCCCCGAGAATACCTTTTACGTCAGAATTTCTTCTAGAACTCCTAGACGGAGTATATTTTGCAATGTAATACCTATTCGTTTGAAGTATGGCTGCACGATACAAAATGTTTTCTTAATTTAATATAAACAGGTTCAATGGAAGTGCGAAAGAGGGAAAATCAGTAGTTAGCGATGTGTACGTTAGAGCCGAATACGAACTTTTAAATGAAGTGTTACTGGTACGAGTATTCGAACGTGTCTAAATTGATTATACGTGACCGTCGCCCTAGTAATTCCTTTGCTCTTCCCTTTTTTCTTATAGGTTACGAACGCTATTGTAGACTCTCTTGCAGTAAATCCATCTGGCCAACCAGAAGACGGACCCATAGGTATATCCATAGCCTTATCTTCTGCTGCAAGAGACGGTCGCCTGAGGAAATCTGCTCTGACGAATGCTTCTTTTAGAACCAAGCGTTTACAAGGTAAACTAAGATAAAGAATGCCACTTAGGTCACATTTCTATCCCTCTTAAAATAATATAATAAGCCGTCCGTTAGATGGCGGTTTACTCTGTTGATTATAACCAATAGGATGTATAACAAAAATTTGAAATATTTCCATTATCACAGCAGAAGAATCGGATTCGCTTGATACGACTGGGGATGAGGACGCACCTCCTGATTATGAGCAGGCTACCAAAGCAGACGTAAAGGGCAAAGGATCGAAAAATGCTATTAAAAACATAGTCCGTAAAAAGCTCTCGGTAGAAGGAAAGAAAAGGGAAGATAGCTCTTCTGTACTCGGAGGTGAAAGATTTTTTCAACATGTTTTTCAACACTTTTTCTATTATCAAAATATCAATAATTTACATAATATGAACTAAATCAATTACAGATAGCGTCGATACAGCTAAAACATCATACGCATCATTGAGTGATATTGTTCCAGAAGAAGAAGAAAATCAGTGGGAAAACCCAACAGACAATAGTTAATTTTTCATGTATTTTATTTAGATTTCGTTTCGAGTCAAATAAACCTCATGCTTTATCTTACTAGTTGTTTATAAAATCTTATCTTTATTGTAGCTGCTGTTATCTTTATAGTATAATCACATAACATATCAGCAGGTGAAAGATGGTGTCAGTAAAGGTAATGAATATTATTCTTGGCTCTATATTAGGCATAGCGGGCGTTGGAATAATAATTGCAGTTGTTTTATTAATAATTAACGAATTTCGAATGAAAAAGAAAAGGGAAATTGGAAACGAAGAAGTACTCAAGACCCAGACAAATCACAATATCTACGAGAACGTCTCCAGAAAAGGAACGGAATCTGTGGTAGAAAACAAGGAATATAGCGAAAGAATTCACGAGACCATTAGAAGTGAGGAGACAGTTCGTGATAGAAATGCTATTGAAGGCCGATCAAGAAAATGGGATCGTATAGATGTCTATAATTTGCAAGACCTTCCGCCAAATTTTAAGCAAGACAATGATTCTTTACCAACGCATCCTACTTTTGCCAATCACGAACCAGGTGTTGACAGTTTCTACGATTATTACAACTATTACGATAATTACGATAATCCTGCGTACACCACGCCTGAGGAAACCTATCAGAGATTTTCTCAAAACTTTCAGGGTACTAACAGTGTAAATTTCAACTACGATCAACGTCAGTTCGCCGTTTGATTATAAAGTATGTGACAGTTCATTTATTTTGTTTATAAAGTAGAAAATACATTGCGAATTATTTAATTATTACGTTGATGCTAGATCGTCCTCATTCTTTCTCATCATCTCAACTTCGACGAAATTTTAATGTGAAAAACTGCAAATTCAACAGTTTCTTTTTATAAAGCTGACATCAATAAATTTTTGATCTTCTCATATCTAAGATTTTCATTCTTCTCTTTTTTTATTTACCTGTGTTTTTTTTTTCTTAAAAAAAAACTTATGCTCTTTGTTTTACGTATATAAAAAAGATCGTTATGTCGTGTATTTTGCAAGAGAAAATAGGCCTTACAATTATTAAAATCTCTAATGGAAAAATAGTCGATTTTACCGTTGTTAATACCTTGCTTGCCGCTGAAGGTACACCAGCTCTCAAAAACTCTAAATAGTACTTCAATTAGGTGTATTAATACTCCACCTTTGTATCTTTTTTTCTTAAACCTAAAAAATGTAATAGAGCGTCTAAAGTAATTAATTTACCTTGAGATAAAATTTGAATAGAAGTTTTCTAAATGGAACGTCCAGGTATGAGCCCCAGGCTAAAGAAAGTTGAGAGAGAAAAATTATTTTCTAACGATAATAGACGCTCTCGGGGTATAGTGTGTATACAATTTTCTGTATGTAGCATATATTTTCTTTGTGTAGTATATATTGTAGACTAAACAGCAAAATTATAACTTATTATTATGTTGGCAACTTTTTATTAAGTAGACTTTTCTATTAGTTTATAAGATAATTTATAATTAATTACTAAAAATATAAATCGTTCTATACTTCCAAGCGGCTTATCCTTTAGTCTCGTAACTTTATTATATATTTTCTTTCTTAAACATTTTAATTAGAAATTAGAAAAAAGAAGAACATTCATAAATTATTCCTTAACAACGGGGTAAACAACTGCACCGTATATTGATCTCTGCAGGACTGTGTATACAGATTAGCGCTGTAAAGTCTTAATGTCTTTTAAGTAAATGTTAAGCAGCCACTCAAGATCTGTGATACAAAGAAAGGATTAAGAAATTTTCGTTTGTTATATTGAGAATCGTCGTAAATCAAAACTTATATCAATTGGAAGATTTAAAAACTAACTTGATTACGATAAAAACTCGCGTTCATGGTAACCGAATAAACAAAGCAGACGTTTTATTGTTTTTGTTTTTCAACTTCTCATGAAATTAGCAATCATAAGATTACTAAGGAAAGGAACATTTGAAAAAAAAACAGCGAAATATACGGTATAAATCTGTTAAAAATATGAACTGCAAATCTGCTATAAATGGTAAAGCGGCTAATAGAGGTATACCATATTTAATTAATAATAATTAATCATATAGTATATAAATATAAAATCGTTAGGGAAATTTAGAAGACAAACATTCACTTATAATTAATCTATTGTAGAAAAAAGTCAAATCTATCCCAGAACTGCAGTAATAGATTTAAGAAAAGATGCTGTATACGACATCTTGGCGGGAAATGTTACAAAGATACCTGAAAAAAGTAAAAAAGAAATACGAATATTTTTATCTTCAACCTTTTCTGGTATTTATTCTAATAGAAACAAAATATTATTTCATTTCATTTCAATTCAATGAATACTTCGAAATAGATATGAAGGCGGAGAGAAATTATTTTATTAATAATATTTATCCGGAACTGATCGAAAAATGCTTAGAATCCAACTTAGATTTTAATGTAATCGATATGAGATGGGGAGTAACTGATTCTGCGACTAATGAACACTCTGTTACTGATTTATGCTTAGGAGAAGTTGACGCCTGTAAAAATGCATCTATATCAGCAAATTTCGTTGTAGGTTTTATTAAAATAAATGATGTAAACGACACAACACTAACTATACATTGTTTTAACGGAGTATTCTTTTTAAGACATTAATTGGAGATCGCTACGGATTCCGGCCTATTCCTAATAGAATTGAAAAGAGCGAATTTGACATACTACTTGAAGAGGCTCTTGAGATTAAATCCAATTCACAGTTACTATTAACTTGGTATAGACTGGATAAAAACACTATACCTCAATGTTACCGACTACAGGTAAAAGCTAATTACTCTAGACATTAATTAATTATTTAAGGACGAAATTTGATAGGCGATAACCACAAAATTACCGGATTTTGGTAACGAGCGTAAACCGGAAAGGGCTAGAAAAGCAACAGATTCCTGGAATAATATTTATCTAAAACTTACTACCACTTTGAGAGAATGTTCAGAAAGTGCGTTTAAAAAAAATAGAATTGATGAGAAATCGAAACGGCGTTATTTTATTAGCGTCACTGAGTTAGAGATCGAAAAGGGTCTAGAAGATCATAATAAATTTAATATTATATCTTATACTAGAACATTTCAAGGGCTAGATCCGCATTATGTGAATGAAGCTACGGCTGAGAGATTTATTGACTGTAAAACAAGAGATGTAAGTTAATGAACGACAAATACTAACGAGTTCGTTAAACGTGTTCTGATTCGGTGCAGAGTAAATTGAGCGTGGATGAAGAAGTCAGAGAACTGAGGCGAGAACTAAAAGAAAACTTTATAGTAGAGAATATACCAAAGTCTAATCGAAGGCACTTCGACTTGTCCTGGAAGCCGGGCGGTGTCGATGAGAAAAATAATACAGAGCATAGAAACTACTTAAGAGCACTTGGAGATGATTTTAAAACTAGGGTAAATATTTATTATAATATCAATTCAATAATATTCAACAGTAAAAGCGAATATTAGGGTTTAAAGATTATATTTCATTAACTATAAAATCCCTTCTTTCTTTTCTCTTATGCAAATATTTAGATTTTGAATGAAATTAAAAAATTTAATACCGGAAATGCTCTCAATTCAAAATATAAGGGATTCTATTCATCAATTTCCGAAATACAATGCCATATAAGATTTGCATTTGAAAAGACTAAATATTTTTGTGGTCAAGATAAGGAATTGAATAGAATTCGAAGGTGCTTAGAACGCAATCAATCGAATAATTTAGTCCTCTTCGGTAAATCGGGAGTTGGGAAGACTAGTCTTTTAGCGAAAATATTCTTAAGCCTAAATAAGTGGATGACAAATGACACAATTAAAATTATTCGGTAAATTTAATACAAAATTACTAGGCTATGTTCGTAGAAAATCAATTTATGTGATTCAGATTTTTGGGCACAACAGCTGAAACTAGCAGTTCATTTTCGTTAGTGAAATCGGTAACTGAGCAATTACTGGATTATTTTTCAATAATTCCGGAACCCTTTTGGAATAAAACATTAGCAAAACTATCCTCTTATTTTCCAAGACTTCTGAGAAGGATCTCCAGGAAACTTTCTAATCAAAGATTAATTATCATATTGGACTCTTTAGATCAGTTAACGAATAACGTCGACTCAATTCAGAAATGGTTACCTTCCTCGCTGCCTCAAAATATATCTTTGATAGTATCAGTTCTGGATGAGAATATTTACATGAAAGGCCTTAAAACGATTATAACTAAGGAGAATGCATATATAAAGCTCGAGTCACTTCCGAAAGAAACTGCAGAACTCGTTATGAATAAATATCTTTCGGAAAAGAAACATACACTTACTGAACTCCAGAGGATAATAATTTTACAAAGTCTACAATACTCTTCAACACCTCTTTTTCTAATGGTACAATTGAATCGATCACTCTATTGGACGAGTTACACGTCTGCTTCGTCTATACCTCTTCTCAATTCCGTAAATGAGGCCATTAACAATATATTCGATCAAATTGAACTTAAAATTGGAAAGCTAGTCACTGCAAGAATATTAGGTTTGTTAAGTGTTTCTCTCAATGGTTTGACAATAGCGGAATTGGAAGATATCTTATCGTTGGACGATCAAGTTTTAAATGAACTCTTTCAATATCACGACCCACCTTATGAAGGCATCGTACGATTTCCTCAGTTTATTATAATTCGATTATTAGGAGAGTTAAGGGATTATCTTTCTGAAAGATCGTCTTTTAAGAGAACTACTATTGCATGGTATCATAAACAGTTTAAAATAGCGGCTTTAGAGAGATATACATCGGATAAAGAGTTTTTTAGATTGAATGATCAATTAGCTCAATATTTTATGATACAAGATCAAGTTCAAAGAGATATTTATTTAGAATATAGACGAAAGACAATAAAAGAGGCGAATAGAGCTATAAGAATAGAAAAGTTCTCAGTGAATAATAGAAGAAAGTCTGAATGCGTCATTTATCATCTAAGGAAAGCTAAAAACTTTGAGATACTTAAAACCAAAGTGTTCTGCAATCTTGATTTCCTTTTTTGTCGAATGGAGTTTCTTGTTTCTGATCTTCAAACCATTGCACAACAATCCGATGATCTGGAGTTGGAAACACTAAAAGAATGTATTAATACTGCTAGGGACAGTGCAAAATCATTTAACAAGCAATCGCTAGCGACTCAATTATGCTGTAGATTACCTCTTGATTCTCATAACCTTCCCAATTTGTACAAACTATCGTATCAATGCAAAGAATATCTCCAATCACTATCTACTTTTCAAATAATACCCCTGTCACCCGCTTTAGCTGATCACGAATCTGTTATCTGCAACATTTCACAAGCCAGCTCGAATGTAAATTTACATTATTCCAGAGTATGGTTCCTAATTAAAAAGTCAAATGAAAAACACAATTATACGTTAGTTAATAGTAAAACTGGCTATACAAAAACCATAGTGAGTAAAACGTTACCAGTTTGTTGCGATAGAGTTGTATGCTTTGTAGCGGAGAATGGAGATGTAATCGTTAATGAGAATACATCTGATTGTATACAAATAATTCACAAGACTACAGAATCGATTGTTTCTTTGGCTATCACAGAAAATGGAAGAATTTGCTTTGCCTCCTCAACAAATGTAAAACTCTTTCTTCCTACAGGGAAAAGTTTACAATACTCGATGACCAATTTCCCTCTGCCAGTGTCGACGAAAAATCCAAAATTAGTTAATTTCTTAACTGAAGATAAAATAATTTACACTGCCGAACTGGAAAGCGAACATCGAAAGGTTAAAAAAGTACTTGTCATACAGAATTTTTCGTCAAGCGGATCCTGTAATACATTACCTCTTCCGGAAAATGTTTCGAATCTTAAAATCTCAGCGAGTCAATATCACGTCTGTTTAATGTTTAGTGAAGCAAGATCCAACTGCATTGCAATTGTAGCGGTAATCGACTGCCAAATCCTACGAACAATAGCTTTTCCAAGGAAAATAAAACATTGTGAAATTTCGTTTAGTGGGCGTCTAATCATTGCTTTGGATGTTTTAAATTATGTTCATTTAGCGGAAAACGATACAGTTTATGAACAAATCATGTCGAATATATCAGCTATTTCGTACGACGTTGAAACTAATCAGTTGGTTATATCGGATGATTTAGGTAATATAAAGCTTTTCAACATCATCAATCGCCAATTTCAAACAACAAAGAAGATGGCATTTTCGGCTATCGAGCATCTTTCATTTGTTGATAACGGTACAAAATTAGTAACCATAATTGCTAATCAGTGCAAAGTATGGTACTGGAAAAAATTTTTACAGCAAACTCTTAGAAAACGGGCCAGTATGATGCAAATTGATAAATCGAAAGACATTTTTACTCAAAAATCCATTAAATTTTGCATTACTAACGTAAAGCGTAACGAGTCGGAATTGTTTTTATCTAGTGAAAGTGGGCTTGGCAAGTATATCTTACCCCAAGGTGTTCTTCAACAAATCTACGCATGTTCACATGATTGTAACAAGGTTCTTCTTACCTGTGAAAGAAACATAATTATTGGTTTAAATTTAGACGGTAATATGACCATATGGGAAGTAACTACTGGTAAGAAGATTGACTTTCCTTTAAAGAACATCACTATTCTACGGGCTTTAGTTTCTCCAATTGAATCAACTGTCTTCCTACTTGCATCACAACCGAATCGGTCAATCCAATTAATCACTTGGGCGAGTTCAAATAATAAGATAATACAGCAAGTAAACCTGTCTAGAATATCCCAAGATGAATTAAATAGCTTAAATGATGATAGACTAAAAATAACTAGATCTGGACGTCATATAGTTATGAAAATCTCTTCAAAACAATTCCAAAAGTCTAACGAAGCTATATTAGGTCATAAACTGATAACTTACGATACTCAGTCAACAGTCGGTGATGCTATAACGTGTAAGCGTAATTCTTCCAAATACCCTCTAAACGTTGAACAATTTGAAGTTTTCGACGAGAATAAACTAATCTTATCATGTGGACCGGAAGTTATTATCTATAACGCACTTTTAGCTCAGTGTGAACAATCAATTGACATGTCACAGAAGCAAATTACAAACAAGTAAATTTTTTTATTAATAATTAAGAAAAAGTAACGATCTTTTCTCCTCTATTTCTTACATTAAGCCTTTTGTTGTATATCAATGTTTTTCAGTATAAACATACCATCTTCCATTATCTCCATCCAATCAACAATAGACAAACATCATGTTTTATTTTCAACAAACCATGGAAATATATTCTCTTTACAACAAAACAATGGGAAAAAGATTCAGTCAGCTTTATATGGTGTTTGTCAAAGCCCTAAGGTAATAGCTCAAGGTTTTCTTATGTTTTCTTTTATTTACTTTTATATTCCAGTTTCATTTCGTGTTTTAACTTTACTATAAAATATTCCATTGCTAAGTGTTTTCCTCTTTTGTTTAACTTCCAGATCAAGTCTCTCATAGTAACAAAGAATTTAGAAATGATGGTTGCTTCTACCTACGATAATGAATTATTCTTCATTAGTTCCTCCAAATCGAATTCAACAGATATACATTTTAGAATTGACGGAATGGTCCTTAGTACACAGTTCACACCTGATGATAATTTTCTTATAATTCTTTTTAACAACTCTCGAGGTGATGTTAAATTATTGATATTTGAACTTTTTAATTTAAGAAACAGGAAAGACACAGTCCTTAAATAATACTTTCTTTCTTTCTTCTTTTTTCTTTTTCTTCTTCTTCTTCTCGCTATCTAATTAAATATTAAGTTATTTTTATTTTTTATTATTTTTTTCCCTTTGACCTAGTTTGTATCTTTTATAGATATTTTAGTATTCTAAAAAAATAAATATACTGAATTCTCCTTTGACATGAAACACTGCAAAAACATTTGTTTTATATTACAATATTTTAGTTTGGTGTTTTTAAAAATGAAAAAAGCTGCAAAGGGAACAAGAGAGAAAAGAAGATAAAAAGATAAAATAAAGGTTAAAAACAAGTTTTTATTTTTGTTTTTGGAGGGAGGAGAGAAAGATAGTGTGACAGATAGAGATTTAATTTAGAAAGAGAGGAAAGGAAAGAGAAGGAATAGGAAAAAAAATATTATAAACATCTATTTAGTTGGCTAAGATTTTCGTGATTTTGTAAATGGTTCTAAAAATTTTCTTTGATTCTTGAAATCAGATGCACTAATGCTAAACTTTGCATGCAAAATTCATTGCTTTGCCTTTGATCACCGAAAAACAGATGGGAATAATTTGTAACAATAAAAATGTAGATTTCTTATATTAGTTCCTTTTTTCATCGTTAAATAATCTTATAAAATATATTCTATAAATAAACATTCTGCATAGAAACATTATATATATTTATACTTTATATATAAATTGATAATTACGTTAAAATTTCCACTATTAAGTAAAAGGAGGAAATTCTGTATTTTATTTCCGATTACTCTAATCATTAAGATAAATGAAAAAAAAATATGTATAATTAAAAAGTACCTACTAGATGTCACTATAACATATTAAAAAATTATTGATGATGAAGATAATGTAAACATTATATAGATCGTCGAAAGAATAGAGAAGAAACAAGTAGGCGGGCTATATAATAAAAAAGACTCGATACTAACAGATTATTATTTAATTAGAGTTTTAAGGAAAACGAGGGGATATGTTATTGAGTGGATTTCTTTAAAAAATGTAATCATTATTATAAAAGGGTTAATCCCACAGGGAAATATTTTGTTAATACTTTGATCAGATTAACAGACGTAACTAGATTTGAAGATTTAGAAAGGGTAACTTTTATAACGCTTACAATAATTCTAAAATATTAATTGTAACTTCTAGGAAATATCTGTCAAAGACTCCTTTACGTTTCGTTTTGTATTCAATAGCTCCTACATAAGTAGAATCTTTTGATGAACTCAGATCTTACGCTGTTGTCAAACATCTTCACAGACGAAAATCTCTTTAGTAAGAATCTTTCATTGGAAACTTTTCACCTTGATGAAATTAATACAGCTCCTCTAATCAATTTTCTTTTCCCAATTTACAATCGTCTTATATACCGCTATAGTTCTGTTCTCTTGAGTCTACTTCTCTTATTAATCAACAAGTAACAGTTTTTTATTTCCTGTCCTCTTTTTAGAACGGGATATAATTTTATGAACTATTTCGAAAAACTTAAAGCGCCATCTTTCGTTTCTTCTCACACTAACACAATTACCTACCGACCGTTAATCTTGATTATTTCAATATAGGGAGAAAAAAAGAGACCGACAACCTGTATGTAAATTACTTGCCAGTTAACTTAACTATAAACTTATAGCATAAATAGCCAAAAAACAAAAAACTACTCCCAGACCGGGAATCGAACCCGGGCCGCCCGGGTGAGAGCCGGGAATCATAACCACTAGACTATCTGGGACTTGCTGTACAAAATGGTAAAATTGCACGATTTTAAAGCGTGGACGGTGTAGGCATTTTATTAAAATATTGAGTTTTTATTGTCTAGGAAAAACAAAAAATTACTCCCAGACCGGGAATCGAACCCGGGCCGCCCGGGTGAGAGCCGGGAATCATAACCACTAGACTATCTGGGATTAGATACAGATATTAGTCTTAAACCGTTTGATTTCATTAAATAATGAGAAAGTAACAAATTATTGATTTTATAGGTAATTGGGAATGTTACTTTTAATGAATATTTAAATAAAAAATAAAATGAAAGAGACGATAGCTTTGAAAATGGAGAAATATTAAGATATAAAAATCATTCATCATGATTGCCAAACGAAAAATAATCTAGAGGACATTAACCTACATTGCAGAAAGAATACTAATAATTATTCATTGTTTCTAAGAGACAGGCGAAAAGAAGAAACAGAAGACGGCATAATTTCCAAATGGATTCTTTTCAACAGCTAATGGAATCTTAATCTCTTATTATAGGATAAAGAAACGAAGGGAGCAGAAAGTTTGAATATTAGCCGATTATATAACAAATTACAGACTCCTTTTTTTTCTTCTCTTAAAGGGAAAAATAATTAATTATAAGGCTAAAAATAAAGTGCAAAAAAAAAGGAATAAAAATAGATAATGCAGCTTGGAAAAATATAATGGAAGATTAAGTACAAAATTTGATATTAATTATAAGAAGAGAAAGAGTAGAAAATATCAAAGTTTATTATAAGAATAAAAGAAGGACACCTTTTTCTTTCTAAAGAACAAAAAGATAACTTATTATATATTGAATACGTATTACTTATAGAAAAGTTAAAGGTAAAGTTATACATGTTTAGAGTCTGAACTTGGTGTAAAATTAAAAAATTGATTTTAAAGTTAACTAGATATAGTTGTATTAAAATAATAACATATATGCAGATACATATGGAAGTCTTGTAATGTTTTAATCTTTTAAAATTCATTCAAGAAAAATTCTTCGTCATAAAAAGAAAAAATGGAAATATATTTTTGATATTTGTTGAACATTTCCATGAATTTCGTTCCTTTGTTTATCAAGTTTCAAAGAAATAGAAATAAATAATCTTCTTTGTTATTTAAGACATTTCCAACAAAATAATTAAGTACTTTACTTCAATCCTTGTTTTCTCTTGTTCCATTTATCTGTGTCTAATTTCTATATTTTTATTTACAAAATTATAAGAGTAGAGAAGAAGTCAACAGAAGAAAGAAATGTAAAGTTATAGGCTGCTTATAAATTCTGGAGAAATCGATACTTGGACTAGATGCGCTACCTCTGTTATAAGTGTTTTGGTAAAATTAGAAATTATCTTTTTGTGTTCCTTTTTTTTTTTTTGCAGGTACATTAATACTAATCAATTAAATCCTCTTTTCGTCTCATTTTCCTTCTCCTTCTCCTTATTCTGTGATAATTATTTTTTTTTTCGTTGATACTCTTCCCTTTCCTTTTTTCTTTTACTTGATATCTCCTCTTTAGCTATGTAATCATTTTTTAAAACAACAATTAATGATCTTCTTTTTCCTACAAGATTAGACGCTCTTGGATTTGAATCAATGTTTAATTCTTCATAAACATCTTGTGATAATCCATTCGACGTTGTTATACGTTCTAACCTAACGTATGAGTGCGTTAATTGATATAATGTTTTCTCGACCTCTTCCAAGATTGATTCCTTTGTTTCGGCCATAAATATCCTTCCTTTCGTAGATTAGACACGTCCAGGGATAATTGAAACGGTTGATCTTTATTTATTTTCTACATTCCGTCCAATAAGATGAGATATTAGAATCACGTTTAGGCTATACTATTATTAATTGAAGATTTAGGTTCACCAATAGAGTACACTAGTATCGATATCGTAAACGTATGAGATGGCGTAGTTACCACTACCGCCACCTACGGTTTAACAGAAAGGTGTAGAGCTTTCACTTGCAATTTTATTTCACGGGTATATCCATCAGGAAAATAAGGTGCAATGTTCTTAATTCTTTAAATTCGTTAGAAAAAAAATAAAAGATTTTATATAATTCATTAGTTTTTTAATTTTAAGAATAAAAGATAAAAAAAAAAACAATTGATATCATCCATCGTCCAGTTCAATTCAACAGCGGATTAACTTACCTTCACGCATCATTTGGGCTGAGAATGTACTTCCTTTTTTAACGAATAAATGACATTTTAAAAGCGTTAATGTTCAATAGTCGTTTCAATAGACTGTTTACCAACCCCGACGGTCAGAAAAGTTGTTTTCTAACAACTTACGTTCAATTAAACCATTATATCTTATTAATTCTATTTGAAAGTTTCTTTCGATTTTTTTCGTCCTACTCTTTCAATGTTACGAAGCGGTAGCAAGAGAAGAAAGAAATAGCTGTAAAACGTAGACATTTACTGGTTAGAAAGTCTACATTTGATAGTTTTCCTGTTTTTCTTTTCTTAGTAAATACTGTATATCCTCGATTCGAACAGATAAGCGATTTCTTTAACCATCGCTATCGCTATTGATGAAAAAAAAGGCACATGACGGTTTTCCTTTTTCTCTAGTTTTTTTTTTACTTTTATATTTCAATCTAAACTCGGTATTTTTCTGACAATTTTGATTTCTCTTTTGCTTGTAATAAGTATTATCGTTGTTAATTCTAAAAGTATGTCTTTAAGGAATATTTAATTAAATAAGCCTTTGGCATTCAAGGAAAAAAATATATTAGAGAAAAATAAATGGTAAGGAGAGTGACAAATGGAAATGTGAAAACAGTTGAAAATGAGATTGGGATAGAAGTACAAAATACCATCAAGTAAAGGAGGAGATAGAGAAAAGGGGATAGAGACAAAGTCAGAGATGCTTTTTGCAATATTAATCCAGCTGTACTCAAAAAGTAAGCTAAATATGGTGCATAATATATTGAGAGTGCAATTTTCTGCAGCGCATTAACCCCAATAGCGTCTATTTTATTTCTTTTATCAATACACGTTTATTTTTGAACTTGCGGTACTAAAATCTATTTAGCATATCAATTAACACTTATTTTTAGTGAAACCGATAATTGTCACACTGCATGGCAGTAAATAAATTAGCAGCATGAAAAAAAGTATAAAAAAAGCTTTTAAAGTTTTGAATTATTAATTAAATAATATTATGAAACTGTTATATCAATTAGTAATGGTATATGATGTATGTAGATGGCGTATAATACCTTCTTCATCATTAAGATAACAAATTCGGTTGGGATAAGCTGTTTACACAACCAAGTAGAACAACAAAGTTAACGATGGTTAAGACGAAAAAAATAAATGTAATGGAAATAACAGAAGCGAAAGACACTGACTCATCGATTAAGGATTGCAGATTAGATGAGATTTCTTGGTTTAATCGCCTTTCGAAGTTTACTGGTCACGTTTCAATCGTTGGTTTAAGGCACACCAACGATATGAAGACTTCTATATACAAAAAAATAATTTGGACAATACTAATCTTGTTCGGTATATGCTTTATGACCTTCCAAATTCAAGATAGACTTACGGCTTTCTTTAAATATGACACTGTAACCATTATAAAGAATGTGAATAATCCTATCCTGAAATTTCCAACAGTAACTATCTGCAATGAGAATGAAATGAAGAAAAGTGCTGTAGAAAGAGATGGTATATAAGGTTTCATTAAACTTTAGAAAGCTATTTTAACATCGTACCAAAAATACCTTTGTTAGGTTTAAAAAAAGTCGTAGAAGTCGTATGGCCACCTTTAAGGGAAGTCAAAGAGAAGAATAAAAATTTGAATTTGGACTATTTACGCGACCAGACAAAAACATCGACAGAAGTCAACTGGGGAGATATTTATGCACGTTATGCGCCATCGATAGAAGAATCAATCAAAGAGGTAATATCTGTATATTCTCTTTCAAATTATTCATAAATATCAACATTGAGAGTATTATTTTACTTCGATTAAAGTGTATATTTAAGGGAGCATTTTGTGATCCTTTGCAAGACTTCCGCTATGTTCAGACGAAAATGGGAAAATGTTTTCAGTTTGCTCCAGGTAATTAACCTACATGTTCCATTTAAGCTTATACTTATTGGTTTCTTTCGAAAGGAAATGCTTCTTTGTTCATTAGTCAGCCTGGTGTCAATTACGGCTTGTCATTGACTTTAAATGCAAACCAATCGGAGTATTTGGTTGTCCATTCGCCTTCTATCGCTTTTCGTGTTTTAGTTCATGATAGAACGGAACTACCGTTAATGGAAGGAGGACTAAAAGCTCAACCTGGCCATATGGTTAACATAGGTGTTAGATTAGAAAAGCGAACTTTTCTTCCTAAGCCTTATGGGAATTGTAATAACGATCCAAACTATAGAACCAAATTATGCTTTTTGAATTGCTTTAGCAAGCATATAACAGTATTATGTGGATGTAGACAAGGTTATATGACAGGAAATGCTTCTATTTGTTCTCCTTACGATACACTCTGCGTCATAAGAGAAAGAGATAATTTTACTAACAACGAAATTCATAAACAGTGTAATTGCTCACCTCAATGCTTTGGTAGAGACTTCATTACCTTAGTAACTCAAGCAAAGTTAAGCGAATACTTTTTGGAAAGTTATGTATTTAAACATAAAGTTTCGAGAGAAGTTATTACAGACAATTATATTCTATTAAATATTTTCTTTTCATCAATGACATCTACTCACATAGAAGAAGAAGCTGGTTATTTGGTATTAAAACTACTAGCAGATGTTGGAGGGGCATTTAGCTTGTTGTTAGGTGGAACTATACTCAGTTTATTCGAAATTATGGATTTTGCAGTGTTAGAGCTAATTCATTATATACAACACAGAAAAGGAGTAATTCAAAGAGGTTATCAATGAATACAAAAAATAACGATTGACATTTGACATTTATGAGTTTGATCAAATAGTGACTAGAATATAATTAGAATCAATAATACTTTTTAACAAAATTTTTACTTATAAACAATACAATTACCACTTAATTAATAACAGCTCAAGCGTGTATAGCTTATTTTATATAGTATGTATTGAGGCTTGTTGAAAGGATTCCCAAGCATTGCTTCCTTTATTCGCTAAAATAGAATATGTTATATAATAGGATTAAAAATTAAGCGTAACAAAACAAAGAATACTGTTGGGGAATTTTTTTATCTGATTATATGAGAAATAAAGCATATATTTACCATAACGAAATATTAATAGTACAAATGGAGAATTAAATATTTACTATTTATGTCCTTTTTCAGTATTCTGCTACGTCACAAAATAAATCAATATATCGATAATTCGTTAACTTTCTTATTAAAATGGCAAGAAAGATTGATTTTTTCTTCAAGGACGTATATTATATCAAAAACTTATTAATTATTGGTTTTAAAATATTAATTATCATACTTGAAAAAAAATTAACGTTTAGTATAATATAAAAGTTGGTAAATTATTGATTAGTTTTCCCTCGTTTCTGCCTTGCATTCAAAAAACGCTTTGCTGAATTGGATGCGTAGGAGTAATGTATTGTAAATATTAAACATTCGCCAGCAAATCGAATGAATTGTAATCGATACGCTTATAAATCAAAGCCTAACGTAACCTAAGAAAAAAATGAAAGAACTGCAACATCAAAGTGCACACTTCGTTTTAGAGTCGACACTTTTAACATGTTAAAGGAAGAGTGATAGAATTACAATCGAATTACATCACGATAAATTTCCAAAATAGCAACGGCTTAAGATGATGTGGTAATATTTATAACTATCATTATTTTACAGCAGCATTTAACCTATAAACATACAGTATATACTAATAAATACATTAAACTTTACACATATTGGTTTTTTGCTTTTAAGAGTATTTGAAAAATAGGGGATAGAGGAAATTGTATCTTTTTTCAAGAGTTTGCACTCTTCCATATAATCCGAATACAATAGATTAAGGTGAATGATCTGGCAAATCCCAAAGAAAAGTCTGACGTAGACTAGAAGAAACGAGAAAAAAGAAAGTAAATCTTTTTGTATCCTGTCTACTGACTGTTTGAGTTGCAAGGGAAAGAAGGACAGAAGGGATAGTGGTATTGGCCAATAAAATACTTAAATTAAAATGTCATCTTTCATAATTATTCAAAGTGAAAAAAAATTGATTATAATTATACTTTCGTATTTGAAAGTGAAGAGATTCTCTCATATTTCAGTTCTGAGACCAATTAACTAAAAAAATAAATGATTCTCAAATAATCTATATATGTAACCAAGTGTTTATATTAAATATAAATGCACTTTTTATGTATAGGCATATACTATATTTATAAGGCATTTACGTATAGAATAGAGTGTATTAACTCTATTAACGCTTTCTTATAGTTGAAAAAAATTATCTATTATTCTATAGTATGTTACTTGTAATTAAAATACAAAGCATTAGATGTTTGTTTTAAGGAAAGAAACAAACTGAACCAAATTTTGACACTTTTAGAACCAGTACATCCTTTTCTTCTTTTGCTAACATTTCCCTTTATTTTATCAAGAACAAATATTAATAAAATGAATTGAAGCATTAACAATTGATTTATTAATAAATTATTCTTACATAAAGAAAAACCGGATTTAATTCAATTCTTTTTCTATAATTGGTTTTTTTTTAAAAAAAAAAATATAGAAAAAAAAAGTGACTTATAAAGATGTTGAAAATGATACCTAAAAAGGAATTTTTCTCCTTTCGATATTATAATTAATGGATGGAATATACAAAAGTAAGATGCATTTATAAACATTTTGCTAAAAGAAATATTTTATAGTAAAAGGCCTCATTGATTTTTTTTTTTATAAATGCTTAATCTTTCTATTTCGTAAAGGTTTTAAAAAAAACTGTCAGTAAAAAAGGACAAGCAAGTAGACGACCAAGTCAATAATGTCCTTTCTCAATAATATACAAGTTATTAAGTTATGTAAAGTCATGTCAATATATTTCGTCAACTTGAAAGAAGGACGGGCGCTATAATCATAAAGACTAAAGCAAAAATTGACCTACGGAAAGTGTTCAAAAGGTTTTATATTACCTTTTTACTTAGATATTTTAATGGCAACTAATTACACGTCGTTTTAATCCTGCTCTTAGTAATATACTAAATATACCGTAGCCAGGCAAAATATGCAAACCGCTTAAGTCAGTATGCCTAAGTAGAAATTTTCACACTAGTTAGATTTTGTAAGTAGACTTTACATTTTTGCTATATTATTTATAAAACGCTAATGTATTTACAATATATATAAATTTATATGTATTAATATATAAACAAATAAATATATATATATATATATATATATATACACTGTATGTATCATGTGTGTTGCGACGACTGTTTCTATTCGATTTTATCTTAAAATTCCGTGTAATTGTTTTAAAAACAATTTGATAATTATTTTCTATATAAATAATAATCAAAGAATATAGGAACTGACGCTAGAAGGGCTACTGTGAAAGAGTAATTAATTGATTATAGCAGTCTACGTTAATTTTATGCGAGTGACGTCACAGCCCTCTCTTGGTCGTCTAGCCGTCACTAGACACTCTAACCAGGTGAGTGAGAGTTCTATTCAGCTTTCGTATGGTAATAAAGATTTTTTAACTTCCTTTATAAATTTTTGTTTGGAATGATGTAACCGGTAATTAGTTGTTCGTTATAATATATTTATGGTTTCGAATGTTTTTGCTAAGGAAAAATATAACCTGCTAGTTTTACGTGCTAATATTGTACCTTGATTCGACACTTGCGCTTTTCTAAGGTCAAGAATGTGTTTAAAGAAAGCCTAAATAGTGTCAAATCAAAGTTCTTTCAAGCTGTCTAAAAGGGAAAATAATTAAAAATTATATTAATATGTATGATTCAAAGGACAATTTGTGTTTAGGTCTATATTTATTGCATATATATATATATATATATATGAATGTTTTTACAATATTTTCAATTGCCTAAAGCATTTATATATAAGTGAATGTAAGAGAAGATATTTACAATATATTCATTTAAAACTGTGTATATGTCTCCAAACTGTATGAAGAGGAATAATAATATTCAGCAGTAGAAAACAAATGAAGTACCTACCCTGCAAAATCCATGATACAGGAAAGAGATGGTATATTGAGGATTTTATTTTTCATTGAAAGAAACCAAGTTTATCTACGATTACCATATATCTTATGCATAAATATATATAAAGATATATGCTTATTATATAACTTTAATTACAAGTATTAATAAATATATTTAGAGTACATAGTTAAATAAATATATATTTAGAACATTTTTGATCTACGAAAGCTTTACTTGGAGTGTGAAAATTCTGATATCAAGATATACTATATATATATATATATATACAGTTTTTAGCAACATATATATATTTGCATTGACATATAAAATGCCAATTCATAAGTTTATATGCTATAAACACATAAAATAGGGATAGTATTTAAATATTTGGTAGTTATGATTATGTAATGACAGAGGGCAGCTTATGGTAAATGTTGATAAATGTCATGTTGTATTTTCTGTTCTATATTTATATCGAGATATGCTAAAATGTTCTTACTTAGTTATTAATTTACATTTAATTTATCGCATGTCATTAAAAGAATAAGGATTATTTATTTATTAATATGGCTACTCTTGTTCTTAGGAAATATTAATAGAATTGTGTTTAGCTTTAAGGATATCTCAAATATTCCGCGAGTAAAAATTAACACTCAACAAATCTCTCCTTCCCCCGTATGATTAAGAGTTTGTTATCGAACATTGTAGACGGAACAAACTCTATTCTGAAGAGGTCGATTGTTGGCAATTGACGTATAGGAGCCGATTTTGAGACGCCGTCGAAATGAGCGTTCAATTGCCACCATATTGATCTTGGTAGTCAGAGAAACGATATAAACATCTGAGATGTTTTGTATGATTTTTTTTAAATCGGCAATTGACTATCGATAATTTAAATTAATCGATGTAGAGCGTGTCGAATAGATTTGTTCGTTTTTTTAATTTATCTCCTCTCACTTTTATATCATTGAAGTTTTTCTTCCTAAGTTCATCTATAAAAAGCCAATTCCCAGAAAGGGTATTACATTTTAAACACACCTGGAACAAAAGCGCATCAGGTATTTTATTTTGGCGAGAATCAAAAACTCGAGTACAAAAGCCCGTAATTGTAACAGTTTTTATCAAAGGTGAGGTATCGTTAGATGGCTAAGAGGGTGAGAGGGAAAAGAGGCGTAGGTGGACAGAGGAGGAAAAGACCAACATAGCAAAGAAGGGAGAGATAGAGAGGGATGGGCTAGAAAGTCGATCTATTTGATTATTTTAATAGGTAAAAAATAAAATTAATTTCATTGATATCGATTAGGCGTCAAAAGGGAATTGTTTGTTTGTATTTTATCAATTTTTGTAAATTTCCAGTATTGTTTGTATAATTGCGTTTATATATTACATTTGCAAATGACAATAATTTATTTTATTTCATTTATTCTTATCATCAGTAGTGAACTATGTGCCATAAACGAGTTCGGAAGAAAGCCTAAGACAACAAAAGGAAATATGACAATATTAAACAGAGCAATTTCGTACCTGCGAATCAGGTGTCGGATAAGGAAAAAGTATAGACTCTTACGGACTGGCGTCTTAGCAACACTTATTACTCTTAGTTACTTTGCTTTAATTTACTTAAGTCGTTCTGAAGTTCGGTCCGACTTTTCTCCAACCTCCAGACATTTATTGGCTTCTAATAGCTCCTCTTCTTCAAAAAGCGAGTATCCTAATGGTATATTCTCGGAAGATCAGCTAAAAAAAGGGGCTATAACCTTGCACATCTTCGGTACTATTTATATGTTTGTGGCTCTTGCAGTCGTATGTGATGAATTTTTCGTACCGAGTCTCGAAGTGATCACAGAAGTCCTAAATATATCTGAGGATGTTGCCGGCGCTACTTTTATGGCTGCAGGCGGTTCTGCTCCCGAACTATTTACTTCCTTTATTGGAGTATTTATTGCAAATTCTAATGTAGGAATTGGAACTATTGTTGGTTCTGCAGTTTTCAACATCCTTTTTGTAATAGGAATGTGCGCACTTTTCAGCAAAGGTGTTTTAGTCCTAACTTGGTGGCCTCTCTTTCGCGACGTTACATTTTACTCGATTTCGCTAGCTTGTCTTATTGGCTTCTTTATTGATAAGTGGATTGACTGGTGGGAGGCTTTAATATTATTGCTTTGTTATATTTCCTACGTTCTCTTCATGAAATTCAATCAAGACTTTGAAGATTTCGTAAAATCTAGACTAAACGGGAATAAAGTAACTTCGATGAGAAGTCGTGACAACCTTATTAGAGAGTCTGGGAGTCCTACACCTAGACCTGTTGGTAACTCATCAATGGAAGAGAACTCTCCAAGTCCTCCCCCACAGGTAACGATATTAATTTTTACATAAACATGAAATGAGAGAATCATTTAAAAATAGAACTTCAGTGTAACTTCAATAACTAACTCAATGACGCGTTAGTTTGTTAATTATTCGCTGTTTAACGATTTTCGTCATTCTATTCCTCAACACGAATTCGTTAATCGAAATCGACTTGTTTCTATTTATCTTTCATCTTGTTCTACCAACATTTCACCTATTAATATTTTAGAAACAATTATAGTTCCAACTTCCTTTAATTTGCAGTCTATTTACTTTTCTTCAATAGTTTTACATTTCAAAAAGTAAATTACGAGAGCAGATTATAATTTTTAATTTCTCGCTAAGTAAGGTAAATTATTAAAGGTGTAGTATATTTACCATATACAAATTTGCATTGCATTTAATATCCGATGAAGCATATTTTCCTTTTATCATTGTGTTTATTATTTCTTAAAGGAAAGTATCGCCTTATTCATCTCTTTCTTTCAATATGCTGTTATTTTGAACGAAAATACTATATTCTAAAAAAGAATTGATGATGAGAGGTATCTAAGGAAAATATGATTAGACTTATTGCTTATTGTTTTGATGCTGTTTATCCGAACACTAGCAACGGCTAATGGAGAATAGCGTGTATGCAAATAGATGCTTAAAGTGCAGTTGTCATGACAGCACGATACAAAAGATACTAGGAATAGTGAGACAAATTTATGTAGGTCGATGTTATCGAATCTAATCTTGAAAGTTTTTATTTGATCGTAGCTAATTTTCGGAGGAAACGAATAGAGTATTGCAAAATTATTATCAATAAAGTTATAGAGAATTTCCACAGATTTTCTATACTCAGTAGACCAAAATCCAGGTAAATCTTCTCCTTATCCTCAATTAAATAAGTAGCTCTAAGCTTTGATGCGGTATGAAACTGTATTTCAGAATATCGATAATATTTGTCCAATAAGGAGTTATTGCTTAGCATTTCCCAGTAAAGATTGATAAGCAAGTATACATAAGTTGAGTATCAGTAACAATTACAATTTAATAACTGATTGAAGAGGTTTGAATATGAAAATAAAGAGAAAAAGTCTAAAACTAATTATTTAAAAAAAGAAATATAAGTTTTGACTAAAAGTTTCTATAAATCTCTTGATTTTAGATAGGTAGATGGTAAACATTAGTACTGTTGCCTTGAAATCTAATGTCTACTAGAAAGTAAGAGACTCTCTACTTGTTCCCAATACAAACTAAACTATTAGGGATGTAATTACTTTGAATATAATCGTGTAGTGTGTGAAGTTTATTTTCCAAATATTATATTTATTAATATGTTTATTAATATAATTTAGAAAGCCATATATAAATATATATATATATATATTTATAAAGCGTAAACATATAACATTATTAAAGAGATAAGGATGTTTGCAAATAATTTCATTTTATTAATATCTCTAATGACATATTTACATAGATGCATTCTTATTTTTTTTATATATATATATACTACATATACCGTATATAAGAATTTTTACAACTTTGCATTCCTTATATAATTTACTTTATGTATATTCGATTCTTGTTTATTGAGAAAAGTAATACTCTTCTTTGTCTTATAAACTTATTCGTCGTAACATTCTAAAGGAATCCGTCGAATACGGTTTCTATGGAAACATGGAAAACAAGTCACACCTGAAAACTGTCTAGATGAGCGTAAGCCTGATAATTTGATAGGCTTCTAGTCATTTAAAAAAAATACTTTTTTGATCGCTGTACAACTGTTTTTTTTTTATCTCTAATATTTGCGTACAACGGAAGAAAAGGGGATAATATTGATTGTCATTGAACTAAAGATCCACAAGCTACACAATTGTTTGTCTCGTTTCCTTTTCTTTCTCACCTTGTTTATTTTCTCTCTATGACACTGGTATTTTTTTCAATAGTTGTATAAATATCCATTTTAAAATTTTAACTCTAAAAGCTTCTGTTTAGACCATAATTGTTGTTAGTGTCATTATTTGCGTTATTTGTGACTTTGAAATGTCCTTTGGAGATAATTTACGATGTAAGAAAGCGGGAAACAATTCTCATTAATCTTTCTCCAATCCTTTTACAAAAAGTTCTATTTCAGTTCAAAATAATTAAAATATATACTGAATAATTATGTCCATTGATAGGTATTTAGATCGCATCATATGGTAATTAGTACAAACATATTTCATTAAAAAGTCATTTTTCCTAAATTCTATACCTTTCAAAGGTGTCGAGTACTAGATCTACTGTTCCTTTTTTTTTAATTCAATGGAACATGCTCTTTTGAAAAGAATATTTTTTTTTGACCTAGTACATATTTAATTGTATTTCTTTTCCGTAAACCAAAAATAGCCTCCTCCTCAGCCTCGGGCTCGATCTCAAAGCCTAGTTGGTGGCTTAAAGAGCGGCAGTTCGAAATATCGACATGGAATTATGCAGCTAATGATCCATACAATCGATCCTTTGAACGAAAGTAGGTTTTTTTTTGTATCCATAAGACAATGTATAAAAAATATTCTAGATGAAGAACAAACATCTAAAGCACGCCCCCTCACCATCTTTTTTTCCTTTAGTAGCATGCGATATACAGCACTCACGTGGGTATATAACGTATATTATTTTCTGTATACGGCGCATACTGCTAATAACAGGGAAATTAATAACCTTAATTTAGAATCCTTTCCTCTAGCAATTTTTCAATGAGCACAAAACCTCTTTCCTCTTTCTTTTTTGACCGCATGCTCTCTACTTTTTAGTTAAACCCTTGTTTTAGAGAATATTTTTATACTATATGCAGGCAAAGTGCACGAAAAAGCACTAAGACTACACGCTATTGCTTCTATGTCCGTCGCAGTGCCTGAAAGGCAAGAAGGAGAGATGAACGGTTTCGGCGCGAATCCTCCAGAAAACGGTCATATTCAGGCTATATCGAATGGTCGGTTATCAGCTACTCCTCCACCATTTGCCAATGGTACATCCCTCTTTAATGGTCAAGCAGCAAAGAATGGAAGTCTTCCAAGTTCAAGAAATCCTAGCCAGCATACAACTTTAACAAATATCAATAGTATTGACGATACAGAGGTAATACAACTTTTCTTTTATTTTTAATCAGAACCAAGTACAAAAAGGGGATATTAATATTAATGAAATCAATCAGATTTGGTTTAATCATTAGTAAAATTATAACGTCGGCATTTTGTCTAATGAGGCCCCTGAAGGATATAAAAAACGTTGTCTTTTTAATAACGAAAAGTCAAAATGTTCACCTTCTTCCCTATCGATTAATGATTCCTTTTAATTATCTTTTTCTGAGTAACCTTAGTCGCTTTCGACAAGTTCATTTCATGACTTTTATTTTTTTTCTGCAAATCATCGCCATTTGCAGCATTACAGTATTTATGAATGAATAATGTAAAGAAATCTATACTTTTCACAGGTTATAAGAGAAGGAAAAAAAAATCGGCCTTTATTTTATAATCAATTTACCCATTCATTTTTTCTATCAAATGACTAATAATTCTTAATTATTTATTACTTTATCCTCTCTTCCCTTTATAGATAAAACAAGAAGCTGTGATTACCAGAACGACTGCAATTGATAATGACAAAGACGACTGCAGTAGTCAAAGTGACAATCAAGTTAGTACAATTATATAATATATGTTAAGCTCACAGTATTAAATTTTCTACCAAAAATAAAAATACATAGTGTGACATCTGGAAAATCTAGTTAATAATAAACAAGCGTAATTATATATTTGCTATTGTACTTAATTTTTAAACATAAAATACTATTCCAAAAGTATAACAAAACCATAGCATAGATTAAACTTGTTGCTTTTTCAAGCGTTTTAATGATTTTGGTTTTCTTTTATTAAAATAAAAAAAAAGTCTTTCTTTTTAATTGATGCAAATTACGTAGGAAAAGTAACTTTAAGGCTTATTCTTTCTTCTATCTTCAACTAGAAAATGGAGGAACTCGATGAGCCGAATGAACCTCTTGATATTAGTTGGCCGAAGACCCTCAGGAAGCAGATAACCTATATTCTGGTTGCACCCATAGTTTTCCCATTATGGATAACAATACCTGATGTTAGAAAACCAAATAGAAGGCAATTCTTTCCTTGGACATTTATTGGTAGTATCTTATGGATAGCTGGTTACTCGTACTTGATGAACTGGTGGGCGAAAACTATAGGTGATACAATAGGCATCGACGAAGCGGTAAGAATACTGGAAACAGTTCATTTTCAATTAATTCTAATCGAATATTGCTTTTCCCGTATTGATTTATTGATTAATAGGTCATGGGCTTGACGTTTCTGGCGGCCGGAACTAGTATTCCTGATTTAATAACTAGTGTGATAGTTGCAAAGAAAGGTTACGGTGATATGGCCGTCTCTAGTTCGGTTGGAAGTAATATCTTTGACGTAACGGTTGGGTTAGTAACTTCATAGACAGAATCTACTTAATTAAATTGCTTTAATCATATTCATTCCACTGCTTATCCCATCAGGTTACCTCTCCCTTGGTTAATATATGGCGCTGTGAATGGCGGTTCACCATACCGAGTAGAGTCAAAAGGCATGGCTTGTTCCATCCTTCTTCTTTTTGCCATGCTTTTAATGGTAATCATAATTATTGCAATGTTTAAGTGGCGAATGAACAAGACTATGGGGATCAGTATGTTTTTTATGTATGTCATCTTCCTTATTGTTGCTATTCTTCTCGAATTGGAGAAAATATCGTGTCTAATCAAAACATGAAACAAATTTCTATACAAGGGCACGTCTCAGCAAACCGTCCGTTTTCAGTATAGTTCTTTTATTTTCCTTTTTACTTTATACCAGCGCAATACATTTGTACTCTATCTCTATCTGTGTATAAAAATAATGTGTTACATGCCCAAAATGTATGTACAATTTTATTATTATATACATATATACTGTATACTGTACATATGTAAATATATATATATATCTATCTATCCTATATGTATATATATATATATATATACGTATATTGTATATATGTTAGCAATCTGAGAAAAAAATGTTATCTTTGTATCGGTGTGGCTGATAATACTGCAGTAGGTTGTCAGAAATAAGTGGATCTAAGACACTAAACACAAATGAAAAAAAAAGACAAACAAAAAAAAAAGAGACAATTTATGAGAAAATTCAGAGCAGAAAAGACAAAACTTTATTTTTTTTCTTGTTTATCTAAAAAAGGTGATGAATGATTTATTACTTTTTCATTTACATTCATACAAGTCTTAAAGGAAATAGATACATTCTGAACAATACAAAAAGTTTATTGTTTAAATATATAGATATACAGTACATAAATTATAACTTGAACATTTCTATTTGCATATTGATCCGCTTATAACGAAAAAAAATTATGCATAATTGCAAGCATTCTTTTTGTTTGATAAACATGCAGTCAAATGATTTATGTATAAAAGTAAGATATGGAAAAAACGATGAAAAAAATATTCATGCATAAAAATGACTTGATGAAAACATGAAAGGTGAAGGAAAAATCTGTTTTTTTCGCTACTGTTGTTGTTTGTTATTAAAATATGCATCGTTTAATCCCTCTTATGCATTTGGTCAGATTTTCTAACCAGCTTTTTTCTTACATTTCCTACTAAACCATGTACTGTATATTGTATTGAGTTTAACAAGGAACATTATATTTTCAAGAAAATCTGATCAGCTTTGTCGGTTAAAACTACGATTTAAAGCTTCGCCAAACTGGCACTTGAAAGCACAATGTTTATTAATTAGATTGTATAAAAGAATTGAAAATATGTTTTAAATGCGAATTCTATTTCAAATGTATATTTTAAAATTATATCTTCTTTCCACAAAAGAATAAAAAAAGGTTATTCTTAGATTTCAAATAAGGACCAGTTTTATCAATAAACAATATACATACGAAACTAAATGCACTCTACTATACTGTTTTTCATTTTATCCTGTTTACTAAAGATTAGATGTTAAGCTATCTCCGCTATACATCTTAGAAAGTAATTAAATAAGGGTTAAGTATCAGGTCAGAAATTGGGATAATGCTCTAATTCAAAGAAAACTTGCATTGAAAGGAGACAATCCCTTTCCGAAGTTATATAATTGGAGAGGGGAAGAAGATAGATCTAGTTTGACTTGAGTATATATACTAATATATAAAATATAGTGTATAAAAGTGAATATAGTTTATATATATGTTATGATAAATGTAATTGATTATTAAAAGTAGCATTTTTCTATTATTATATAATTTTATGTTATTTATTTTATCTTCTTCTCTGGATAATGATTTCCTACATTTTCGCATCAGACATCGGTTTTCATCTTTAAAATTCCCCTTTAATTTATTCTTACGGAGGATCTCTTGTATTCCTTTTAGTTAAATATCTATTCGGTTTTTTGCCTCGTTAAGCCGCTCTTCGAGAAAGACTTATATCTTCTTGGTAATTCCTTTATAAACGTTAGAATTTTCCAGAATTTTTATCCTTCGTTTATTACGATAGAAGTGATTGATTTAATTTGGTAGCAGCTGCTTGCTTCTTCCCTTTCCTGAGATTAAAACAGTTGCACAAGCCTACGGTTATAGAATGACTAATCGTTTTAACCACACAGGTTTACTTTTTCCCTTTTCTCCCGCATTATTATATTTCTATATGATAACCGTCCTTTGTTACTATTAGTACTATTATTATTATTAGTCCGTTATGCACTGGATAGAGCGATGGAGGCTTGGAAACAAATAGATTTTCACTCTATCCTAACGCTGCATGCTAACACCGCAATGTCATTAATCCTTTCAATTATTAGTAGGGTAATCCTCGTTCGCTGCATATTTATTATTGGTCTCTAGTACTTATTTTTTTTCCCGCTATTTTATATTGAAAATCTTTAATTTCCTGTTCCTAAAAGAAAAATTGGCTTTTAGTCTTTGGTTAGAATTTCATTCTTCAGTATTTCTATATCTACATAATAAAGCTTATAAGAAAAGTCTCTATTGTAGTTTTTTTGAGCTTTCGACAGAGATATTGACCTCTGCGTAAAATTTTTCAATTCTATTACGTCTAATATCATAATAATGCTTAAGAGTTGGAGAACCCTTGAAACTAAAAGAGGCAGAACAGAGACCAGTTTTGTGGAAAAATCTATGGTTTTAACTTGAACAGAGAGGGGAAATTGCCTCAAAAGTGAATAATAATGGAACTTTTATAATTATGGCTCTTCTCGTTCCGACATTCCATCTAAAAGAGGATTGGGAAATCCAATTTCTATAATATTCGTACTATTTTCTCTCAACCTTCAAAGAATATCATTCTATATTCTTTTATCAAAATCACAATTATTCTTTCTAATCAAATAGAATTTAAAAATACATTACTCGTAACTTTATAATAGAGAATAAAGAAAATATTAATAAAAAATAAACATTTTATTAAAGTTTTTCTCGTTAGCTCATTAAAATCTGCTCAAATACAAATTTACCTTTGAAGTTATTATATAGGTCATTGGTTGAGGTATTTTTCCCCTTTAGTAACTTTATAGGTAGAGGTTCATTATTGAAGGTTTTTTACCTAGACTACCTATCGGGGAAATGTACAATAACGTAAAAGTTATTTAATTGATATCCTGCAGATGTCGCTAAAAATAGTTTACCTATATTTTTAGTGTGGTTACTGTGCTTGTGTATATGGTTTTTTTAAGGAGAATGTATGGTTACTTCTGATAGATAAGTCCACAAATTTCCTATTTCAGAAGATTAAGATTACTGTTCAATAAAGAAATGAGCGATTCCGATATGGTAGATAGTGTGCCGGCATGGTATAAATTGGAAGATATGTCGAATGTTTGTATGATGATATAATAGAATAAATAGGTAAATTCTGAAATACTTGATCAAAATAGGAAAACAGTGAAGAAACGAAACAACACGAAAGATTGATAAATGAAACATTTAATACACTAGTTGCTGCCATAGAGAATATTGAATCATTAGGCATATTCAATCCGTCATTTATTAAATCTTTCAAGGTTGTGTCAGATCAGCTGTCACTGTTGAAAACACATCTAGAATCTCTCAAATCAAAAGATGCAATAATAAAACAGCTTAAGGTAAGAAAAGATACTTTGTAGCTAAAAGGGAGATTATTTTTCTGTAAATATTCGTTTAGAAACAAATATCAGAACTTGAGAAGAGACAGATTGAACGAAGTGATCTTACACATATAATTGAACAGCAACAAAATAAACTTCAAGAACAAAAAGTAATGATGATGATTAATATTACTAAAATATAAATCTATTTTCGTATTTTGATATTCTCTAAGTCTGTTTATTGAACTTAGGTTGAAATTGAAAGATTATCCTTCCAAAAGTCTTGTACCATAGAAGATAATAGTAAATATCAAGACCTCCAGGAAAAATGCCATACCGAATATAATCGAGCTAATAAGGCTGAAAGTAGATTAGTAGCTTGTATGAAAAATGAGCAGAGGCTATTGTTGGAGATAGAAATTCTTAAAGGAGATAAGTCGACTCCGACGACTACGAAAGAAGTTTGAAAATAAATATAATTACTATACTTTGCAAGCTTTATTATTAAACGCTAATCATTCAGATAAGAGATGCGAATACATCGGATTTATACAGAATTAATCATGAACAACAAATAAAAATAAACAAATTAAGTAAAAATGTAAGAAAAAATAAGAAGATTAATTCCATTCTAATTTAATAATAATGAAATTGTTTTTCAGGCTTCGGAACTCGCTGAAGAAAAAGCTAAATTAGAAAAAATTAATGAAAACCAATGTGAAATTATAAGGAACCTTGAAGAAAATTTGAATCAATATACACATTTATCTATAGCTCCACAGGTTAGTTCGGTACTACAAAATATAGACTTCTTAATAAATTGTTTTGTCTTTACAGGCCTCCGTTTTAAATCGACGCAATACAAGTAAATGTAAAAAATGTAATGCTGAAAATTATGTTACTGCTAAAAAATGTATTAACTGCAATTTTCCCAAAGGTATTTAACATTTATTCTTAAATATAGTATATTTAATATATACATATCTATTCAGATGGACATTTAGAGGGTGGTATTCGTTTAGCTGATCAGTTTATGGAAGGACGTTATGATATGCGGGAAGTTCCTAATTCATATGAAACATACGATGGATACGATGTCGTAGATTGAACGTTGATCCATCTCACAATTCTCTTTACCATTTGTTTCTATATTACTCAAATGCTACTATTTTTTGAAATAAACTAGTGAAGGTATTACACATCTGCTGTACTTACTCATTTGATGGTTGTATCTACGGAAACGACCTCAGTACTCCTTGTAGGTGGGAAAACATGACTCCTTTTATATATTTAATAAGTTTTAAAGAAAAGGGTAAGAAATCCTTATCATAATGTTTATTTAATTGTGTAAGGAAGGGCAACGGAAATTATCTAATATTCAAAAATTAATAGGCTAAATTTATGATTATCGAAGTTTTCCTATGTATAATCCTACTTGGACAAGGCAACCACCGCTAGGTGTCGTTCTGAGGGATAAGAGCGGTTCATGCGCCTAGTTATTTAGTAAACAGTCTTGCTAGTGAATGTATGTGAGAGAGGATCTTAAGCTATGTTTTTGAATACTTACCAACACTTTTGCCCAAAGATACTAACTTAGTAAATGATTATATAATTAGAAATAAGTATTAAAAGGCTGGTAAGGAAAAAGGGTATAAATCAGATTGGCAGCTGAAGGATCGAAGAATTTCTTTCGTTAATATGTCGAAGGAGACCTTTTATACGAATTACTCGAGAGGATATATTGTTGAATTTGTCGAAGCGGGAGACGAACATTGCTCATCATGGCTCCTACTACCTGCAGAAAACTTGTGGCACGAAGGTGTTCGTGGATTCCTATATATCGTCGCCTTGATCTATTTATTCCTCGGTATAGCGATCGCCAGTGACGTGTTCATGTGCTCGATCGAATCGATAACAGCCAAGAAGAAAACAATCAAAAAATACGACGAAGAAGAAGGTAAAGTAAAAGAGGTAGAAGTCTTCGTATGGAATGAAACGGTGGCTAATCTCACTTTGATGGCATTCGGTAGTTCTGCACCCGAAATCTTATTAGCTATAGGAGAAACCGCCCAAAAATTAGGCAAAGAGGATGAAGGAGATGGTCTTGGAACTTTTACAATTATAGGATCAGCGGCATTTAATCTGTTAATTATTACGGCAATTTGTATTTTAGTGGTGGATGGGGGTGAGCCGAAGAAAATTAAAGAGTTGGGAGTCTTTCTTCTAACATCAGTTTGGTCGATTTTCGCTTATATATGGATGTTGATTGTAGTAAGGTTTTCGACACCAGGCGTAATTGACATGTGGGAAGCTTGGGTGACGTTCGCATTCTTTCCTTTAATGGTTCTTACAGCTTATGCGATGGATAATGGTTTCTGGATATACAAATGCCATAAGAGTTCTGTGGACGTCGAAAGGACTCAATCGGTTTGTTTCAACTTTCTTTTTTTGCTACTGTAAGAGTTAACAAGGAAAGCGTTTTTTTTTTGAGGTTTTGCATGGAAATAGTCGTCGTTAACTACGTTTCAGATTATTTGATTACGTTAATGAGCTAAGGCAATCGTTTCAGCAGACACGAAACTAGGAGTTTAATGTATGGTTTCAACTTTTACTTTTATATTTGCGGTAGAATGAAAGAACTTTAGAGATTCTTTATATTCTATAATAGTGTTATACAATTGGGAAAAAAGCGAATGATGACAAAAGTTATTATTCGGACGAGAATATCTTTAGTAAGCAGGTTATTAAGTGAAGGGATAAAAAAGAGAGTATCTAACTTTGATCGGTAGATCTTGAATATAAAGTATATATATACTGTATATATTATTTTATACATTAAAAGTCGATATTGATAACTAAACAATAATTTATTTACATTTTTCTCATAATCTTATAAAGTAGAATAATTTATAAGAAAAAAATGATGTTTTCATAAAAACTTGATAGACTAATAACATATTTATCAGATTATCTAGTTTGTCATTTTAGTATACACATATATAGAGCGTTATAGATATTGTATATTAATATATATCTATATGTCTGTGTGTATTAACAAATAGCGGGTGAAGACATTTGGTCAAATACATTATATCTGTCCACTTAAATGGGGCCAACCTATAAACACATCTAAACAATATTAATCCGTTACTGTAGCTGTTAGAATTTTTTATATTGGCTTTGAAAAAGTTGTTCGATCGTATATTTTAATACTTATAAGTTTCGCCTTCTTTTCATGCCTTAGAATTTTGTTTGAACAGACCATAATGTGATTTGAACGTGTTCAACTCGCCAATTACGCTCTCAAATACACCTGAACTTCTCTTTTCTCTCCCTTCATTTTCTCTCATTAAATAAAAAAGAACAAAAGGTGTAAAGAGTTAAGATTAGACGCAATTTTCTAATTTGTTTATAGAGTAATAGAAAAGATCGTTTATATAAGATATCGGTAAATTATTCAAGTTGATTAATAAATTCTCTTATTCTGTTAATTTTCTTTAAGTTTTAATAGAATTTAGAATAGAAAATTAATATAAAAATAATAATATATTCTAAATATATATAGCTATATATATAGCTCAAAAACCTAATATTAGGTTTTACTATATTCTTTTCATGCTTTATATAAAATGTTAAATCAATAGTGCTTAAAGCAGAAATATGGTTAAAATAAAAGGAATATATAACAAGTACTCTAATAATTATATGTTGATTTTTTAATAACTTGTTACTGATTTTTGCGCTAAAAGAAGGAGAAAAAAATTATGACCATTATTAATATTATTATGAATTATACGTAAATATCATATTTAAAACGTAAATGATCATATAGATAACGCCTTGATTACGACTAAGTAATAAAAAACTTCAATTCCCTACCTTTTTAGCCCTTATTCTTATATCAAAGTATGAAAGATGATACTTAATTCATATAGAGTAAAACATCATACAATTTGCAATTATTAATATTATCTAAGATTTCACTAATCAATATAAGTATACTATACATTTTTATTAATTATTAATGATAATTAATAAAGATATGTATATCTTCAATGCATATATTAATGTCTATTATTAATAACGTTTTTCTATAACTTTTAATATATATATATATATAAATTTATATATATATATTTCTTTTTGAATTAATTTTCTCTTTACAAACGAAACAAATTCGTCGTTTTAAACAGAGATTATTCACTGTAAGTATAAAATATAAACGGAAAAGCAGAGTAAAAACAAGAATAAGGCTTAATATCAAATCATATATATATATATATATATATATATATAATTTATATATATATATGATATACTCTTTTCTATATATGTCAGTGTGCGTGCCTAGCGTTTCTATCAGCTTCCTCTCCCTTCTTGATATTTTTATGCGGATTATCTCTAATAATTTCAAAAAATCCGATAACATATACACTTGTACATATTGCGTATAAGTGAGTATGAAGGGAAGGAGGGAATATTTTTCTTAGCACTGTTATTATTGACATTTTCTTTATTGTCATTCTGTTTTGGCGCTTGAATTATATAAATATAGTTTATGTTTTTGTATGGCTTTTAAAATATTATCATTAAGAAACTATAAACGCATAGTATAAACTTTAATAAACATATTATCCTTGAACGTTAATTTTTAATATTATTTTTGATATGTTTATCTTTCGTTTTGCAGTATTGTTTTTTATTTTATTTTGCGGTAGACACATCAATAATTTTTCTTTTGAGTTAATCACCGTTTAAACACTTTATTGCGAACTTATCACGTATCATATTAAACAATAATTGATAGGCACAGCGTAAAGGGTCCTTAATTAATCGTATATATACAGTTCAGGGCAATTGAAAAATTACAGTGGAGTGTAAAATGATAAAATAATGAAATAAAAGAAGGAGAACAATAATTTTTGATTGATTTAAAGCCTGTTAAGGTCATTTTTAGTTTTTCAAAATAGTATGTAAATTTCCGTTTATACGAAACTAAACGTAAACGTTATAGATTAGCTAATGATTTTCTGTCGATACCAGAAATAAATCGTTTTACGATATATCTATCAAAGGCCTATTAGAAGCAATTATACGAATAACACTTTCAATCGAATATCTCAACTGGATACTACAAAACAATAAAAAAATAAATAGAAATGAAAGTTACAAATATGCTTGGTGTTAATAGTGATCACTAGTAATACAAAATAAGGACAGTCTGTATGGTATCTAGGCAACAACCCTGAATGCTATGCCTTTGATGAGCAAATTAAAATATTGATCTCCGTTATTAAACAGTTTCTTTATGCATTAGCACATTTATGTTGAAATACGATTAATTAAAGATACTGCAATATAAATTAACTAATTTATTTCTTTTTTTTTATTACTACAATTAAAACTCTCATCAATCATCTCTCTTCATCTACCGACGTATAGCTAAGAATCCTTCAATCAAATACAAGAAGGAAAAGCGTTATGCCAGAATTCGCTAAAGAATTTCAACAAATTCAGAAGGAAAGACGAATAAGGTAAATTTCCTATAAAACAAATTATTCTTATTATATTTATTAATATCTCTATAATACTTATTTTATTGAACATTAAAAAAAAAAAGAAAGAACAATTTTTTTTAAAAAAAAAAAAGGGAAAATTATAAAAAAAAAGCAAAAGTTTTATTTCATCGATAAAGTAATATTGTGTCAGTCGAGAATAGAGCGACAATAAATATAAAAGTTAACGATCGGTCGGTGAGCAGAGTGTGAAATTTCTACCAATGTTTACAACATTAACAGCTTTACGAAATATACTTTTTGATTTTCAATAAAAAAACACTTTCTACTGCGCTTCATTTAAAGTATAATAAGAAGAGAAAAAAATAGAATAGAATATATAACGTAGTTTATTAACAGTTTTTCAATTTTCTTTAAGCCTAAAAGTTATATAATGTATTTTATAGCTTTACTAGTAAAAAAAACAACTGTATATTTCCTTCTATTATTTCGTTTCGTCTATAATGTAAAATCCAATTCTAGTAATTACAATGCTTTTATAGATACAAAAGATTACTAGAACATAAATGCAAATAAGTGAAACTTGCGGTGGGGTAGGTGCGATAGGCGCGGTTGAGAGTATAGGTCGAGAGGAGGGTAGGGGGTAAGCTTGTTAATTAGAATAGACTTGTAGGCTATAATCACTGTAAGCTGTCGATAATTCGTCTTATTCAAGCTGAATAGTTCAAAAACTTTATAGTAGAGTTTTATAACAAAATTGTTGATATAATATTATTTCTTTTATGGTATTAAGATATTTATTTCATATATTAATTGTATTTTTTCTTTAATAATATTATATTTATAGTATTTATTTATTTAATTAATATTTTAATTAAAAATCTTTTTAAAATTCCAAAAACAAAATGGAAAAAAAACATAAATTAATTAAAACTTGTGATAATTTTCAGTAAAGCTAGTATAAGGAACAGCCAGACGGAGTAAGTTTCTCACAGTTTCCTAGCTTTAATACTCCAAAAACAAACAAAAAAAATTAAAATATAAACCAATTACTGTATAGAATCTGCCTTTGTTTTATTTTTTATTATTTTCAATTTGTCCTATATACTGTATCTTATTTTTTTTACTTGAAAAGCTAAAACTTTTTTCACACAACTTATAAAACGAAGAAAGAATGAACAATCTCTTTAGCTTAGATTGTTTTGTTTTTTTATACTTTTTTTGTTTTATACATTTCACATTTTCCCACTTTAAAAACGTTTTTATATATAATTAAAAGAGGTTAAAAAATGACGGATGTATTAGTATATATATCACTTGTGTTTTTATTTCTCTTTAGCTAAATTTTCTACTTTATCTTACAGTTCTTTTTTTTAATTTTTCCCATCTTTTAATAGAAATTTTTCTAGTTTCTTTTCTGTTCAAAGAATATGAAAGAGAAGGCATTAAAAGTGTTATAAATTTAGAAGGAAAAGCTTTTAAAATTATGCCAAATTTAGACATACGTTCGTATGTTTAATGGCAATTAATGAAAGGATCATTCTCTGAAGATATTTCATCGAATAAATGACTACTTAAAGCACTTTTTCCCTTTACCAACACTTCTGCAATGCACGCAGAAGACATTATTCTATAATATTTAATGTATAGAGGAGTGTCCAATAAATGGATTATTTTTCAAATACTGTAGGAAAAACTGCACTCATTTCATTGTTATTAATCACCTTTGAAAATAGCTTCTATATAAAAAAGAATCCTATGTGTAGTGCATACATAGAGAATGAATCTTAAAATTGCTTACTAAACAAACAGTTACTTAAGAATTTTTAATGTATTTTCTTTTACTATTTACAGTTTAATGAAAGACGATATTTCGTCTGAAAGTTCAAGAGCGAATTCAGTCATGAGAATTAGAGAAAACAGTATTGTTCAATCAAATACGTCACGGGCAAGGTAAGCATTAAATGAAATCATTCCCTATAATCCAAATCTAGCGTGCAATACCAGTATAATTTTCAGTAGCAATAATTTTTTTTTATTAAGAATAATTAATAGTATAAAACGGAAATGAAACTATACAATTTATATTAATTTAGCACAAATTATTAAACTATAACTATTGCAAAAAGAGTGAATATGTACTTACATTCATAGTCCTTAATTCTATATAATTTTCAATAATTTATATATAAACAATTTGAAATTATAGTGAAAATAATTCTTTAAATTATTCTTTATTATTTATAAGCCTATTCTTATAAAGTATTTATTGTTATATAGTCTGGAAATTGTATTTTTGTATATATGCATATATATATATATATAAAAGTTTAGGAACCAGGCTAATTGTCTTTGAAAGGTTAGCCTAAACACGCTATAAATCATTTATGAAAATTGAAATAAAAAACCGTAGTTTTCTCCTTCTTCTTACACTGATATATATCGTATTAATAGGAGATTAACACCATTTCTTTATCTTTTTTCTTTTTCTGATAAAGTATATCTATAAAAAAAGAACAAACTATGATTTATTTAAGTATTTATGACTTTAAAGGATACGTTTCCAATTCTTTAAATATTGCAAAAATTCACAAATTTATTGCTTTTTTTTAGTTTAATACGTTAGTAAACTACTTCTAAGTATATTATCCTAAATCAATTGAAATGTTTCTTTAATATTTAATATTATGTATTTAGCTTGCTTGATATACTCGAGTCAAACAATTCAAGAATTAACAACCTTTTTTTCCTTTTTTCTCCCTCGCTTACGTTTGTTTTAGCAAAGTCTAGTAGTAATATAGTAGGGCTGATAAACTAAATACCTGTTGAAAAGATGATATTGAAAATTTAACCAACAATCTTCTTTGATCAACTATTAGTTTGATCTTATAAAAATTTAATAGTCTTAATATAGTCAATAAAGTATACTGTGTAGATATAATATAGCAAATGTAAATTAAATAATAAAATCTAGGACACAAGGCACGAAATGTTTATATTAATGGCGTATGAACCATAAATTGTACATACCCGTATAATATATATATTAATGTTTTTGAATAATGCTGCGTACTTTCCTTGAATATTTTTATAGTTTATCTATTTTTTTAGTAGTACTATACTTAATAACTGTCTATAATTTATTATACTGTTTCTTTTTTACTATGTATATATATATATCTATATATATATATTTACATGTATATACATACACATATATATATATATGTGCATCACTTTATATATATATATATATCTTTTTTATAATTAATCCAGCAACCGGTTCAGGTGAATAATTGTTGTCATTTCCTTAATGTAACGACTTGTGTAGACTTAATTTGTAATTTTTTTAGCCAAGTATAGAATATAATTTATTCATGTGTAAACTGTTTTCAACATTAAATGTTCTCTGTCAACTCAATGGATAGATATATTTCGTCAAACTGCATTAGAAGTAATCAAGTTAATAAAATATGCACGATCTATTAGATATGTAGGTTTTTCAAGATCTCACTTTCATTGTTCCTTCTCTTAATACTTTGTGTATTTATGGCAGACGAAGTGGAAAATATCTATACATTACGACAACTATTAAAAACTTTTTCCATCCTTCTTTCATTCTATAAGTCGATATTAGTGTATCTTTTCCTCTCCCCGATATTTCAATAAGCTAATTCTTTTCTTTATTGTCTTTTGTTTTTATGAATATAGGGATTAGAGTAATAAAAAATAGTTTATAATTAAATAAATTAGACTTTTTTTTAAGAATTGTAAGCCTTGAAATAATGGCACGCAACCGCGTAAAACGTTTATTGATTTAAGAAAATATAATAGAAAAAAACCTATTCCGGACAAAGTTCTTCACATAATAAAATCGTTTATTGATTAGCATTATCAAAGTTTTGTATATATTTAATTGGTTATCGATTGATTGATGTGCACGCTCGATTGCACTCTCAAATCTATGACCTAATTAACTAATTTCTTAATTATGAATAAACAATAGAACGAATAACTTGATTTTTATTAGTAATATAGTATATTAATATGTTATATTTGATATACTTATTATTACAGAAAGTCTTTTTTTATTACTATTCAACTAGTCTTATAGTTTTGATTTTCAACTCATTACCTTACTTTTCCTAACCAGATTTCGACATCTAGTAGTAAGATCAATGACTGGAAAAAAGCATTCAGCAGTATCTCATTCAAAAGATCAACACTCAAAAATCAAAATGGTAGACGCGGTTCAGGCAATTCAGGACAGGGATATGCCCTTTCGAAATGGTATAGAAATATATATATATATATAAATTTATGTATATAAATTATTTTATGGGGTTCTAGTTTAAATAATCTATGACAAAAGAAGATAGTTTCCATACTATTTTCTCTTAGGTTCTGAAAACAAGCCATTACTTGTTTATTAATAATGGTATCATTCCCATCTAAAGATCAATGTAGGGAATTTTATTGTAAATTTCAATCGAAATATACCATTTGGGATTTTATTGACAAAAATTTAAGTATCAATCCTATGTATAAATCTCAGTAAAGAGTATACTTCTAAAATCTATATAGTATCTTTTTTATAATCTACTTAGAATATAATTAATTAGTTTTATACATTAATGATATACATGTCGTATATTCTACATACTGACAAATTTCTTCTAATCCAGAGGAAGAGAGACAGAAGAAGCTAGGTAAAAAAAATAAATAAAAATAAAACACAAAAACAAACAGAAAACACTATGAAAGAATATTTAAAGTATTTTAAAAGTTATCTAATTCAAACACAATTTAGTTAACACATTTTTTTTTATACATTCACAAAGAAATATTAAAATAATATAGTTTATTTTTCCTTAACTAATTTTTTTTTTAAAAAAACAAAAATCATTTAAAAAAAATCTTTATTTCTAGAAAATATACACATTTAGTGTTTTTTAAATTTTTTATTGCTTTTTTTTAATAATTTTATTATTATTAAAAACTACGTTTTTTCTTATATTTTCAAATTTTGTTTCATTTGAATAATCATAATATATACATATATAAATTATATATATACAGTATAAATTTATATATGAATTTATATAAGGAAATATATATATATATATATATAAGGAGCATAAGAGAATAATTATCTTTTTATACCTCTTATGAACAAAAAGAAAAAAAAGTGCAAAGATAATAAAAACCATAATTATAGATTTTTTTCGTATGATCGCAAAAATTTCACCTTAATATTATATATTACTTGAATTCCCTTTCTCCCATTAGTTCTCAAGTCCCCCTCCTCCCGTCCTCTTTCTCTCTCTGTCTGTCCTTCCGTCTTTTATCCACCCACCTTCATATTTTCCAATACCTGTTTTTTTACGTTTTGAACTGAAAAAAGTGATAATAGAACATGAATAATGCTCTATTGCCTGCTCTGACGAGAAAAGATATAAAATCAATTATTTTTTGCACTTTGTTTTTTTTTTATTTTTTTAATTATCTGTTTTATTTAAAATAATCGCTTTAAAAGAACTTTTCCATTTCTTTCTGACAGAGGATTTATGTGGTAAATTTACTTTTGCATCTCCAAGTTATTCAGTATTAGAGAGTAAAGAAATTATCGAGATTGATGTGCTTTTTCATCGAAGAAAACCGTAAGTATCGAAAGTTTTCTTCAAACTATCTAACTCTCATATAACATCTAGATGCACTAATTAACTTTTTTTCAGGCAAAAGACAAAATCAACCTTGAAACTTCCGGTACAGTTTTCCCATTTCTATCTTGAGGAAATCGTTTTTTTACTTATTGAATTTTTGATTGACATTTAGAATGGTGGCTTGAAAAATGAGGAAGAAAAGGAAACTTCCTTTCAGAATGGAGTTATTAAGCCTTGTATGGACGGTGAACTAGTACACAAAGGTGTTGTGTCTGTTGAGTACGAAACTAGAGAGGGATCAGCAAAATTCGACAAAGATTTTAAACCAGCAAGAGGAACTTTACAATTTGATCCTAACGATTTTCAAAAGAAAATACCTATTACAGTGATAAACGATGCTCAATATGAAGGAAATGTAGACTTTTACGTTCTTCTCAAGAACGCAAAAGGAGATGCTGGCATTGGTGATCCAAACATTGCCAGAGTGACAATAATCGATGACGATGGTATAAATGAAATTAATTATTAGACGGGGAAAAAAGTACTTGTTTATTACAAGCCTCTCCTTTATGTATTTTCTATAGAACCAGGTGAATTTGAGTTTGAAAAAGTTCAGTATTACGGTGGTTCCGATGGATCTGTTTCTGTAACCATTGTTAGGAAAAATGGCGCAGATGGGAAGGTTACAGTTGAATGTTTGACCCTGTAAGTACATTTAGCTGGATCAAAAGAAAGAAAATTGCTAATTAAGTTAACTAATTAACGTTGAAACAGTGATGGCACTGCAAAAGGCGGTGAAAAGATTGAAGATGGAGTAGACTACGTAACATTTGATGAAGAGATAGACTTTGGAAACGAAGAAACTAGCAAGAAGATAAGATTTGAAATTAACAAATCTTCTAAAGTAACTAATTTTAATAGCGAATTCAATCAAACTTTAAGAATCCTTCAATGGATTATAGAAAATATATACTACGTCATTTATCCTGTGATATATTATATATATTTACTTAATTCTTAGCTAAAAATAAGCGATCAATTTCGTAAAATGACTTAATAGCATAAATAGAAGGCCTTTATTTTCCTTTTACGTAGTGCATGTCCACATATTTATCTATACCTTCTTAACTGTTAATAATATTACTTTCCTTTAACTCTTACAGGAGAACAAAAATTTCATTGTTTGTCTAAGAAATCCTAGTATTGGAGCCAAAATAGGAAAACACGCCTCTGCAATGGTATTTCTCTCGTCTGATAAACTTGAAGGTGATTTAGCAGATATTATTGAAGATGACGAGGAAAAGGAGGATGGTTGGGCTGATCAATTTAAAAAGTATATAGTTTTCATACATAAAAAACATTCTTCTATTATGTGCCCTTAGCATACTGAACTAATGAGTCTTTGATATTTATTGAATATTTTATGCTTATGTGAAGTAGGCAAGTAAATTCGGCTGGTACTCTTAAAACACACTTGAGAAGTTTACTTTATTTTCTCTTCTCATTGGAAAGAGTAATGAAAGGACAGATAGCTAGAGAATGAGAGCGAGAGAGAAAGGACAAGACAGGCAGACATACTGTATACTGTATATATGCTAACAGATAGAGAGAAAGAAAATCTTGAATAGAAATCTTTGAAAGGTTCTTTTCTAGGCCAAAAACTTAACATTATATTTACACGGTTTATTAAAGAACAGCTTGTGTTAATATCTATCACTAATCTGTTTACATTTTTTTCTCTATATAAAAGCGCGATGATTATTGACGCTGACGATATGACTTGGAGTGACTACGTCATGCACTTCCTGTCTTTTCTCTGGAAAGTTCTTTTTGCTTTCATCCCTCCAACGTAAGGCATCTCAGTAATTTAATAAAATACAGAAAGACTCACGGGTGTACATGCATTTTCTTTCACTTAGAAAATACCTGGGGGCATGGCCAACTTTCGTCGTCTCTGTGCTCGTTATTGGCGGATTAACACTCTTTGTCGAACAGCTCTCCGGTTTGCTAAGTTGTGTAATTCAACTTAAGCCAGCCGTAGCTGGGATTACATTAATCGCATTGGGTACAAGTCTACCCGACACTTTTGCATCAAAATCGGCTGCTCAAAATGATCAACATGCCGATGCCGCTATAGCCAATGTGACCGGAAGTAACAGTGTCAACGTATTTCTTGGCTTAGGTTTACCATGGGTTATAAGCGCCATTTACGCCGCAGCTACGAAGACAGAATTCAAAGTGAAGACAAATAATCTGGTCTCTTCTGTAGTGATTTTCACTATTTTTGGTACTCTATGTATAATTTTGCTGCTTCTTCGGCGGAGAGTAAGTATAAACTACAGTAGAAAACGCAAAATCTGATCTTTTCTTTAAAAAATAGTTCGTAGGAGGAGAATTAGGAGGATCCACTGTGGGAAAAGTCTTATCTAGTATCTTTCTGATAATATTATGGCTTCTCTACTTAGTTCTAGCTTCAGTTAAAGCTTATCATCCAGATGTATTCCCATGGTAGACCAAGCTACTCTTTTTGAAAAGAAAAATGGAAAAAAAAAACAAAACAAATGTCTTCTTGTATTTTATCTTTTGTGTATTTTTTTTATTATCCCAGCAAAGAAAAAGCATGAAAAAAATTATTAAAAAAATTACAGTAAAAACAAAACCTAGACTTTAAAAAAAAAGAAATTGAATAATGAATTAAACAATTATATAAAACAAATTGAATTAATAATTGAACGAAAAGAGAAAACGAGCTTTAAAATTGATAAGAATAAATATACTATACATATATATATATATATATATATATTAAATTTAAGTATTTTGAATACTCTTTAACTTTTGTGATGAAATTGTCTGATTTATTGGGAAATACTAATATAGTTTTATTTTTTCTTTGTTTTTTTTTTAAAAAGAAAAGTAAAATGGCTGAAAAAAAAGAAAGAAATTATTTAGCCGACCTTGTAAAGAGAATTTAAAAAATATATCACTTTATCAATGCATCTATATACATATGTACCAGTCTATTATGTAAATTTGTATCCTTATGTTATCTATGTATTATTTTGCTATAAAAAGAATTGCTCTGAAAAATTGTTGCTTCTTAACTATACATACTATACATTGAACTATGTAACTTGATAACATACCAAAAATACAATATATATATATATATATATATATATATATATTGTTGTATTTAGGGGCTTTTGGGTTTCTGCAGTTGTGTGCACCTACTTTAAGAAATACTTTCATGACTTGAAATAAAAATACACGAAAATTGTAAACTCGTTAAATTATTCCAGCTATTGATCTCTTTCCTTAAGAGTCTTTCATACAGTGCTAGAAACTGTGATCTTTCTTATTCAATTAATTTCTTAAATCAATCGATTAAATGTCAATGCAGGTTAAAAACTTTCACTAAAATTAAGTATTTTTCTTTAAACTAGTTAACAACCTTCGGTTTCTTTCTCTTTTCAATAAACGAATTTCCTATATTAACTCCATATTATATATACATATTATACATACATAGTACTAGTACTTCTCTGCTGCAAACACATATCATCTGGTTACGCCATCTAGAGTTACGAAAAGCAACTCAATGAAATCAAGGTGAAGGTTATTGAATGAAAAATCTTACTAAGCACAACATTATAGTTGAATTTCAAAGAATCCATATTTAATATTACATGAGTAAAAGGTAAAATAGTAAATAATGGACAATAATTAACAATATGTTAAAGTCTTAAACTGTGTGAGGGGATATTTATTTTATTTATAATTAATCTCTAGGTGAAAGCCGGACCTTAATCATAAACATGAAATATAACCAAGATTATCTGAAAATAAAGGAAGAATTACGCAGGGATAACGAACTATTTGAAGATCCAGCTTTTTCTATATATGATGAAATATTGTCCAAGAACGTTTCTGGTCAGAATATTCAATGGCTACGTCCCCACGTATGATAATATCTATTTAATAACGTATAGTAAATACTGTATAAAAATGGTATATTTATTAATGTCATACGGTTCTCATAATATATTTATCTAAACCACCATATTAAATATTTTCCCTTACGTAGTCAACATGGGAAAAAAATAAAAATATCGATATATACCAGTTTTTTTACTTAATATGTAAACGAATTCTCTTAAGTTTGCTATTGATGAATTTACAGGAACTCTGCGATAGGCCACTTTTCATTAAAGATGGTTTATCAAGATTCGACCTGGATCAGGGCCGTCTAGGTAATTGTTGGTTTATAGCTGCTGCCGCAACATTAGCTTGTAAAAGATCCCTTTTTACAAGATGCGTCCCTGAGGATCAAAACTTTCATAATGACTATTGGGGCATATTTCGTTTTAAATTTTGGCAGTATGGCAATTGGGTTGAGATTGTTATAGACGATCGTCTTCCGACTTCTGGCGGTAGGCTTATTTTTTGCAGAAATAGGGACGAGCCTAATGAATTATGGTCGGCTTTATTTGAAAAAGCCTACGCTAAGCTCTATGGGGGTTACGGTCGTTTGGATGGAGGAAGATTTTGTAATGCTCTTGTAGATTTTACCGGTGGAATTTCCGAAAGTATGTATATAGGTGATAAGAATAAATTGCCTGGAGACTTATTCGATATTTTGTACAAATGTCACCAAATGAACAGCTTTATGGGCTGTTCGATTGATGGGAATTACGAGAGGGAGGAACTTATTAACAATGGCTTATATAAGGGGCATGCTTATAGCGTCACTGCCATCGAATTGATAAATACTTACAACTATGGCCGTTTGAAGATGATAAGAGTAATGAATCCTTGGGGCAAAGCTGAATGGAAAGGTTCTTGGTCTGACGGCTCGCCTCTTTGGAATGAAGTTCCGGCGGAGGAAAGAAGACGTTTAGAAGTACGTAATTCAGAAGATGGAGAATTTTGGATGGCCTACGAAGATTGGATTAAAAATTTCGAAAGATTAGAAATTGTTCATTTAGAGCCGGATGCTTTTTCAGAGAATATGCTATCAAATTCAACAAAGAAAAATTGGCGAACGTTGACGTATAACGGAGAATGGGTGAAAGGAAAATCGGCCGGAGGTTGCGGTAATAGCCCGTATAGGGAATTATTTGAAATGAATCCTCAATATCCAGTGAGAATAAGTCAATCTCATGGTTGTTCAATGATTGTTTCTCTAATGCAAAAAATTGATGACTTTCACATAGAAAATTCTGTCTCTTTTTTTGTTCATAAAGTGCGTGCTGGTTACGAAGATCAAATTGGGCCTGATAACAAATACGATCACGGTTTTCTTAAACGCTTCTGCGATTCTCCAACGTTTATTAACTCAAGAGAAGTTAGCCTTAGGGTGCAAATTGACACACCTGGAACTTACGTTGTCATCCCATCAACCTTTGATCCTTTTAAAGAAGGAAAATTTCTTTTAAGGATGTTTGCAGAATCAGAAGGGGATGATTACTAGTGAGTTTTTTTTCGTTTATTTAATAGAATACAGAATTTTGTTGCTAATTTACCAACTCACAGCGGTAAAGGAGCCGGTTTAAAAGACGAGAATGAGGAAATACATACGCCTCAAAATAATTGGTTTCGAGGCTTTCCTGCAGGTAATCAAATAATGTCTATTTCTTAAATCCCACGATATATTAATAAATTTAGTAATATATAAATAACAATTCCTAAAAAAGCAACAGCACCTTCCAGCCAACCGCCTCTTCAACCGCCACCATCTTGTCCTCCTCCTGAGCCGTACTACCAACAGCCTTATCAACAAACATATCCGCAACCTTATCAACCACCGTACCAGCAACAACCTTATCAACAACCGTACCAGCAACAACCTTATCAACAACCCTATCAGACGCCTTTTCAGCCATCGTATCCAACTCAATATCCAGATAATCATCAGCAGCAACAACAGCAACAACACCACCAACAACAACAGCAACAACAACAAGGATCAAATTATGGTTGGAAATTTTAATAGGAACGAAAGAAGACAAAGAGAAAGAGAGAGAAAGATAGATAGATAGTATCTCCTGTTAAAAAAAATCAATATAACGACTATTTTGTTTTGTTTCTTTTTGCCAAATCTATCACTTTCTAAAAAAAAGGCTATAAAAATTTATAAGGAAAAAACATGACAAACGAAATTTCTAGTAATTTATTTTGCTTAATTCTCGTGACGAGGTCTATCTGTAAATTCTGTTCGATTGATTTTCCTACAATTTCATTTCGGACATTACTGATTGATTTTCCTGTGTTCGCTCCCTCTGCTCTTAAAGATTGTTTATTTGGACGCTTTTTTTTTCTTTATACAGATAACGAATTGGAATAAAACCAAAAAACTTTATACAGTAATACAGTAATTATAAAAGTATATGTATATATTTTATACAATCAAGCTATTTAATGATTAAAAAAATAATACAGTATATATATATGTGGCAAAAAAGTTTACTAATACTTTTATTTATGACAAAGTAGAAAGCTTAATAGATTAAGAGAGGCACCGAAACAATATTTTTTTGGCAACAAAAATAAAATAAAAGACAAACTTATGTTATCTTTTGAATTGCAGACTTTTCCTCTTCTTCTTCTTCTTTATTTCTTTTAAAAGATATTTTTGTAACTTAGTATTGTTATTATTATTAATAATTATAAATAAATTTTTAAAGCCACAAAGCATGCATATTGTAAAAGCAGAAATGTGTAAATAAAAACGAGAATACTGTATATCAAGATAATTTTTTAGCATTTTTGGTGTTTTTTTTGTTTTTTTCCTTAATTAGAATACAGAATTGATATTCTTTTCTACAAGAGATTTGCAAAGTACCGTAATTGGTTGATTGTTAAAAATTTCCTTTTTTTTTCTTTTTTTTCCTTTTTTTTATTTTCTTTTTTTCTTTCTTTCTTTCTTTCTTTCTTTCTTCTTTGCTTTGTTTTTTATTTATTTTGTGCTAATAGAGGAAAAAGTTTCTTAATTCCTAAAGATGAAAGGCAATATTTTCTGCTTGATTTTTTCATTTTTTTATCTTTGCATAATTTTTGAATGATAAAAATTCAACTTGGCAACTTGTGATTGGTCATAATAATCCGTCACATAACTACACATGCACAATCGTTGTATTCTTCTACACCAGGCAATGGCGGTAGTTTTTCTGCAGGAGGTTCCGAGTAATCGCTTGCAGTGTATATTCTATTAATTGAAGAAAAAAAATATTCTTTAATTATAAATAGAAAATAAATAAAGCCTTTTATACTTAAAGCATGTGGAAATGAGAATGTTGAGAAATATAGAAATATTTAAATATACTGTAAGTATCTTTTTAAGAATCACCTTATTAATAGGTGTTTAAATATATAATAATTACTGTTTGCTTACTATACAGTATATATTGTAATAAATAATACAGTTTGTATAAATCAGTTACTACTGCAGTTAAAAAAACAAACTGTATTAATTTTGTTTTTCATCAAAAGTTTGGTTTAAATTTAAAAACATTTTGTGGAAAAAATAGTAAACAAAATATCTAAATTATTTAATGGAAAATGATTATTTTGCCATGCATCAATCTTTTTTTGAGAGTATATTGCAGTGCGCATGCATTACAACGGAATATATTTGAAAAACCTGCACGTTTTAATTTTCCTGAAAATTTTGTTACATGATCACGCATGCGCAGTCATTCACTTCGGATACCCAAGGTGCAGGAGGTAACATGTGCATAGGAGGTTCCTGAATCGGAGTATCTTTGTCCAAGTAAATTCTGCAAAACTTCCTCTTTATCTTTCCGAAATTTTTGTTTTTTATTTGTTTTTTTTTTTTTTAAACTTTATGAAAAGATAACATTAAGAATAATGAAAAAAATAATGAAATCTTTAACAGACTAGTCTAAACGAAAGTAAAAAACTTTGCTATATGAAAATTTAAGTCATCAAGATAGATAAATAGTAGAAAGGTATTAAAAATGTAATAATAATAATAGTAATATAAAAGTATAAAGATTTCATGCTTCCCTTTATCTATTCACTCACCTAATTACTTGAACCAACTGCTTTCGTGACCTTTGACGTCTATCTCCTCGATTATTATCATTCCATTCTCCGTCCATAACACTTGTTTCTGTACCATCCTGCTTATGCCATATATAGGATAGAGGATGATAAAATGTTTCTGCTCCTATTATTTTTCGATCTACAATTCTCATCCAGGCTTTTGCCCTCTGCCAAGTAAGAGAAAATGGTTCATATTCCGGTGTACCAGAACACATTCCAACTTTTATAGGTGACGGTATAAAAGTTTTGTAGGCAAATCCTGTTGGAGGTCTGTAGTAAGTGGAGGAGGAAGTTTCGTTGGATTGGCTTGAATTCTTTACGTAAGTTACTCTTACAAATCGAACAAGTGTACATGATTCAATTTTATCTACAAAATTCAATCCAGTCTGCACAAAATCTGTAAGGGTATCCTTATTATAGTTTCAAATTAACATAAATGATTAGTTGATTAATAATTAGTTCGCTAATAATACAAAATACATTCTACAATTTCTAATTATCCTTTTTCATTTTAGAAACAATCGATTGGCTCAAAAATTACGATTGCCCTTAAATAAATGAAGAGAACAGTCTTACTATCTATTTTTCCCTCCATAAGAAGGAGAGGCATATTTAATTATAAGAAAACTCTTGATAGCTGTTGACCTATATGACTAATGAGGCTTATTATATCAAATAGCCAATGATTTAATTGTCTGCAGGATACAAAGAAATATTTTCCGCAGAGATGAATTAAAATCCCACTTTGACAAACTGAATAAACTAAACACTTCATATATTTTATATATTATGCATAGAAATAGCTTTTTCTTCATTTTCAGATTATAAATCGTTGCTTTCAACGTAATTTTTATATTCTTATCCAATCTCCTAATTATTTTAAAAAAGTAATTAACTTAGTCATAAATCGTTATTGAAATAATAATAAGATATGAATAATAATTCATAATTCTCTTCCCTAATATTTATATACACAGTATGGTAAATATAATTAGGATCAATATTAAATTAATTATATAATTTTGTTGATGAGTTAGAGTTGACAGTTTCATTTTTATTTCTTCCATAAGCAGAGAGGGAATATTTATATTGTGTATATAAATTTATATACAGTATATAGAGTTAGTGGAATATATATACACATAAAATATATGTATATATTATACATTCAACTACCTCATGAATAAACGTATATAAACTACTTGATCTTTCTTAATACCCTTAATACAATCGACAACTCTTTATCATGTTTGTTCTGTCTTTTGTAACTATTTTTTTTTGTTATACTATCAGCTATTAAGAATATTCTATGTAAAATAATTCCTTCAGTACTGATTCCAACATGTTTTCCTTTTGTTCAGTTTGTCAATGACAGGATCTTTATCCATTGGGAGATTTTCTTCCAAACCTCTTTTCAAATGCAACACAATGTTTTAGTCATCTCTAAAGTTGATTCTATTTCAATTCTCAATTCTCTACAATTGGTATTCCAATGAAAATGCTACTCTCTCATCGTTTTTTCCTTCAAATCCCCCTTCTTAGCTACTTTTACAACTATTGAGGGCAAAAAAATTTTTTTTCCTCATTTCTTATTTATTAAAAGCCTTTTAACGGTAGACAGATACAAATTCTTGTAAAACTTTTAGACATAAAGAGTTTCAACTGAAGTCCATTTAGGATTAATTTGACTTGATCTAACAATCAATTTAGCTATTTTTAGAGCTCAAATTCTTCAGTTAGTAACCTTTTTATACATTTTACACAGTACTTAATATAATAGAGCTTCAAAAAGTTAAGTAACATTACTATGAGACCCAATTTCAATGGTAACGTATAAAAAGATTACTCTTACTCTAATATTTAATAGAGGATTTCCTTGTTACTTCTTGAATGAATAAATCATTTGGAATACTTAAGAGAAAAGAAATTGTATAGATATTTATCATAATAAGCATATTACTTATTTTACATTTTTGTATATGATTTTAAATTATTGATAAAGGCTTTCATTTTTTTCTCTTACGTTTTCAAGAAAAGAGAAAAAGTAAAGTTACACATTTGATGAGTGATTAAAAGTTAATCTCAAGAATTATTCGATATATACGAGATAATGTTACTTATTAAAACAGTATACCAGTAATTTTTGAGCCGGATTATATATCAATCAATTCATTTGGTCAATTAGGGGAAAACAAAAAAGGAAGTACAAAGAAAAAGAATTAGGCACTGAGGAAATACGGAGAAATGTAAATATTACCTGCGTTACCACGAAACAACGTCTCCAGGGTTTGGATATTGGCGATTCTGACGTTCTAATAGGTGAAGCAAGTGGACAGAAGGTGTGAATAAGTAGAGGAAATTTAGGAAATTATTGTGAAAAATGAGAGAGAATTATAGCAAACATGGATAAAATTTAAGTGAAAAAATTAAAGAAACGGTTGGTGGCGTCATCTATAGTCCTATACTAAAACCTATATTTTCCATCCGTCAACCCCACCCCCTTTCCCCCCTCTCTTCCTTACTTCAACTAATCAAGGAAATTTTTTCTTCCGTTTTCTTTTTTGGACCGATTCCCTTACCATTAGAGATTTTACTATAGTGCTTTTAAAAAATTTACAGTCTCTTACATCAAATAGATCGGAGCAGAAAGAGAAAGAGAGAAAGAAAATGAAAAAGGGATGGGGAAGATGAGGCTCTCCGAACAATTCCCCAATTAGAGGATTATATATAAAATAAAGATTGAATAAACGGCTATAAATATTTTACAGGCTATCAACACGACTAGATTCCATATATTTATGTATTGACTTTAATTCCCCTGAATGATTTTTTCCCCTATTGTATAAGAGAAAAGGGAAATATCTAGAGGAGAACCAGCAATATTCATATACTTTCTTATGAAAAAAAAAGATTTCTTTTCTTATTTCTTAAAATATTTATCTATTTAGCCGTATCTTTCTAAGTCTGATTATATATCTGAATGTAGGCATATATATAGAATATATTTATATTCATATTTATATACATCTCTAAACGGATACATTGAAAAAAAATTATATATATATCGTAGAGTATTGACCTAATTTCGAATCACTTTGAGAGCCCGAAGCAGGGAATATCGATTGATCTCTAAGGCGGCCTTTCGCAATTTTACTATACTTAAATAATTTGGTTGGAGGAAAATTGAAAAAATTTGACTAGATGCAATTAAGTTGAGAAATAATAACGACTTACTTCTACTGTCTGAATCCAATTTTTCGCTTTCTGCATAGCGCTAATCAGTTTCGCATATTTAGGATAGATTCCATACATTCGATACCATTTCGGGGCAGAAAGAAAATCGGGTAAGAAATCTTCAGCACCAATCGTTTCTTCATCCGGTGGACCATAGACGAAATAGATTCTTGTGATGTATAATAAATGCCTTAAATAAGTGTCCGGCCAATAGGTTTGATCTGGATCTACTTCGGGTCCTTGCCACTTTCGGTGCGGCAATTTTAAAGGCACCGTCTCTATGGCTAATATTTTACCTGTTTGAACAAAAAAAATAGATATCGTAAGCAAACGAGCGTTTCTTTTTCATCAAACAGTCTCTAATTAACCGTCTAACGGGTTTTCCTTCAGGAATTGATTAACAGCTGCATATGTTTCCGGCAAGTTCTCATATAAAGGATATTTCCTATTAGAGTCAATGCATTTTGGAATTACATTCATATAACCGATTTCAATTGGAGTTTGTTCATTCTCTGCTTTCTTATCTTCTTCGCTTGAACTACTGCCTTCCCTTTCTCGAAAGTACCAAAGTCTGTTAGAAATACATCCCACAAACTCTTTTAATATAAGTTTTATCAGGTTAATTTACACACTATTGAAGCAGTTTATGGCCCCATCACGTGACTCTTTTCTACTTTCAATAACCTTCGTTAGTCACGTGATTTTCTGAGAAAAAAGTGCCTCAATAGCATCTGATAGGAATGAATATGAAATGATATAGATAGTCATATTTATACATATATCCTGTGTATATGTAGTATTTATAGAATAGCCATAATAATAATTATTACTATCCTTAATACTATATAGTAATATAGAAAGAGAAGTAATGTTATATGTACCGTAATCCTTTAACATAAATGGCATTGGCACCCTTGGCAGTAAACATTGAAGAATCCTGAGTTAGGTCGTGAACAGTGCATACTTTCTTTTCAATTGTTTCACATTTAATTAAATGAATGTCACTATTTTCTTGAAGCCAAGAATTTGCTTTCGGCACCAGAGTACTATGAAATGGAAGTAAAGAAGAAAAAAGGAATGGTTAAAGAAAAAACTGGTAAATAATTCATCAAGCTTCCCATTCATATTCGCATTGCAGTTTCGTCGCGTATGGAAACGGTCAAAGGCGTCCGCTTATAAAATTGTAGGCAGAGACGCCTTTTTTTCTCTACGCCTCTTTTTTGTCAGGATGGAGATGAAAGGCGTATAAGGGTGAGAGCGCGCTCGGAATGAAAAATTATCGGTAAATAAACCGATGAGTATAACGTGCTCTTGTATAAATTTACTTTATCCGATACGAGATCCAATAACATTACGAAAGAAAACAAGTTCGGTGAAATGCGACAACGTGCGTGATTAGACGCCATTTAAGTAATATCAAGGGGGATTTTGTTTCTTTGAGATTATTACGATCGAACACCAGATGGCGTCTGTACTTTTAAGAGGGGATTTGTTCTTATCAATATATAGGCTTTAACAGGGTCACGAAAAAAAATCCAATTCGTCTGGCTAGACGCTCTGAAGAGAGCCAATCAAAGAACGCATGATCAACTTGATCTATTGATGGACTCACAGCTAGATATCCCTTGATCACCTAGTAATGGCAACCAGTGGAAAAAAAATCGATTAGGCAAGAAAATCGGGGTATTTTAGTATTATCCACTTGGTTTATTTTGTATATAATTTTAAATGAAATGATTATGCTCAATTCGTGATGCTTCAAGGTCGGATGGAATGGCTTTAATCTATGATTATAGGACTTTGTCACACATTTATAGAAATCAAATAATATATAACATAATTTTCTGGGCGTTTATCGTGTGGTTCCGTAGTGTAGCGGTTATCACGCTCGCCTAACACGCGAGAGGTCCCGAGTTCGATCCTCGGCGGAACCATTAATTTTTTTTTTGTTCTTTCATGTTTGTCTTTTAATTTTTAATACTTTACGTCAACGATTTATTTTTAAACGTCATCTCTATCTACAAATAAATCTGACCTTGCGAGAGAGAGAGACAGAGGGCGGACAAACGAATGAGACAAAGGACGAAAAAGCGAAAGAGTAAGCAAAAAAAAAGAAAAAAAGAAACGTTTGTCAGAAATTGTTCAGATTCATATCAGCTTAAAGGGAAAAACTCCCAGGATGATTTTCCTTAAACGTTTTGCTTTTTTTGCGTTTTTTTTTATAATTAAACCTAGAGAGAACCATTTAAAAAAGCTCAAAAATAGATCTTAATAATACGTTTTGAAACGATAGCAGATAAAAAATTTATACGATTGATGACTCCTGTATATAGGGTTTCTTGGGAGAGATAGAAACGATAAGGCGAACTATTCTAATAGAGAAATAGGGAAGAGGAGTGGGCGAAATCCGCTTTTTCCTTCTAGTGTTTTTCATAAGGAACCACTTAGGACTTACATCTCTTTACGTGACCAAGTTCTAATCTGGATTAGGGAATAGCCTAGAACGGGGCCATTATAGAGGGATCGTACTGGCAGTTTTAACTAAACAGCACGGCAATTACCGGTTAACGGAAGACGTACGCAAGCAGGTAAATATGTTTCTTCGGATCTTATACAACATATTTTTTTATGAAAAGATGCTACGCAATTAACTAACATATGTTTCTATTTTTAACACTGCAATGCGACATGCTGGGAAAGTGCTATTCGATACAAGCGGTTATACAGTATTTTTTTTAGCGGATATTCTATTTCGGCAACACACAATTTCCTTCTCTTACCAATTCCATAGGCGTGCATTGCCGAAAGGTGAATATTCCTGCTGTTCTTTTCTCTCTTTTTTTTGTCTATTTATATGCATGCAGTACCTACTGCAAATATAAATACTGTATAAAACTAATGTACCGCTGATATTACAAGTTTCTTTTCGTTAGTTGAATTGTTTTAGTCTTGTTTTTACTTTTTCTTTTTAATACTCACTCAAAGGTTTCGAATTGCACGTTTCGGATGTTCTGCTCCAACGGATTAATGCACGTCGGCCAAAATGTATGGAACTGGAGCCGCGTTCTATGCGGACTCCTGTATCCCGAACCCGATGGAGTCCTTGAAAGACCTTTGCCAAAAGAAGGAGATCTAGAAGGTGGGTGTGATGCGGTAGGGGAAAAGGATATGTGGCCTAAACACATTTTCCAATTAGAAGGGTATTGAATAACAAGTATTTGGATTGAGCTATTCTTCAGCATCACGTAACCGATTATTTTTTGTATACATGCGAAGAATTCCATTGTTTCGATATCTCCCCAGTCTCTCATCCTTAATCTTCTAATATAAGACTAATGGTTCTAAGACTATGGGGACGGTCACGTGATACTGATGAAATGTTCCGAATCGGTGATTAACTACACACCACCATTCATAACACTAAACATGTGGTCTTTTTTTTTCGTTACAGTATGGACGAAATGTCTATACTATAAGAAATTCGACAACTTTATACATACATTGGATACACTAGAAATACCTGGATCAATAGCTTGATATCTTGTGTCATTTAACACTATTTTATGATGTCGTAACGTCCGCCTCCGAAGTGTGGAGGCGACGATACCAGCCATCTTCGCCGTGGTTGCGGTTTATGTGCTTCCAGGTGCTCAGAAACGTCCTGTAAGAAAATAAAAGGCTTTCATTTCGAAGAGTCAAAAGAGAAAAAAGGCTTGTCACCATGCATTACTCTCATTCTTTTTACATATGCTACGTTGTACTTTCAAGACAAAATTTGCTAACTGATTGAGACATTCGATAAAATACATTACACATAGATATAGACACACATACATATAGATAGATATCCATTAATTTTATACACTACATACTCATATTCATATTTATATTGAGATGAGAGTATATGTTTGTTTTTATATATATAACACTGCAAACACGACTAAACCATAAAAAAACAAGTATCTGTATACACAATTTTGCACAATGTACATCAATATTTTTCCGTTTTTTCTCAATTGGTTATTTCTGTATAAACTCTAACGTTTCCTGTTGTTTAACGTACTTAGTTATTTTAATAAATATTATCTTTGCTTAAAAACTCTATTGTAGATTTTTGTATTATATACGTTTCTCTCTATTTTTGGGATGTGAAGGATAAGGGCGAAATTTTTATATTTGTATATTAAACAACTCGCGCAACAAATTTCCATCGTCATTTAGACGTATACAACCGCAATACGACTCACCTGTACGGTTTCCCTATGTAATAAAATCTCTTTGAGTAAGAGCTTGATAACGATATAATAAAAACAAGGACGAGTAGGCAAACAATAAGGAAAATGTTTTTGATACAAACCTATAGGCGACAAAAATATTTTAAATTCCCACAGCTGTAGTAGGAACGAACAGTTTCATGTATAAAAAAATAAGAGAAGGAAAGCGAAATAAACAATGATAGTTCTCCCTTCTTAAGTCTTCCGAGACGTATCACGTGATTCCGCTCAACATATTTATCCTCAGTTTAATAAACGGAACAAAACACTGGAAAAGGAAATATATCAAAAAAGCTTGTAGGAGAGAGAGAGATCGGCAGTCAGTAGTCGAGTTAAATAGATACGGACATTCATAGACAAACTACAGATATATATTTATATATATATAAGAATATATGTATATAAATATATATATATATATACATATATATATTCTTAAATATGTATATAAATATAGGTTTATCTATATTTACATTTATATAACGTATACACACAATGTATATATATGCATATAGACATATATATATATATATATATAGATATATATTTATATATATATAGACACTTCTCTCAATATTCTATATGTAAGCAAATTTAAAAATATATATATATACATATTTATATATCAATTTAATTATACGAGAAAGACAGATACGAAATAGCAAGAAAATGAGAACGAAGAGATGAGAAAGCAGGAGAGAAGATGAGAAAAAAAGAGAGATAGAGAGAGAGAGACGAGCTGAGAACAGACTATATTCTAAATATCAACATCCGATCCTACGCGTTTGAAAGACGCGTAGAGAATGAAACGCCGAGGCACATCGGCAGGTGACGCTGAATAGAAAACAAAACGCAGCTATACTTCACAATTTGCAAAAGTCACGACGCTATCCTGTTTCATTCCTCTATGTTGGTTTACTTGGTCTTTAGATATGTGAAAACGCTTTTGTACTCTTCCAATAAATTTCCTAACTTTTAATAGAATCCGATCTGGATGCTAGGTATAGTTTCCGCGTAATCGCTAGTTATTTATACAAACGTTATATATGATATTACATATAATGCAAAAGAGGGTAATATTTAATATCATACTTTCTTTAATAGTCTATTTGAGAGAAAAAAATGTAAAAATATGTGTCTGCCAATCTCTTTTTTCACGTAAGCCTATACATTGTATTTTTTACTCTAGAAGTCTATATTTACACGTAAAGATGTTGACAGAAAGTATTAAATTAGAGAACTTTTAAAAACACAAACTCCACTAATTAGTTGTGTACATTATAATAAGAAAATTATTCTTTGGTAAAACCTATCATTACAAACAATTTTCTATATCTTCTTTAATTAAACTCTTTCCGTATGCGGAGGAGGAAAGAGAAAATATATTGCCAATAAAATATGGGTTTTCTCTCTATTTTTCTTAACTTTGTATTATATACAATATACTATAAATATATATATATATATATATATATATATATATATGGTTTGTGCGCTTATCAGACTTCTTATAACTTTTTTCTTATGAAAAAATGAGAAATAAAGAACATTCTTAAAAGATTGCTTATATATATAAATAAGGAAAAAAGAGAATGAAAGGGAATAAAAGCAGAGAGAGAGAGGGAGAGAGAAGGAACTGTACAAAAAAAATACGTAGTGGAAAAATATATCCTTCAAATGGAAATTTGCATTAGCGAGACTTTTTTCAATCTGAATATAAAACAAAAAAATAATATCTACTCTTTTTCTCATTTAATTACAAATATTATTATACTCATCATCATTCTGTATAATAATAGTTAAATATCTTATGAAACATGAGTAATCAATGTTATGCGTCCTGAAAGCTAGCAGCTTCAACTGCAATGAATAATTAGTGATGCAGCGACTTTCTGTTGGACGGTAATGATGTTTAGCTGACTAGACAGTTTTATCGCTCCTTTTTTTCGTATAGTTCGCGCAAAAGGTCGCTTTACGGTGCAATTCTCCAAAGTAGAAATTCTCTCAATTATTCCTAATTGGATTACGCGCCCATTAATGCATGTCGCCCTGTAAAGCTCGCATGCTTTTGTATAAAATGAAAACAGGGAAAGGCGGTGAAGGAAGAGGGGGAAGTGGGGGGAAAAGATTTTAGTGATGGAAGAAAGAAATAAAAAAAAAAAAACAAATGGAAACGAGAGAAAGAAACGAGGTGAATGTAAAAATGGATAATGGTTGAAACAAAATAGAAAAAGATTGTCTAAAAGGCAACATCCACGAAAAGAGCATCTGTTTGATGTCAAGAGTCCCATAATATAATATAATATGGAGAAATTCTCTTTTCCTGTTTTTTTTTCAACTAATATAAATTTTGATAAATATGAATATGCTTGTACAAACACTATATACTATGCATATATAATGTAATATAATTATATTTAATATGAAATTTATGTATTAATATATATAATAAAATATTTATATAAATACATACTAATATATATGAAGTATGGACCTAAGATCAGGGTTTAAAAGTTAGGTTTTGATATTTTAATGTAATGTATTTATATATACAACAAACTATTTGTGATAAAATTGTAGAAATGTATTTTCTGTATAGGAGAATATTTTATTTGTATTATTCATTTTTAATTATGAAATTAACGGATAAAAAATGTTAACACATGGAAATTTCCAGAAATATTTTATGTTTTTAACTATTTATATTTTTAAATCATCAAACTGTGAAGCAATCTTCCTTTTTATATCCACATATATATATATATATACATTTATATTTTATCAAGGGTTCCCTTGTAAGATAAGGCTAAAGTCTGCAAGTCTCCATTACAGCATGCCTAACCAAGGACCATTATCCATAGGTCGATTTGTTTACATCGTATTTTTTTTAATTTTTGAAAAAACTAATAACTCTTCTAATCATTAAAAAGTCTTTGATATCTTAACGTGTTTTACTAATATGAACACTGCCGTATTATTATTTATATATATATAATACAGAATACTTCACACAGTAAATGCTGAATACATATACTGTATATAGATATATAATGTACATACAATATGCCGTTTTCTTTAAAGGTATATATATAAATTTGTATATACTGTATATATATATATATATATATATGTGCATGTCTATTTCCAAGTAATCTCTAGCTCTAAGCAATTTATCGTTATTTTCTTGTATTGATCATTCGAGAATCTTTACTCCATTTTTGGGCAATTCAGAAAAATTACGTGGTCTTTTCCATATGCATGTCGGGTTCCGTAGGTTAATCGGGCGTACAAACTCAGTATAATTTATAGAATATTATATTGACATAGTAAGTGCATACCGTGCTTTATTACTTTATGCAAATAACCAGCTCGTTTAAAATATCAATTAATTTTTTTACGGTTAATCCCAATATATAAGCGACCGGTAGAGAAATTATTATTATTTAACGGAAATGTCTTTATGCATTATTAAATAAGGGTGAGAAATTAACAGATTAGATGCCTAATGCTTATTTCTTCCACTTCGATGGCCTCTCTTCTCTTCCTCCTCTTTCCATCATTCATTTCATTTCCGAAGCCGAATTGCGCAATTATAAAAGATATATTATGTGCAGAACTGAAGAAGAATTCGCCGACATATTAGTCTTTGAAAGGAATGGGTGAGAATCGGAAGATAAAAAGAGTAATTGAATGGATGAACGATTAGTTTGTGAATGGTATACCACTTTAGACCAATAATTAATGGAAATATCAACAGGTATTCGTCTACCTTCCGCCAATATTTTAGTTTAAAGAGGGAAAAATACTAAACACAAAATGAATCTAATTAATACTAAAAGGCTTCCAGATAGAGTAAAGTCATTAAACAACCTATAACATTTCGCGATTTTAAACTAAACGTTTAGAAATGTTGCAATAAATCATGTTTGTGCAAATCTCTATGACGTATAATCAATAGCAGCAATGTTTGCATTTTGATAGGAAAAAACTTGGATAGAAAGAAATTTTCCCCTGCTTATTGCATTAAGGCGAGGCAAACAACTGCAAACTGTTACCGGAAACGACGTGGCCTCGTGCCACGAATTACCAGGAAGAGCCCCCTCTTGTCAAATAGTCATTCACACCGGAAATTGATAGGAAAACAACGCGCACCGAAATTCTTTTAAAAGCAGACACTACTGACATCTGGTGGTTTTACAAGTAACTACACTACGAGACGCCCACTCTTATAACGCTTCGCCGAACTCCTATGTGAATAGACTAGACATCTTTTTTTTAGGCACTTCTTTTTACATTGTTTTTTTTTCACATGCGGGATGACCTGTAGCAATAAGCGGAAATGTCCGCTTAATATTCCCAAAACGCTGTATAGAGTGCGCCGAGAATGTCAAGGCACTTAATAGAAACTGCAATGAATCTGCATCGTGCGTAGTATAATCGAGTTTGTAGACATCGAATGGGAAGTTCATATGACGGGAATTGCTTGTGCGAACGACCGAGACGAATGTTTGCCGAACGTAATAAAAACTCGGTTCGTGACAAACGAGTCGATTTTGAACTATATGAGACTGGCGAATGTGTAGCCAATAAGTTTACTTGTGTTTAATCACGTAACTCTCGGGGAATAATTCGTCTAACTGACTTATATACAGACATCTTCCAGTTCATATCGCCATAAGCCACGCAGTAAAGGCGTCTAACATATAATAGTCAGGCGGTCGAGGTCGCCGTATCAGTTCTGAGCGAAAGCGATTGATTTGCAGCGTTCTTTTAGGCATCATGCGCAGGCATAGCCGTTTCTTTCTCACTGACTGTCTGTCTTCTCCTTTATTTGTCTGTCGTTCTCGCTTTTTCCTCTCTTTTACATCATCAATTCTCGTCCTCTTCAAACGATTATGTTAAAGCATTTTAGACAAGACGCATTTGGACCGTCACGAAAAGCTTGCTGTTTAATGAGAAAGAGCTCCTTCTGTCTCTTCCCTCACACTCACACACACATATATATATATATACTAAAGAAGCTAATAATGTAGACGAAATCGCCACAGTAAACAAACACAAGAAACTCCGTCACGTTCCTCAATGAAATAGAAAAAAAACGAAGCATTCTAATACACAAGCCGGACGAACGACATCAAACGCCCTTTCTCGTTTTGATGAAAAGACCCTTTATTCTTGTACACCCTCATCAAAAGTCGATTGAAAAGCGAACCATACCTTAGATCGTCTCTATTTTCTTCGTTTAAGGAAGAGTGTACATTTTCAGGCGTAATGTATTGATAATAAAGTCACATCCATTAGGAGAAACATTTTGCAGTTTCATAACTAAATAAATTATATTCTTTTCTAAAACTTACAGATATGATTCTGACAACTAGACTAAACACTCCAGTACATCTGTGTTCTCCGCTCTACAAAAGAAAGCTTTTACGACTGCATTTCGCTGACATATAAAATGCTCTTACGTGAAAACGTACAAATTTTCCCATCAACCATACTTTGATTAGTGTTTATTCTCAATCCCTCAACTTTATTTAAACTATAATTTTCAAAATAGATCTAACAATAGACAACTTATATTTCGAACAAGTCTTTTTAAGAATGAAGAAAAACAACTAATAACACAAAACATAGGAAAATACGTGAATGCACACTTACCAACGCTTTTTGGAAGCGTTTGGTTTGCACGCCAATTATCGTGCAAGTGAAAATGAGAAAGAAAGTATCCGCAAAGATTGAGTCAAGTTGACAATTGATTGTGTACGATGCACTCACATACACTGCATGGCGCTTTAGTCGTTTTTCGTCTTTATACTAAGCCGATAGATGGGGTATGAACAAGAAGCACCGACAAAAACGATTACGTTCAAAAAAAGTACTATTATATCTTCATTCAAGCTTGTTTAGTGTTTCATATTCTGCAAATAGATTTATTAGATTCTGTGTTAAGGTTATGTTTATGTTTTAGTTTACTTTTTTTGATTTAGATTCTGTGGTATCAATTGATCCGGATAGAGAAACCTACAATATATAATCATAAAATTCATATACTTATATAAATATATACGTGTTATAATACAATAGAAGTAATAACAAACCAATGATTTCTGTCTTTCAATTTCCGCGTTTAAATTAGCTATACACGAAGTTAGTTCACCATTAAGCGTTGACAAACGGCAATTTTCAACTAATAATTCTTTCTTATCTTTCACTAAGGGAAAAAGGGAGAAAAAACAAAGCTAATGTAAAAATAAAAAGAATTTATGTCTTCAATTAGATTCCGTTATAAAATTCTTACTCTCTCCTAGATTCATTGCTTGACACAATAGAGAATTTCTTAGTTTTACATTATGTAATTCCATTTCCAGGTCTTGCATTTTCAATTTTATTTCTGAATTCTCGCTTTTAAGTTTTAGAATTAGAACTTCTCTTTCTCTAGCAATACTTTCTGCCAAAGCCAGGGAGTCGATGGAAGTTTGCGATGAAGGTGGTGTAGAAGGGGGTAAATTTTTCCTATTTTTCAAAGATAAATCGGCAAACGAATCATTCAGATTCTGCTTTTCTATCTTTTTATCCTGAAAAATATATATTATCTTTGTTGATACTATATTTTTAAAGAAGAGATTTTTACGTTTGAAGATTCGGTGTCTGAAGGAATTGCTTCTTCTGTTTTTTCGTTTTCTTTTCCATCATTGGATGAAATATTTTTCGGAGATATATTTATTAATGTTTTGGCGGCCGGTGCACTTCCAAAAGCTAAAGACCTTAACTATAAGAAAACGCACGTGGCATTAATAAAAACGAAAAAAAAAGAACCGCACGAACCTCATTACGCTCTTTTCTTAAAGCTTGCTTCTTTTCTTTTTCTTTTTGTTTCTTCCCAGCCTTGTCGTTCTTTGATTTTTTGGAATCATTTTTATTCTTTTTTCTATCATCCTCCTCCGAAATATCCACCGGCAAGCAAGCAAATTTACTTTCGCTAATTTTTATAGATCTAGACATTGTGCAATAAAATGAACCTCTCTAGCTTCGTAAAATAAAATAATTAATTTAACAGGTAAATTTCTTTATTTTTTACGCGACACCAGAAATGGACGTTAGGAATAGTACGAAAATAACTTTCAAATATTTTACGACGTTTCGAAAAGCGTAAAAATGGTTCTCTCGTAGGAAACCATATAAAACAATATAAACAAAAAGTTTTAAAGCGGTATTAAAATTAAAAAAAGAGGCGAATTTCATGGAAGACGATCAATTAAAAGGTATTTTAGTAAAATAGTTTATTTTTATCTTTATTGACAAATCCACGATTTTATAGATGCCGAGCAAGACATACAAATTACAAAACAGCTATTAAAATCTAAAAGCGGAGAATTTGATATAGAAAGTATTCATCATATTTCTTTAACACATTATGGTAAGCTATTAATATGCTATTAAATATGGATATAACTATTACCAACTGTCACTTTTCTTATCATCTGATTGTCTTCTTAAAGGAATAGAAGACCTAGGGTGCATTGGAGAATGCTCAGCACTGCAGAAGTTGGATTTATCCTTTAATGATATCACTAAACTTTTTTCTCTGTCAAGCTTAATCAACTTACAATATTTGAATATATCTGCGAACCGAATAAGCAGCTTAGGTACGGTTTAATCACCGATGCATGATAACTGTAAATGATGCTATACACCTTTACAGAAGGATTGCAGAGCTTAGATAATTTATGCTACCTTAATGCTTCAGGTAACTTAATAAACAGGTAAAGAATAAATTACGTTTTTCTTTGTATCTATACATTTTAGAAATTTTTTCTATGAATTCTTTAGTATACAATCGTTAAGATGTTTGAGCTATTTGGAAAAATTAAAGGAACTTAGACTTATTGATAAGATGAATGAATTGACAAATCCTGTTTGCCTGAATAACTCTTATAGTTCTGACGTAAAGGAAATTCTGCCTAGTTTAACAGCTTTAGACGGTTTGGCCTTGGCATATAAAATCGTTTTGATGAGTTTATTGTCATAATTTTTTTTAAACAGGTGAAAGGATTAAAGGGAAAGGTAGCGAAGTTTTCGATTTATTTAGAGACGTTGAAAGTCTATTAGAAGGTTTCAATTCGTCTAATTCCCTTCTTATTGATAATTATACAGATTTTTAGACTAGCTTTTTTTTTACATATGAATAGAACGGGAGCGCTTACGTTGTAATATGACAGGACTCTGTCTGGAAGAAAACGGACCTTGGTTGCCTGAAATTGAGGAGAATATGCAATTAATTCCAAGCCATTCATTATTATTTGATGCTGAAGAAGATCTAGAAAGTAAGAATTGTAAATGAGATGAAGACACTTGCAATAATCATTCACGCCTAACGCTTTTTTGCTCTTATTAGGTTTATTGAAGCAATGCCGCGTAGTCTGTGACAAGGCTAGTTCTAGAATAAATGAGGTCTATGGACTGAATTCTGACTAAGAAAAACAGCAAGAATCAATTATATGTTTTTTATTGTTTGCTATTTATTAAAGAGAGCTTTTTACTGTTCTTTTTCCCCCTCTAATAATTATTTAAAGTATGAATAAAGTCGACAGCGGCCTTGATCTTCTCACTCGGAATATAAGGGAGTGTTCTTTGGAGAGATAGAAGAAATTCCTCTTTATTCTTATGGACCATTTCTTCGCTTTCGTATCTTAAGTTCCCATTTTTAACAGTAATCGCTTTGCTATCTTTAAAAGTGACAACTCTCAAAGAATTGGCAAGGGGATCATTGTTATTGGGATTTTCATACTAGTTTTTGGCAAGATTCGAAGCCATTTCGTCATTTCATCGTCTTTCATATAATAAACATTTTTCCAGTTTTCCACTGTCTCGGAAAGCGACTCATTTCGGAAATAGTGCTGCCTAATAATAAAGCCATCTTCTTTTGCATAACGATATTTGCAAAATGAATGCTAATGAATATCAGAGTATTTTTCAAATTGCAAACTAATGGTAGAAAAATGAGGATAACCAAATCCACAATCGACTATATAAGCATCCCCTTCTTCTTGTACATTCTCGAGAATAACCACCACATGATCCTCTTCATCAATTTTATCAACAGAGGCTAAAGTTCCTTTTGCTTTACAGCCTAAAGCTTTAAAGAAGTATAAGAGGAAAATGTTTATTGACCAACATAAGCCGCCTTCCAAGCTATAAATTGCCGTCTTTAGGGATTGGAAGGTGGGCAACTTACGAGGCTTATCCTCTGAGAGAAAACTTAGATTTTGGAAAGGAATCTCATGTTGGAAGCTTCTACATATTTTATTAACTTGTTGTAAAGACGGAGATGTGCTTTTAGAAATAGAGAGCGTCGGATGAAGAAAATTTTCTGCTTCATCCTTAGTCAGCATATATTGCATTTTATTCTATCAAATATATAATTTAATTTATTAAACCTAACAATTGCTTTCTAAAAACAATTTGAAGAGGATTACCATTGGCTATTTTCCTCCTATTCGACAATATGGACTACAACACAATATACTGCTTTCAAGGCTGTAACTGTCATTTAAAGCTATTACAGCTTTTTAATAACGCCATCTCGTGCTCTTGTATTGAATTATTGAATGACTAATAAACTAAAGGCAGTAAATCTGATGAATTCACATCTCTTATCTATTAACTGTTAAGCCAAATGCTATTTATAGGCCTAAAATATTATATTATTGATTTTTCGATAAGACAAGCAAACGATTTCGTTCATCAGTATATTATATGGCTCATCCGTCCGAACCTCCGCCCTCTTATGATGATATATTTTCAAGCAATCGTAATCCTCTAAGGACAGAAGCCGAAAGTTTACCGGAAGACCCGCCAGAATATTCTGAGACTCCCCAAACTGGTGAGAGCCGCTATTTTACGCCTTTAGCTTTACCGTCCATATCGTCATCAATTCCCCTTTCAACGTCAAACGAACCAATACAAGAAAGGCCTTGGTATGAGATAAGTTCATTTTCCAGAGGTGTCAACATTAATGTACACAAGTTACAGAAGGTGCGTAATAAGTAAAAATGTCAAAGTTAAATAAAAAATATTGCTATAGGCGGCTGTCATCGAAATTCCCCCATGGAGAATTACTATAGCTATTCTGATACATGGCGTATATTACACGATATTGGCTTTAGCAATTCGTTCTGCTCTTGGTGGATTTGGTGATTCTGTCGCATCAAAAGCAATTCTTTTTCCCGCTTTAATAGTTTGCCATTTCCTTGTTGTTATCGAGGGCATCAGATCACCTACAAATCGATGGTTAACTGCAGCAAATGTCACTCCATCCTTACAGACAATATCCGATAGACTAAGGGGTACTAAACCCAAAATTTATATAAAAGCCCAATTATACCATTACCAAGGAAACAAGAAGATTGTTACGGGTCAAACGGGCGAATATTTTTCATTTGATAGATGGCGCGACTCATCTGCAGCTTGGACTTTCAGTGACGGAATGGTAACAAGAGTAAGAATTTATCCATTTATTTATTTATTTATGACTAGCCTCAACAACACTAGATAATCATACTTGGTACCTTATAAGTTTATCTAGTTCGTTATTGAGTTTTATAGGCATTGTACAATAAAATATGTAAATATCTATTCATATATTTTTCAACAACTGGGTTTACTCAATATTTTCTTCATACGCAGATGAAATTTTTAAAGAAATACGTCATTTCAAATCCTGATTTAAAGTTAAGATTCCAAGAAAGATGTCGAATTCTTAAAGAAAATGTTGCAGGAAGAGATGAACATGTAGAAATAAAAGATGTTTGTACTATCTATTCATTCTATTTCTCTCTCTCCTTTCCTTCTCCCTATCATCAAATCTGTCCAACTACTAATAATCTCTTATTATTATAGATTCTACTACTGGATGGTTTCAGTCCATACGTAAGTGCTTATGTTAGAGCGGAAGCTAAGCCATTTTGTGCAGGAACGTGCAATCCATATCAGGTTCTAGTTGGGCTAACTCTAACATGGATCTATCGAATATGGTTCCATTTGGGTAGAAAACAAGTAGGAAAAAGTTATGAAATCGTTAAGGAAATTTACTAATTGATTACAAAAGCCTTATTACTATTACCTTATTTCTGTTTTACAAAAAAACATTGCGGAACAATGAGAGTATTTTTGTTTTTTTTTATTTTTTTTACACGAATTCAAATGAATTAATTGAATATAAAAAAATTTATTTATTAATATAGATATATATATATATATATATACCATAATTTAATCTAAAAACAATAAGAGTATCTATCTTAGGAAACTAGAAAAAAGTATCAAATTATTAAACTAATAAGAGTTCTTCTAACTTTCAATTCGTGAGACAGAATGACATGATAATACGAAAGAGGAAGAATACGATAAGTTTAAATAATTAAGTATATATAAATTTATATATATGAATACAGTATAATACATAAAGTTATCAATCTATTTCTATTTCGCTATCTTCATCAATAACACAAATCTGACGTTTGAGGGAAGTCTTATCCTTATTCATGACTTTCTTATATTTCATTCGACGGTTCTGAAACCATGTCTTTATCTGAAAAATATATAAAAATGATAGGTTTTAATTTAATGTTACTATATCTAAATGTACAACACGAATTCGTTACGTTATTTCTTTTAGTTTCCAAGCGTTACACGTATACGTGATCAACAATATAACCCTAATTAACAGTAATTACGTAAGAGGGTGTTAGACAAGTCGATTGCCGTTTGAAGGAGTGTGAAGTTTTCAAACATTGTATGTACTTCCGGCTTAGATATTTACTATAAATAGTTTACATTAAGATTATTACTAGTTTTTAGAACTAACTTGAGTTTCTGTTAGACTTAGATCTGTTGCCAATTCATATCTTTCGGGTGTTGACAGGTATCTTTGAGAGATAAACCGCTTCTCTAAAGCGGCCAACTGCTCGTCGGAGAACACTAGATAAAATTTAGAAAGGATAAGAAAATAATAGATTAGTCTTCATTCAGCCAATTGATTTTATTAATTCAAAAGGGAAATGAGAAACTACTCAACCAACCTGTACGGGCTTTACGTCTACGGCTTACTCTTGAACACATTGAATCGTATTGCGAATTCATAAAGATCTTACTTCCAACTTCTGTGTTATTTTTTTGAAAATAATAAAAGGCTTAAATTAGCAGAAAATCAAGAGGAAAATGGTTTGAAAAGAGGATAATTTACGCCATATAAGTGTTAATAATAATAATAAAAGTACTTAAAAGAAATGAATAATAAGAATAATAAAGTTTTGATATTAAATAAAAAAATATTATTAAGATCTAACCATCCGTATGGGTTATTGAAAAAGATTTAGAAGCTGGTAAAATTGAAGTTGTCATCCGTAAATAGGTCAATTCTTCAAGAGGCGTCATAGCTGGTAACTTGAAGGTAAGATGATTTATAGCTGAAAACTTATTATCCGAAATCTTTTCAATATTTCCTTCTGCTATTTCCTCGCTAATTTCTACATCATTCTCTTCTTCCTCTTCTTCTCGATTTATCTGTTGTTGTTGTTTATTTGATTGAGAATTACCAAGAATAGAATCGATGCTGAACAACGAAAATCTCTTGCAGTTCGAAGTCATAATAAGTAATTTTTATTGTTCTTTTTTTTATTGTTCTCTTTCCTTCTTGTTTCCTTAAATGTTTTATTACTATTTTTTTAAAAAATAGAAAAAAAATAGCATATAATGATTACTAAAGAGCTAATTCGCTGTAATTCGATAATAATATTTCTTTAACGTTGGACCAAGTCGATCAAAAGTACTGGCAAAATTGTCCGAGTAGAGTGCCTTATAAAGCGAGTTGTCACTTGTGGAGTGTTCTTATTGAACGATAATCAGGTAATTAATTATGCGCCATTTCTTTCCTAATTTGAATAGCACTCTGCCTTTCAATAGTTGAAAGAGTGTATGTTGTTAAACAAACTCTGTCGTTTAAGTTATTCTGACAGTTTCCTTAGTGATTTAAGCTAGAGTGAATTGATTAGAAATTGAGGGCTTCTCTTACTTAAACTCCTCTTGCATTTAATGTTCTATATCGCTCCCGCGATCGGTTTTATATTGGGGGGCCGAGACGTTTTATTTAATAAAGTGTTCCTTAGAATATAGGTCATTATGTAATCGACAGTAGCTCCTCATCAGATCTCTGCGTGTTCGCCATCAAATTACGCAATAGCGACGCCTTACGTGAAGAATGGACAAGCTACGAAATGAACGGGAGAGGAAATTACATTTCCTAGCCGTATTATCTTGATGATTATCTGATCTATATTGTAAACTCGGCCATGTATTTGTTGATTACTCGGCTACGTTTTTAATTGGTTTGCTTATAGCTTAAATCTAGTTTGTTCACTTATATAATCGATATTTAAATCCAACTAAATCAGTACCCGTAGCAGATTTATGCATATTTAATAGGGTTTTTATAAAACTTTTTTTAGATAAGTAACTTCAGTTTCTCTAAAATTTCCTTTTATTCCCTTTGCAAATGATATTGTCTCTATTCATTTTTTACCTAAATATCCGAATAAAACACATTATCATTCAATTAGCCGGTATATTATCAAAAAATATACTATCTCACCTTAATAATATCCTATTTCTACTTCTTTGACCTATAGGCTTTGGTAACATATCTTTAATTTACTAAATACTTTTCGTAACGTATAATTCCGTAATAGAAAACATTAAAGGATTGAGTTTTCACAAAAAAATTACAAGAGAACGAAGCGATTAAATTTCATAGCAAAGAGACTGAAAAACTCATTGAGCGGACATTTTCGGCCGCCGTTACATTCCTATTTTATCTATTTTAAAATCTCTTTCTCTTTAACAGAATAAAGCATTTAAATTACTTTCTTTTGTAGTTGATTTAATCAATTAATTAATAAATTAGTCAAAAGAAAGTATCGCTAGTTGTCGTATTAAAGTTATTGTTTTTTAAAAAACAAAACTTGTTTATTTATCATATTAAACAAATATATAACTTTTGCCTAACGTATCAATTACTGTATTATGCTAACATTGTTTCATCTAACCAACACTAACAAATGTCACACGAAGTAATAACAGTATAGAAAGAAATGTCTTAAAATGTATCTTATTATTATAAATTATAGGTTACAAAGTATTGAAAATGTTAGGAAAGCATTACTAAACTTTTAAACGTTAACGTACTTATTCTATATTATTTAAATAGTTCTTAGTTGAATATGGTTCTTTGGTTTGTATGAATTATACACTATGTTTGTAAATGTATGTAAAAAGTTAAGATAATTTAAGAACTTCTCCCTCCCTCTCTCTCTTCTGTTTAAAGGATAATTCGATAAGATTGATTTGAAAACTAAAAAGGATAAAAAAAGCGCAATTATAATGTCACAATTACAAGATCTCATTTTCAATTTTAAACCTAATTAAGCACACTTGCCAATGAAACGTTAATTTCTTATTGCACGCAAAATTCTTTAATATGGATGAATCTGACGAAGGTGAAAGAAGAAAAAGCAGAAAAGAGAACTATAGTTCTACTATTTTTTTATGTTTATTTTATAGATATTTTGCTGTTGTTATTGTTGTTATTACTACTTGTACTGCTGTTGTTTGGTTTTTATTAAAAGTTTGACATCTTTTAAACGGTTTCTCTCTTCTTATTATGAAATAGAAATTGTGATATTTACCTTAATTCTCAATTTTTTTTCATCTCTGATTAAGGTATTTTTCTTCTTCATTTTCTCTTTGTTAAGTATAATACAGTTGCTTATTTTTATTAAGATTTATAGTATTTCCCTTCTTTTTTCCATATGAACTGTTGTCCAATGTTTAAGAAAAGAGGTAGATATTCCTTTTTCAAAATTAGGTTAATAGGTCAGATGCACTTGACATTTTAGAGAGAAGGTAACTTTTTTTCCAAATTTTCCTTGTCAAGCAACGAATTTATCGGTGAAATTAGCAAAGTATATCCTAATATTATATATATAATTTTTTCCAACCTGTTAAAAACATCAAGACGTTATATAGTATTCATAAAATTCAAGTAGGACATCTTCAATGTAATTGAATGTAAAGGTACAGGCAGATGGATAATAGATAAACCGTAACTAAATTGATTTTCCTTTACAATTAACTTTAAATCTTTGTTTACAACAATATAAATAAATAAATTATTTTAACATCAATTAATATATGTTCTTATCTCATCTTTATTCGTTATTTTTTATAAAGATTTGGTATTCAAATCTCCATAATTCCAACGGTAACTGGTAAACATATTCGAGCAGGTACGTACAGGATTTCTTTCTCCATTTTTCCCTTAATATATTTAAATTGGTAAAATAATTTATAGATTTATAAAAATATCTGCATTGTCTTCTATTCTCGAATATAGATTATATGGCATAGAATTCCAGTATTCTACCAATCACAAACTATAAGCAACTTTAACAGTCAAAAAATGAAAGATTTATCCTAGATTTGAATTTAACTAAAAAAAAGAAAAATCTAAAGAATAAGCTATCTAAAGATTATAGGTAAATATTTCATTTTTAAAAATATAGATATTCTCTTGTTTAATTAACAAAGAAATTCGCAAGAATTGAATTGTATTAAATTGAATTTTGAAATGTAAACAAGTGAATGAATTTTATACGAAGTTTTCATTTATTTAAATGAAATTCTAATTCTAATCAAGATACGATTGTTCTATGATAATTTAGTAACAACTTAATTTAGTTAGAGATCTTACCAGATTATTTAATTTAGTATATCCAGGTAAAAGTTGCTCAGTAGACGCCATTTTGACCGCATTGAAGTCGCTGTTTCTTCAATGTAGGTCAACTATAAGAAAAATATTTTGGAGGAACGAAAATGACGAGAATGCTTACTTATGGCTTACTAAACGACGTCTGACTAACTTGTAAACCTTAAAGGATACTAAATGGTGTAACAAAAGAATGGCAAGTAATTAGTTACGGTATCTAATTAAGTTCCAATCAGACGGTCTGAGCCGCTAGACAGACGCTCCGAGTGCAGGTGTCTTGTAGGGTTTTTGAGCACTGTTTAGAACAGTTTGACATCTAAGGGGAAAATTTAATTATTTGTTAACACATGTAATCAAGATCATTAAAGTTATCATTCAAGTAATCATTTAAAGAAGAAGTAGAACAAGTGGTTGAAGCAGATGAAGAAGAAACTACAGAAAGACGAAAGAACCATTTTTCAATTTTCCTTAATCTTTAATTTCTGTTTTAAGAATATTTCGAGTAGTTAAGAAATATAAACTATTTTTTAAAAAACAGAAACGAGCGAGAAGGCAAAGTTAAAGGATTTCTTCATTAATCCTTAAAAGTCCTTTGTAAAAAAGGTGAATACGTTATTAAGGTATACGTTATAATCTATTAGGTGCTAATATGTATATATAATGGTGCTATATTATTCGCGTTACTTTGATCTAAGTTGATCAAGTGGCAATTAACCGATTATGATTCTAATAGCTATCGAAGAGTATTCATTAATAATTTTGTTTGTTACGAACTTTCTACTTAATGTTAATTATTATGATCTTTTACTTTTAGTTTTCTTTTTTTTCCATATTCTAACTTGTCTTTTTAATAGACAATCAATCAATTTTAGAAAGAAAATTGTGTATAAATTTTTAAAACTCATTTGCATATTAATGGAGTTTATTTTATCTTATAAACTTTAGTAAACATCGAGTTATTCTCCGCTTAGAAAAATATATATATATATATATATATATATATATATATGTAGGATATAGATATCTTAGCGACATCTAATGGACATTTTATAAAAACTAGAAATCTATAAATACTTATACCAGTCAAGTGAATTGTGTGGCAACCTAGTATTGACTATCGGCCTTTTACTATTAGTTGCTCTACTAAGCTGCATACTTTATAGAATAATTTTAAAGGATAGTCAGTTTTAGTAAAGCTTTATAGGCAATGAGCTGTTTGTTGGCATGTTTTGGAGTTCATGATTCAAAAGTTCAACCGTTAACCAGAGAAGTAGACGAAAAAGGAAGTATTATTAAAAAACATCAATCTTTAGCTCGCAAACAGAGATAACTAAAAATCTCCTTCTCTTTTAGAATGCAAACTGAATTTTGTATGATTCAAAAGAGGAGTAGCTAGTTGTAGTTATACTTCTATTGATTATACCGTTTGTATATACAGTATATGTATTTAGTTATATTTTTCAATGTTTTTTTTATATCTCTCTATACTGTATTTATATATATATATAATGTTTTACTCTACATATTTAAATACATGTAATTTTGTGATAAATAGGGTAAAACTATTAATGATCATTTTCTTCTATTAGGAAACACAAACTTATTCCGATATCCATGTTTCAAATTATATTGAAAGACTTGCCAACCATGACTGGAGCAAATTTAACGAAGCATTTTCCATAGAGGATGTGCCTATCGATCCAGGCGTTAAACTTAGAAGAAAGAAACCTAGGGAAGGTGTAGATGAAAAACTTATAAAATCAATACACATCGACAGCGCTTACGAAATATTAGGTTTTACAGACTTTAATAATAATGATAATGGTGATGATCAATCAACAGTTGCTTCTAGTGATGTTAGAGACAGTAGAGCGCATCCGAAAGGTGACATTGAAAATATATCTGTTGGAATAAATGCTCAACCGCACACAGCTGTTCCAATGGGAGTTGATACCTCTACAGAAGAAGGTGAAGAGGGTTGCCTGGAGGATTTAACTTTTGAGAATAATCAAAAGAAAAACTTAACAGAAGTCAAATAAATTCTTGGCGTTCCATTACAGACAATTCAAGACAGCAATATATATAATATAGTATTTAATCAATTTTCTTTTGAAACGTTTAACTAAAGATTCGTACCTTAACTTACAAAGACCAAAAGTAAAAAGTGAAGGCATTTAAAGAAAATATTTCAAAGTTTTTTTTATGTTCAAGGCTCTTAGGTAAAACTAATCAACTTATTTTCTATGTTTTTATTTTATACCAAGAACATATATTGTTAGATAGAAAGTCTGAATAGAATAAAATGTGAACTTTCTAAATACAAATGTGCATTTATTAATTATTTTTATGTCCCTTCACGATAATATTGAAAGGCTTGCCAACTATGACAATTTTAGTAGATAGAAACAGTATTGTAAACTATTCATCAAAGCGTATTTATTTCAATATATTGTTGCAGTTTCGATTAATGACTTTCATCTTTTTAGTTTTAAATATGATCAATAATAATAATACTTTACTAAAGAAAAAATAGTTTTTAAAAACTGTAAAAAACTGCAATTGTCAATAAGAAGACTCGACTATGACGGATGAAAATTATATAATCATAATAGCTAAAGCATAATTTCATGATATCCTTTTTATCTACTCTATTTCTATTTATTTAATCTATATTTTACAGATTTTCATTTAATACTCTATCTATATATCTGTATGTATTGCATTAAAAAAAGTGTTTTTAATTTACTCTTAAATAAAACATAAAAGAGATAAATGAAAAAGAGAAAGCCGATTTAAACATTCACGTTGGTGGCATTAAAATTTTTGTTATCAATATTTTCTAGTTTATTACATATCTTTCAGATAAAATGAGATTATGTTCAACTCGTAAAAATTAGCATTCCTATTAATAAATAAGTTAAATGATGAAGTATTAAAGTGTAGTAACGTTTGAAATTGAATATTGTAGTTTACTATTTTTATAGTAATACAACTTAATTAACAGAGTTGAATAGAAGCAATAATTAATTATAAACAAATTAATTAGTACATAATTTAAAATTAATTTATGAGTGAACAGGGAATTAAACTTCCTCAAGCCCCATTATTCACATCAGATCTCTTTTATGAGGTTCTGATAGATTGTAAAATGCTATACAAAGAATTCTCACCAATATATTCATATCAACAAAAGTTATATTAGAAAAAGGTATATAGCATTGATACTATGAAAAGAAATTTTTTTGGCCATAAAGTATCGTCCTTAGCCTGCTTAGCTATACAGGAAAGTCACTAAGGTAGGTGAATACAATTTTATTTAATGTGGTACATTACAGTTCAAAATGTCATCTAATAAATCAAGTATTCTAAAAGATTACTTACAAAGAAAAACAACCGTCTCTCATCTTAAGCTTATTAACATAATGTTCAACTGGTTAAAAAATGCTATATTATATATTATTAGGCTTACATCTAAAAAAATTCCGAAAATTGTTCGTAAAAGTTATCTGGAATCTACTACACATTCAATCTTTATTGAATTATATTATAATAATTTAAATAGAATGCGCTATGTTATTGCAGGTTAGGGAGAATTGATGAAACAAAATATGCATACGATATTTATTTGTAAACCTTAATAAAACATAAAACTAGTTTTGTTGGTAAAACGCTTTTCGACTATTAAATGTTATGATAACTAATAAAGAGGAGATTTAATGAACGATATACAATGGTTTAAGGGTTGTAGGACGAGCAGAAGGGAAGAAAGAGAGAGATAGAGAGATATTGGAATGGAGTAAATAGCTAAAGAAACGACTAAAGTATTTATTTTTTGTCTAAGCAATCACATTCCAATAAAAAAGGTATCTGAGATAAGAATAAACTTAACAACTCTTTCTCAAGTTTTCTGTTCTTTTATCAGTATTTGTACACATATATAGTATATATATAAACATATTTCGTACAGAAGATTCTGGTATTTGTCAACATGTATTGTCTACTGATCTTTCTAGGTAAGGTATACAATTATATAATCTATAAATACAGTACACTATCTATTGCTAATGGTTATAGCTAATACTAATAATAAAATGCATATTTTGTAATATTTTAGCTCTCTTCAACATAAATTTAAGTTTAACAACTCTTGAACAAAAAGGAATAGACTACTTTGCTACCAACGTCAAAGTTACATATAACGTTAAAGATAATAGACCTCCCAATACCTTCGATGCAGAAATTATATTGAAGAATGATGGAATGCAAAATATAAGTGGAACATGGCATTTATATTTTAGTCATGTTCGATTAATTACAAAACAAAATTTTACGCATAATATTCCAAACATTGACTTAGAACTGGATCATATCGACGGCAGTCTTTATCTTATTAAACAAAAAAATATAAATTATATTCTACAATCAAATAGTCAGATAAGTTTAAAATTTAAACCAAGACTTTGGCTTGTAGCTAGAACCGATAACATGCCTAATTGGTATGTTGTCAACGAGAATTTATTACCTAGAACTATACATTCTACTATCAATGAAGATTTAACTTTTACTGGACCTTTTGACAAGCCAGAAAAATGGAAAAGATCTACTCAAGATAAATATGACCCTTTTAATGCCGCTAAAAGATTTGACAACTATATTGACAACAAAGGAACAAAGGGAAAAATAGTAATACCAACTCCATACCAACATAAGATACTCGAAGGTGAAATTAATTTGGAGAATGATGAATGGGTTATCGTAAATACACATAACGAATTTCAAAACGAAGCTAACTATTTATCGAGTAAGACAGTAACTTTAATGACCTACTTAATAAATAATACAATTGACTATTTATGTTTTTAAACAGAGAAATTGAATATGAAAGTTCTGAATAATAATATTGGAATATCATCTTTCTACATTGAATTCACCAAGTTTCCTTTCATGGTGAGTCCCTCACTTGAAAGAAAGGAATCTTATGGCCTAATCGTCGATCCTGACAAGCTGCTCATCAGCATTATTAGTGATGAGCCTGTTGGTATATTTCATGGTGTTCAAACGTTGATAAGCATACTGGAAAGTTATAAGGGTAAGAGTATTTAGTTTTCTGTTTAGAATAGAGATGGCGCTTTTTAGTTCTGACTTTTTAAAATTTCAACATTAATAATAGTAAATGCACTAAGAACAAATGATTTCTTCTTAAAAACAAATAGCCGAAAACGAAAAACGTGGGAGGATACCTGCATTGCATCTGGCAGATGGACCCAGGTACCCCTATAGGGGACTTCACCTCGATGTTTCTAGGAACTTTCACGACGTTCAAACAATTAAAACTATTTTGGAGACAATGGCTATGTATAAACTAAATAAATTTCATTTCCATTTAACTGACGATGAGGGATGGAGATTGGAAATACCCGGTATTCCCGAAATTACTGACAAAGGTGCTAAAAGATGCCATTCCAAAAATTTTGCTGATTGTATAAGTCCTCAATTTGGGTCGGGACCAACATCTTCGTCATCGGGTTCTGGATATTATACCGTCGACGAATATAAGGATATTTTAACATATGCCAAAGAGAGGCATATAGAAGTTATTCCTGAATTTGATATGCCTGGCCATTGCCATGCCGCTATTCAGTCCCTAAAGAATCACTTAACCTATGCCTTATCAGATCCCGATGATACTTCTGAATACCTATCAGTTCAATATTATAAGGATAATGCAGTTAATCCCTGTATAAATTCAACTTATGCATTTGTTGCAAAAGTTGTGGAAGAAGTGAAAAGATTACATCAAAATATTCAACCCTTAAAAGTGTTCAATATCGGTGGAGATGAAGTTGCTAAATCAGCTTGGATCGGCTCTAAAATCTGCAAAGAGAAATATCCAAACACAACAAACGTTGAACTAAAGAAAATATTTATGCAAAAGGTTTCTGAAATTGTAAAAAATGAGAATTTAGATTTGGCTGCGTGGCAGGATGGTTTAATAGATGGCGTTAAACCTTTTCCTAAGGACGATCTTGCAAATGAGAAGATTTATGCTTATTTATGGGACAACATATGGGAATTCGGAAAAGCAAATTTGTATGTAAATTAAATTATTATCCATTTAAGGTTTTAATTTGTATCTAAATTGAAATTAATTTAGAACCTACGTGTTTGCGAATAGTAATTATAGTGTAGTTTTGTCTCATGCTACTCATCTTTATTTTGACCATCCTAATGAACCTGATCCAGAGGAGAGAGGATTTTATTGGGCAACTAGATACACCCCAATCGATAAAGTGTTTGCTTTCAGACCTGATAGCGTTTACGATAACATAGATGTTAATAGAAATGGTGACCCTATTGTTAAGGATCAATTCTGTCAAAATGGAGTATGTGTCAATTTAACAAAACCCGAAAACATCGTTGGTAAGATGTATTAAATTAATTTAATTGATTTTCCTCTCTTCTACTCATGAATATCTTAAAACAACAATCAGGAATGCAAGGGCACGTTTGGAGTGAAACCATAAGAACGTCTAATCAATTACATTCCATGCTCTATCCAAGGCTTTTAGCTTTAGCCGAGAGAGCATGGCACAAAGCTGATTGGGAACAAGAAAATGTCAAGGATGAAGAAAAGAAAAGAAAAGAGGATTGGTCAGAATTTGCTCATGCTCTTGGAAACAAAGAATTAAAGAGATTAGACAAAATGAATATTCATTATTATTTGAACGTTCCAGGAGCTAAGTAAATACTATCCAATATGTATTTTAACATATTTAATTGGCTTTTAAAAAAATCCGTAAATAGAGTTGATGGTGCTAAATTAAAAGCTAGAACAACCTTTCCGGGAATGCCAATCATGTTTAAACAAGGAGATGAAAATTTGCAGCTATACAAGGAAAATATTCAGGTCAAAAATGATAAAACTATAACCTTGGTCACTGGGTAATATAGGCTATAATATATAATATACTGTATAAATTAATTTATACCATCGTATATCTTTCAGAAGCCATAATTCAGGAAGAAAGAGTAGGGAGACTAGCCTTAAGACACCGCCTCCTCAATCTTCGGCAAATCAAAACATTCCTTGTACTCTATATATTGTCCTTTCAACTATAATAATTCTGATACGTCAACAATAAGGGAAAAGAAATTCATATCAGAAATAAATTTATTATAAAAGTCATTTAAGTCTTTAATTATATTGCTATTTATTGTTATTTATTACGTAACTCGGCTGTTTTTTTTCTTCCTCTTCTCTAATTCTCTTTGTTTCTTTCTGTGTTCTCTATCCCCTTGCATTAATTCACTGATTACAGGATAAAAGAGTTTAAGTCTCAAATACTATAAAAGAAAGACTGCGTAACATTACCCAAAATCAATTTCTCCATCCCCGTCTCTATCCAATGTCTTTATTAAATGATCCAGTTGAGCGTCTGTTAATGGAACATTTATCGCTTTTAAACCATCAACAAATTCTTTTCTAGAAACGCTTTGGGATCCATCAGCATCTAATTGCTTAAAAAAATCTATAAGTCGAAGACCTTTGGATGTAATGTACTCTTTAAGAATAGTTAAGGGATTCTTTGCCTGCATTAATTCTATATCTTTTTCTCCTAAAGATAGAAAGGAATAATCGTTAGAGATTAAGGTAGATCGAAGGAAAGATAATAGATACCATAGTCAGTTGACGAACCAATTAAGCCTCCATAATGAAGCACAAAATCTGCTTTGGCGTTTTCTAATTCCTCGATAAGACCGTAAGCTTCTTTATATATATGTAAGGTCTAGAAACAAATATCTTATTTCTGGAATTAGGTAAATAGTTCGAAAAAGATTTACCCCTATGTCAAGAAGACAAAGTTGACTATCTTCGTTACGTTTTATTGCATTCAACATTGAAATTACCGTTACAGTAGTTAGTGGATTATTTCGTAACTGAAAAGAAAGATATACTTGATTAAATAACAAATGAATATTACTGAAGAATAATAAGAATTACTCGAAGAATCCTTAATGAACTATTCTTTAAGAGAATTTTACTAAGAGATGCTGCACTCGAATCAAATATTCTATTAGAGTTAAGGTTTAATTCAACAAGTGTATCATTCTCCACAAGAGCATCTGATAGTATATTTGTTCCAAAGAACGATAAGCCGTTCATCTCCAAATTTAGAACCGTTAGAAAAATGTTTCTCTAACAAAAGCAATAATAAAAAAATTGACGATTGTTAATGAAATATGGATTGATTTAACATTAATATTTTAACAACTTTGAGAGCATTGGCTAAAAAGGCTCCACCCATCGGTCTAAACTTGTTCCAACTAAAATCGAATATTCGTAAACTTTCATTTGAACTTAGAGGTTCGCTAATCGTTTTGCAAGTAACATCACCAAAATTATTCCGACTTAATATTAAAGATTTCACAGTTTTAGTCTTCTGTTTTTTATTAAATTAATACGTTTTTAATATTCAAAAATATTCAAAATTATTTAAATAATTAATTAGGACTAACCGATAATAAATTTGATAAGAGATCAGCGTCACTTTCGCCAAGATTGTTTCCTGTGTAACATTAACAAAATACTTTAATATGTTAACATGCTTATCATATTTCAATTCTCTTAGAAATTTCTACAAACCACTCAAATTAAGGTACGTTATTGTTCTATTTATCGATAACATATCTGATACATAATGAAAACCGGAAGTTGTTACCTGATTTTCACAAAGATTCTAAAAATAATTAATTAAAAATAAACATCAGTTATGAAAGAAATTCACTTTTAGAATACTAACTAATTCTCTTATCGTATTATTATCGCAGAGTAGCATGCATACGTATTGAACGCTTTTGTCATTCAAGTAATTATCTTCAAGCACCAAATTTTCAACTGTTTTGTTATCCTTAACATAATTGAGTAAAGAATGAAAATAATTGAAACAAAACAAAGGCAGTACTTACTACTAAGGCGTTACATATTGCTAAGATATGATGTGAATTTAATCCTCTTCTTTTAACTGATAATTTCTTCGTATTTAGGCTTTTACAAACGGACTTTAGCGGTCTAATTCCAAGTTTTTTGCAGCTCTTAAGATAAACTTTATTTCCGTGTAAGTCAGCTGATTTCGGCTTCTTTTCTATTTAAAGACAAATATAGATATTATACTATACTGTATATCAATTTGTTGAAACCAAACAACAATAATAAAAACGTAAATAAAACTGTTACCCTCTTCCTCTAAATCAGTAAGACATCCGTCATCACTATGGTGTTCTTCATTGTTGTATAATTTCTTCTTTTCTTGAACTTTTCTCAATCCTCCAACATTATCTACATGATCTTTAATAAGAAATGAACTACCTCTTTCCAGTTTTGGCTTGAGAAATAAATTAACAGCATATTGTCGACCAGTAAGCGATATCTTACCCATAGGGGACTCGTACATATATAAATCATTATCCTCTTCAGCCATCTTCTTGCTCTTTTAATTATTATAAGGCTAACAAAAAAATGAGCAAAAAATAGGCGAAGAAGGGAGAAAAAATATATTTTCTATTGTCCTGTTTGAGAACAGTAGAAAAACTAAGTCAGTTATAGTTTATAGTATAATCCAAAACACTGATCTCGTTTATAATAGAAACGAATTCTATTGTTGTCATTATTCAATCAAAGGGCACGGAACTTTCTGCTAAAATACTATCTATTTATGTTCACATATATCAAGTACGTCTGTGTGGATAATTAGACACTTTATATATTTTATATTGAAATTAGATTTATTTGAACTAGTTAATGAAAAAAAAATTTACTGTAAATATATATAGCATACTAATATGTAAAATCAATTAATCTTTTGACAGTCATATGATTCATCAATTAAATATAAACTATATGCAAAATCAAATACTAGTATACTAGTTAAAAATTAAGGTAATTTTTATAGTTGTACGTATTGTATAGAATATTAATTACTAGATTAATTAAGCGATAAAGATAGAAAGAGAGAAAGAGAGGAATGGGGAAGTACGAGGAGAGGGGAGGGAGGGAAGGATAATGCATCAAGAGAAAAGCAAAGATTTTTTTAACTTACAAAACTAATATTCATAAATTTATTTAATAATCTAAGTATTTCCTTTTGAGCTTAGCTATTTTGATATGAGACTTTCTGAAGATTATACTTAATACTTAAGTGAATAAAAAAACGTCTAATTAATAGTATTGAATATAGTTCGTAATGGGAAAAGAAGACATTTATTAGAGTATTAATATCAGTAAACAGTTACTCGTATCTTGTAAATAAAATATTTATATTTATGAAAATCTATATATATATATATATATATATATAAAGTGAATGAATATACAAGCTCTATTCTCTATTTGTCACTGTGGTGTATTATTTGTTCAAATTCACAAAGTAATAGAATTTATTCATGAGTAATAATATTGTTTATTCCATTCAGAAGTAAGTATCTTACTTTTTTATTAAATACTTGAGGGATATAAAACATTTTTTCATTCTTCTTTTAAAAATTTGTATTGACGATTTTCTTCTTTAGATAATGATTCTTTTTTTTTTTTTATTAAAGTTAATCTTTTCATTCTCTTATATTAGTATATTTCAACATATTTAATGATTCTCTTATACAAGATTCTTTAATAGTGATAAAGTTTGATTTAATAAATATATCGGTTGAAAACGATTTAAACCCTTATTGTAGAATTGATAGATTATAAAACCACCAACAAGGATACTTAGATGGCGATAAGCTTTACCTTTAGCTTTATCTCGAAGTTCTTTCTTTCTAGTTTTAGCTAAGATTAACGACGAATGATCTTGAATAAACGTTCTACTCATATTTCAATAAAAAAAGCTCCCTAAGTCAACAAGTATATTTATATTATATAATATATATATATATGTTTATATCTTTAAAACTGAATTGTTACGTAATACTTATCACGTGTCAAAATAAAAGACTTTGTAAATTATAATATTTGTATTTCTTTTGTTGATTGTATTTTGTATTTTGTTTTGTTAATAATTTATTTAGTTCATTTCCTCTTCTATTTTTACTTTATAATTCTATTTCAAATTCTATCGAATTCGGCTCGAATTAAAAACATCGCGTGTCGAATTCTGTTGCTATAATACATTGATAAAACTGGTCCAGCTGTATACTGCAAGTGTAGAAGAAAGAAATAAATAAGAATAAGTATTGTTAATATAAATAAACTTGTCAAATAAATAAACTGTAACTTATTATTTACTTGAAAAAGGAGGCTTCTTCTTCTAGAATGTAATTTGTAGGTAAACAATGAAGGTGCCTGGCTACTATCTCTTCTGGCAACTGACATTTCAATTCTCGGTTTCAGCCAAGAATCCGATATGAAACTGATGTATGATGGAGATTCGTAAGCTATAATTAGATTTTCGTAAATAGTTCGTCCTTAAAAAAGACAAGAAGTTATTAGTTCAACAGAACATCAATACTGCACATAAATTATAAATACATGCAACGACTCTCAACCTATGAATGGTAGTTCGTGAATTTCTCTAAAATATTTGCCTACTTGAACTGGTCCCACATCGTCCATTGAGCTTTCTACAACTCCAGGCATCCACTATTGACGACAATTTTATATGAATAAATATGAGGAGAGAAAGGTAAAGTTTACGCCGACTTATCTATAAAAGGCACTCACCCTTTCGTAATTAGATGCATCTGTCATATATTGAAAGACTTTTATGCGATTTGCTGACAAAGCTACCGACTTTTCTGTTATTAAATAGTCATCTCCAGTATCATATTGAATTAAACCAATAACAGAAGCTAACAATAAGCCCAACAAAGCTTTTACTTTGAGCTTTTCTGAATTGAGCATTGTTTTAGTCAGAAAAACAGTTTGCCTGTTCAAGAGTAAAGGGACGCTTACGCCTAATCGATCATGTATCTACGGACGCTTCATCGATTGAAAAAATACGTTCAAACCGTCGCAAAGAGATGGCGTTGCCTGTCCTACGTTCAGTTTTCTAACGCGATATTTACATAAGATACAGATGTTTCCTATTAATGCAATTTGCTAAGATTGCGGTTGTAGAAAATCTGCTGAAGCGCTTAAAATGAAGATAAATTTAAAAGTTTTAAGCGATATATCTTGACCTTTTAATAAAAGATTTATTGATAAAAAAATGATTAAAAAAAATCCTTTTAACAAAAGCGAGCATTATCATCCTTTCATCATTTATCCGCTACTAATTTAAACAAACTACCATCCACCCACCCACCTACCTTTCCCTCCCATTCATTCTTTGACGATGTACCCCCTCCCTACGCCCCTTAGGTAGGAAAAATCTATTCAAATTCTATCAGTAATTCATCGTTAATTATAGATGTAGAAATAATGAAACAAGAATAACATATTTCTATAGTTGATCTAATTTCTATAATAGTAATTTTGACAAAATTATTCTAATTCATAAAAGATTGGTTAAATAGTTAGATAGATTAGATAATCATAGGAGATCGTAACATTATTATCAATTAATTAGTTAATTAAGCAAAGTACGAACAGTAATAAAGTTAATTACGCTATTGTCTTCCCAACGTAGTTGAATATGATTAATTAGGAAAAATTGCTAATCAAACTTCATCTTAACTATTAGAGCTATACAAAAAATGTATAATTCGCAAGTATCAAATAATTAATTATAGTTTGTAGGTTAACAGAAGAAAAGATGGAGAATTAGGAATCTAAGTCAATTATTACCTTCTAAAACGAAAACTATTTACTTTGGCGTTGGTAGTCTAGAATTCTGTTTTTCCACTCAAACACGCTCATCGAATAGGAGCGAGTAGGACTACGATATTTTATATATATTGTATACAGTATAATACAATGTATATATATTTATATTAGATATATAACTGAGGCAAGCTTACTAAGATGAACTGTATATCTTGTCACTTATTCATCTCCTCCTATACACTGAATATCACAATCTAATATACTCTATATTTATATACATCAGTTAAATGGGAAACCATTTAAATTTACTCAAAGCGTAACTCTATACATTGTACACAAAACAAATTTACATAAATATATAGATATGTATTAAATATCGCCCACGTAACGCCCAAGTTTAATAGTAGCTTCTCTCTAAGCGTTTAACAAGCTTTATATTTCATTGAATAATTAATAGTTTAAAGGAGTGTTGGCAAAGAAAAGAGTTGTTAAAGAGAAACTAAAAAATTGATTAGATTTATTTAATTACAAATAAGCTAATTGGCTGTAACCATTGTTCATTCCTATTGTTTAAATTAACATACTTGTGCCAGCTTATTATCCTATTTGCTACTAAGTAATTAAATATTCATAGGCATTTTTTTCTATTCTATTCAATACTATATTTTTTTTATATTTGAAGGAGAGAACGAGAACAGAGAAGAAGTAGGATTACTTGTCAGAAGTAGTGATTTACGCCACCTTTTCAACAGAAAAGTAATACGGCGGAAAACTCTAAATAAATTTGATAAAAAGCTTTAATCCTATACAAGACAAACATCAATTAGCAGTAGGGTTTAAAGATAATTCTAAAACAATTAATCTATGAATTATTTATTATAAAATCGTATATATACATATAAATAAAGAGTATATATTTATATAAATATATGTTTATTTGTATTTATGTTAGAAATAAGGCAATTAACATAATTTCTTTATAGAATTCAATATTGTAGACAATTCTTTTCGTACTATAAACATTTTTATATGTACAATATGTATATATAAAACATATTATAAATAAAAGACAGCAGTTAGCCAATAGATTTTTTAAATATTAAATAATTTTTTTTTTGAAATTGAATAAGGCTGTTCACTCTAAGAAATCGGCTTTTGATTAAACTGCATAATATAGTCAATGCTTGGCGATCAATTATACATTTGCGAACAAAGACGAATTCGATTCATTTAGATTCTACTGTTCATTGCTAGTGGATTACCTTTTTACAATACTTTGTATAACATAAAGTTCAGTTTCCTACCTAGTTATTTAATTGTTTACTGTCGACAAGGATATTGTAGAAACAAGAGTTTTATTTGTTTTCTACGTTTTCTTGGTAGTTTAACAAAAGAAGAAAGAAAAGTTATGGAAAAGAAAATACAGGATGATGGGAAGAGTAAGGAAAACGATCCAGAAAGTAAATATAATTGGTACGAACTACACTGGAAACAGAAAGAAGAATTACTAGAATGGGCGGGCAATTTAACAAACGCTTACAGGTATTGCTAAATTATTCTTACAAATACGGCATAGATAAACTGCGAACGTAAATATTTACAGGAAATATTACCCACATTTAGTAAATAGAGAATGCTGTTTACATTGTGGAGCAATTCCATGTCCTTATCCTCATGACGAGGACAAGCAAAATCGACTTAAGGATATGGAATTCGTTAAAGATCTACTAAACGAAAGAAATAAACTGCAGAAACTAGTTTCAAAATTAAAGAAAGACATGTCTGATTTTTACGATAAATCCAGAGCCTGGAGGGAAGAGAAGAAGGAGGTCAGAACTATAAATACAATTATCTTTAATAGGATATTGTATGGGATATATATTATCTCTTATTTATCTATATCCTCTTCATTTTCTGTTAGCTAAAGTCTCATTGATTCGTTTCTTTTTTTGGTCAACAGCTTGAATTTAATCTCAAAGAACTAGAGAGGTGGAAAAAACACCATCAAGATGAAAAGACAAGGGTAAGAAAAGCCCCTATTGAAAGCTTTGTGCTAAAATTCCTCTCCTAATCCTTTCTTAGGCTTCTTTTTTTTCTTTTTTTTTCTTCATACCACTTATTCACACAGCTTGAAACGGAAATTGACAAATTGAGAGGTATTAACGTTCAACACCAAAGGCTTAGCTATCAAATGAGGCAGATAGAAAAGGAAAAAGAAGTACGTAACACCAATAAAAAAAAGTTTTACTACTTTATGCTTGAAACTTGTTCAAACAATCTAATAAAATACATTCAATATTTCTTTAGGAATTAAAGGCAAAAATTACAAGTTTGGAAGATGAAAAAGCAGAAATTGAGAATGATTTCAAAAGATGCCGTCAAATAATGATAAGGCAAGGTGACGAATTAACGGAATTACGAAAAGAAGCGGAAGTTCTTAGGGAGACACTATCAACGAAAGATGAAGAGATAAGCAATTCAAAGAGGGAAGCCTTAGTTAATCGAGAAAAGGCAAAAAAAGCCGAAAAGCAATTAAAAGACAAAAATACTGAAGTACTTGAAATAAAGCGGGAACTTGAAAGTTTATTAAAAGAAATCAGCGAAAAAACTCAAATATATTCAAAAAATATTGAAGAAAAAGAGAACTTGTTGGAAGAATTTAAAAATATAATTACAGAACTAACTGATAAGATTACCAATTCCGATAAGCAAATTGAAAATCTTCAAGGGCAGGTAAATGCTTTAGAAGAGGAAATCAAACGTCTCAAGTGGAGGCTTAGGAACGATACGAAATTCAAGCAGTTTGTTCAAGTTAAACGGGAACTAATCGATCTGAAATCTAAGAATGAAAAATTTCTTTTAAAATCATTTGATAGTGAATCTCATTTTTCAATGTTAAAACACGAAAACGAAAGACCGTCTTCATCTCCAGGAGCATCTAGGCTATTCGTTAGACGCTCGTTATACAACGATGTTCAAAAGCGACAGTAAACAATTTGTTATTGTTATTGTTGTTGCTGTTATTGTTGTTTTTGTTGTTGTTTTTCTTTACTATATTTAAAAAACTATCTATATATGGTAATTATCTTTTTTCTATTTTAAAATCCACTTAAAAGGTGCTTTGAATAGGTTCAACTGAGACAATTAAAGCTTTTATTAGAGAAAAGACACAAATAAAGATTAAAAGCAATAAAATAATAAATTCTGTTTTGGGCCTTTAAATATCCTATTATACAATATTATGCAAATGAAAGCCCTTGTATATATTAGGTAAATTCTTGTAATTCACCTTCCAATATAACTATAAAACTTGAATATGATTACATCATCTAATTTCCTCCCACTCGAGCATAAAAAAAATCAGACTTTTCCGTTCAATAGTAGTTACGTGCAGAGCTCTGTACTTTAGGTCTTTCTTCTTTTCACACATGTCATTAATTATTGGCTACAAAGGCTTGTACATATATATAAATATATTTATAGCATATAACGTAGATGTACTATATATATAATCAGTGTATATTAGTATGCTTAAATGTAAATACATGTGTGATATACATCATTCAATAATGTAGATATATTCTCCTTAATAGAAATAGATCTAAGTCTAAAAAAACGTATACACGTTTTTTGTTTTGAGTGAAATTCTCCTAACAAAAAGTCACTTTTTTTACTTTCCCGCCTTCCTTTCAAAAAAAAGCTCTATTGAGATTTATAGAGCAAAGAAAAAAAACCGGAAGTTGATCTTCTATTGGATTGGTACTTTTGACCTTTCATGCTATTTCTTAAATTCTCAATATTTACGTCTCATTTAATAAAATTTACTAATAAAACATGACCAATTTTCGAGTAAAAACTGTTTGCTAATTGGATAAACGTCATTTTATAATACTGACAAAGCATACATACTTTATTATTTATTATGTAAACAAAACCTCCCCTTTGCCCTCCTACTTCCCTCCCCCTATTCACCCCACCCCACCTTCTGTTGTCTTCAATACCTTGTCGAGCAGATAGACCAATTGTATCAGAAAGTGGCGACATCTCGAGGTGGATAAGTTTCTGGAAAGTTGTTTGCAGAAGAACCAATAAGCTATAAGAATATTACTTAATTACTTTATATATATATATATATAAAGATATATTAGCTTAAAACAACAGATATCATTCTGAATAAATAAAGCAATATATTATTTATAATATGTAATAAACAGTAAATGTATTCACGTACATTTAAAGAATTTATACATAAGCCAGCTTTTAGACTTATCAGTATATGTTTGAGCATAAAGATTACACTAATATAGAATGCATAATGCATATTTCATAATTCTTTTCTTTTTTTTTTATTGTACGGATAATAATTCTTCAGTCACTTGCCTTGGTAATCTTTGGATTTTACTTTACAACCTGATAATCTTCTCTTTAAAATCGGTGCATGCGTGTGTATGTATATACAATATATAATATATACTTTCATGTATATACTAATATATATATATATATATGTGTGTGTGTTTTTTTTGTTAACTCTATTATTTATATATTTACAGAAAAACACTGATTAGTTCTGCAATCCATTCATATTAAGACAATGTATTCGCTGTTTAATGAATAACAATTAGTTTTTGTAATAAAAATAAGTAAATTATTACGCTTTTAGGAGGAATAGAAGTTGGATTTAATATATTAGTAAATTAGAATAATGCAAGTATATATCGATCAAGAAAACTCAAGAAAAAATTCTCAATTTGTATAACATATATTCCAACAAGAATACTACTGTGATACAAAAAACATTAAGCACTGGCACAATAGATTCTTACTGTAACAGGTAAACTTTTACCCAAGTTAGATTCTATGTATTTACGCGTGTACGCATGTATGTATGTATGTATGTATATGTGTCTGTATATATATATATATATATATATATATGTGTGTGTGTGTGTGTTTATCAGCAAGCATGTAGCACGTATCATATATACTTTTTGAGCTGTTCTTATCCTTTAAATCTTAAATATTATAAATAAATTACTTGTATTTTTACTTAGATTGAGACTTTTGAGATTTCATCCTCTTGCATTCTAATGTAAAACATTTTAATGGACATCGCAGGGATTATTAATAGCTAATACTTTTATACCCTCTACTTACTTCTTAGTTATAAAGAGTCTATGTTGACGTTTCTCCTTATTAAAAGTATTCATAAGTATCTTTTACACACTTTTACCTTTTTCTGATCAATTTTTTTTTACCATATTAGCAAATACATTACAATCTATGCAATCTATGGAAAATAAAAATAAAACAGTTCAATTCTTTTCTCCTCTAAGAAGCTCTTTTTTTTCTTTCTGAACACTACTGCTTCTTCTTCTTCTTCTTCTTCTTCTTCTTCTTCTTCTTCTTCTTCTTCTTCTTCTTCTTCTTCTTCTTCTTCTTCTTCTTCTTCTTCTTCTTCTTGTAACTTTCTTCTTTATTTTCTTCTCTCTCTTAAATAATACTTTTCTCTTTTATAGTTTATTGAATAGAATTTTCCTTGCTTCTTTTTCACTATTTCTATTTTTTGCCTTTTTCTTCCTGTTAGTCTCGTTCTGTTTCTCACCTCATATATTGATATATATATATATATATAAATTTATATATACAGTATATATATATATGTATTGTATATACTGTATATTTCTTTGTCATTAATAGCCCAAGCACTTAATAATGGAATCAAACAAAGATAATAAATTAGTGATACTCAATTAATCCTCCCAATACTTACTTTTCTGCACGCAATAGCGTGAAATATAAGTTGTTATATATATTATTAATTTACTAAAGACCGACCTTCAATAATCAGCTGTATTTTCCCATATATAGCTATGAATTTATTGATATAGCATGAATTTATTGATTGTAATAACCATTGCGTATTAGTATTAAAATTGTCGGTGGTAATGTGTATCAGGAGATATCTATTATTCGTTATCTCTTTCATAAAAAAAACAAGGAAAAATATAAATCTTAAAAGGTTTTTTGGTAAAAGGTAGCAAAAGTGTTTTAGCGAAAGACTTAGTGTGACATTTCATTTGAATTATTATATAAGTGAACAATGGATGTCAAATTATATAAGCAAGTACATTTTAGCATTAGACAAGAACGCAAAGTACAATATAATGTTGAAAATATTAAATGGACTTTGTCCTACTTTGAGTATATACATTTGCTATCTTTAATATTAAGTAGAAATATTGCAGAACGAATGAAAATTGGCCATTTTTACATAATATTACTACACTAATCCTAAACGTATTTTAATAAAGATAGTAAGAATGTCGAAAATTTCAATTAGAGATATTAAACCCGATGATTTTAAGCATTTAATTAAAATGTTTCACGAAATGAAAGAATTTGAAAAATTGGAAGATGACATTACAACTACACCTGAGATTCTGAATAGGGATTGTTTCGGACCAAATAAATTCTTTTCGGCTATTGTTGCTGAGAATGAGAAAAAAGAAATCGCCGGTTATTCGATATACTTCAAGGCCTATTCAACTTTTCAAGGTAGAATGCTCTATATGGAAGATATATATGTCGTACCCAATTACAGGCACTTGGGCGTTGGTAAGAAATTACTCAAGAAGGTTGCAAGTATCGCGGTTTCTGAAGATTGTTGCAGAATACACTTTGCCGCTTTAGAGTGGAATAAGAATGCTACAAATTGGTACAAGAAAGTTGGTGGAATAGACCTAACCGATTTCGAAGAATGGCACCTATTTAGAATAGGAAGAGAAGCTTTGGAAAAGTATTCAGAATGATAAACAATGATAAAACAAACCGTTAGATTTGTATTTAATTATAAAACTAATTAAAAATGACAAATAAATCATTCAGTCAACGTAGTTGTATTTCTTTTTATATTTAAATGACAATTAAATTCCACTTGAAAGACTTTTTCTCTTTTCTGACACACAACTATTGCTAAACATCAATAATCATTAATAAGAATAAAGAGAAGGAATAAGAGGAGGGAGAAAAAAAAGGGACGCGTTCTCAAATTGTAAACGTTTCTTTTATCATTTAAAATAGAAGTTCCCGGAAAATGCTTTATGTTTAATTTCAATTAGATTTACTTACACTAGATGAAATTTTTACATTGTTTCTTTTTACAAAAGCATTGGTAATAAAATTAAAAATGCCTCCCAAATTGGAAAAAATCACTGACAAGAGTACTATAAGGAATGGTTGAGTTCTATACATCCCATAAGCGGCGTATATCATAAACGACCACCATTGTGCAATAAATGAAATAACGAAAAGCATCATAATCTTTGCCGTCTTATGATACTTTTCTTGAGAGCTTGTTAATATTTTGTTGAGATTCCTTGATATCTTTTTAATCTTTATCCAAGATAAGCTGTACAATATTGAAATTAGAACAAAAATTAGAACGAAAAAGACGGCAATAACAGTTTGTAGAATTTTAGAGTAAGGTCGACGATTATCTAAAAAACACCTGGAGTAAAAACAATTATCTTTATTAATTATTAAAATTTTTGCACTAAAGACATTTACCATGCTCCGCTTCTTCCCCAGTGACGAATGCTCGCTATAGCACAACAAATAATTAGCGGTAAACCGAATGCAACGATATGTAATCTCCAATCGTATTTTCCAAGCTTAATTCTTTTCTCCTTGACAACCATATAAAAAGCATTTACGGCTGTGAATATAACTACTAGACACTGACCTACAACAAATTCATTTAACAAAAATCCAATAGCAGCGCAGAACATATCCGGAGGATGATTTTTGACTATCAACATATAAATATGATCTGCCAGATGAACTGTACAATATCCAAAATCAAACACTGCCATATAAAATATCAATCTTTCACCAATTTGACTTTTAAATATTGTTTTTACATTCTTAAATATCAACACAAATATTGCAGTTGTAAAGAAAAGCGACGTAACCAGACTGCAATTGAGTAAAAAAAATTGTTTCTATAAATAAAAATCATATTTGCTGTTTTCTTTTCTATTTTAAAGTTTTACTCTTATATCTATATATAGCATTTCATGACTTTTTACCTACCAAATTAGTCCTACGTAATGAAAAACGTAGAATCTATAACCGGGTAAACCGTATACAGGCATATCATCGCTATTATCTTCTTTCTCCACCAAATTGGAATTATTGTCGCGTCTGTACATTTTCAAAAATTATACACTATTGAAAATAGTTACCTAACTGAGTGTGTTTTGATAAACGCTCACGCACCTCACCTAGCGTTAAAAAATTTTCTATGTAATTAACAAGGATGATAATCGAGAAAAATGTCGGAAAGATCTTACAGTATATCACAAAGCTATGGATTATTAGCATTAAAATAATAAGGCGAAGACTGAGCCTTTTTTTTCTAGAGAAACAAAGTTAATTTAAGATGAAGACGTTGTCTTTTTGAAATCACTCACTTGGAAACAATTAATAATTAATAAATGCTGAACTCAATTAACCTTAAGTCGGTTTATAGGAAAACTTCGTTCTATTCAAATTAATAACTTTCCATCCGTGTTGGGGTGAAGAAAAATACTTGAACAAGGACAATGAGTATTACTCCCACGCTATTATATCTTGTTAAGAGCCTTTTACTTTCTACTTTATTCCAGTTTTTTTTTCTTCCACCATAAAAACAATATGATTGCAAACATAATTTTATTTTTGGTCGTATAGTTACCTAGCAACGAAAAAAGATGACTTTGCAAGCGATTAAATATATAATTTGATTCTATTGTTATATCCCTTATCCTCTCCCCCATTCCCACTTTTTTTAAAGATCAGGATGCGAGTAAAGTATGACTTTTTCATTATTTATTTACTTTAAAAACTATTATTAAAAAGTGCTTTGGAATGTAAGAATCTTTGAAAAATCAGAGATTAATGTCTTTCAAATTTGTTGGACAGATGCGACTTTTAAGAGTTCAAAGCGGGGACATTGTTAAACCATTACGCCTACTGGTTGACAGATGAACAATACCAGTTTTCAGATTAACGTTTAATCAACTAGAAGAAATTTATTCATTGATTCGTATCAACAATTTCTCTTTCGCTACTTAAGTAACGTTTAAGTGTTTCATTCATCCATCATGAGAAAAAGTTAAATATCAGATAATGACGCCCTCTGCAGTTTATAATTCAATCAGACAAATGAAAATACATTTAATACCCTGAGAGATTATTAGAAGGAGGGGGTCTTGATTAAAGATTATTTATTAATAGACCGGTTAATTAGCTATTGAAGTTTACAAGTCCATTATAATCTCTTCTTTGTCCTAAGTATATACTAGGAAAACTGTACTTGTTATCGGTAAAAAAGTAATGATTTTGTTTGAAATTGATCGCTATCCATTCAGTTTACACTCTGCGGTTAATAACGGGAAACTATTCACAAAATAAACAATAGAATCTTTCAAGCTTTTATTTTGCCATCAAACAAACGAAACGAAGTAAGACTAATAATACACAATTGATGATAAAATTTGAATATCGACTTGTAATTATTAAAATAACAATCAAGGCAATTTTTCCCTTTGAAATAAGAAATACAATATAATCGTCAAGATATTTAATATAAAAAATGGAAAAAGAGAACACAAATGTCAATAATTGAAGTATTTTTTATTGGAATCTTTATCCTTTCCGTTGAAAGATTAAGCCAGATCTTGATTTGGTTCATCAGATGGGGCAACTTTCTTGGGGCTTTTACCATTGATTTTAGCCTGAAAGGATAATCTTTGATTGTCATTCAAAAGACGTAAATCGATGAGAATTTATTAAATGAGTTTCTTAAGCGGAAATTGATCATTATCCGCCACTTTTATTGTATACTGTATACTCTTATAAAGAAATAACAACTTACGAGGTAATCCGCATCCTCTTTAAGAATATTAAGCCTCTTCTTCAAAGACTAGATTTTCATTAAGAAAAAAAAGTTTGATAAAATATTCTAGGAATTGATAATCCCTCTTTTCTTCAAATAAAAAAAAGGGAAATCTGATAAAAACTAAAAACTTAATACAAACCGCACAAGAAATCCAGAATCCAAAAAAAATATGAAAGACAAGATAGATGGCACCGAGCACCCCAAGGGCAATCTTATCTGCCTCTTCCGAATCTTCGTCATCTAATCCCAGTTTCGGTACGATGGCGTGCCAAACACATATCGAGATAAGGATCGTCATTGACGTAAGTATATATTTATCCTATTGATAAATGGGAAATCACATTTTCAAAAATGATTCTATGAATAGGAAAAAAAAGCTCAAAGCGTCAAAATCTTACTAAATAAGTCAAATAGGATATTTTTGGCAAACTTTGGTTTACGACAAACTTGAATGTAACAGTTGTTAACAGTAAGATAAAAGTTAATTGCAGTCTATTCTGAGGTAATTTATAATCGACAGTAAATGTAGCAAAAGCCAGACTGCAGATAAACATCTGTAAAGGAGAAAGAAATATGAATAACTATATTATTATTCCCTTATAAATTAAATAACGTAAAGAATTTAATTATAGACTAGCAGATGAAATATGATAGGGGGGTTACTTATAGTTTTTTTCGGGGTGTATGCGTACATTATCCCTTTAAGTATAAACTAATACTATTAAATATGTAGAAAGAATATAATGGCTTAACCTTTAAAGTCCTCAAACTAGTCATTTTATACTAAATAACATTGTAGTTTTATCAATTAATGAATCGTTCCCTGTTGCTTTTATAATAATTTAATATTTTCGCCACTACCTCTTTGTTATTTACAATTTAGTGTTAAGTATGGTTAATTTAACTATTGTAATATGATTTTTCAATAATTGATATTATATAAAGAGATATAAACAATAGGTCTTCAGATTGGTATCCTATAAGAAGAGTGAATGAAATAGCTATAGATTGCATTACCATGACAACAAGAATATTCCATATGAAAAATTCGGGCCTTCTTGTGACCTTACACGCTGAACATAAGGCAGGATGCTTATGTCTTCTATTCTTATAAACTTTAGCCGTTACAACATTCCATGTCATTACAGCACTATGCAATCTCCATTCTTGTTCGTCGACGAATGATTGATTATTGACTGAAGATATTTCATGCTTATCGGCACATAGCTGCACTTCCGCTTCCGATCTTTCAGTTATGACTTTAATAGTTAAATCCTATATTGATTTCGAAAATGTCATATTAATATATACTATGTACCAGTATATAATGTATATATGCAAAATAATTGTGCAGTGTCCTTGTAGCTTTTGTATATACAGTCAAATGAACTAAATATACAACTGTTTTTATTAGTAACGATTTTTCTACCTGAGTATCGAACGGAAACTCGTTTAACTCAAGCGACTCTGCAAAAGTTCCGTTTATTCTGTGCTTCTCTGTTATATACGCATGTCCATTCTCGTCTTTCTCAACTAATCTCCACACATCCATTAATGTAGAATTAAGTAAATTCTCAATAGAAAGCTTAGGTGACCAATACTCATCCCAAACAATATCGTCTTCTTCCTAACACGATAATAAAAAACAAGGCTTGCATTAATAGCTTGCTTATGTGCTTTTGTAAGTTAACAAACTATCTCGTCCTTGTTATCGAACCTTTCCTCTCTCCAGCGAGCTTGAAAGAAAACGTCAGCGGCGTATTTCTCCTTAAGCGTATCGATTTCGCCCAATTTGAGGAAAACTACCCTAATATAGACCTCCCGCTGGAGAATAAAGGATACATTATATTATCGATTGTTTTATCCTCTAGGAAGCTGTAACGAAAATAAAATTGCTGTTCGATTTTGTTCCATATTTCTTAGCTTCCTTTGTTCTTGTATATAGTAATCAGCTTCGCTGTGCTTAAATAAACCTTTCATTACGTCTATCTCACCTTTTTATTTGTCTGATTATCCATGGTTTACTAATAACAACAATATCAACCTTAAATGATCGATTCGACAAGAAAAAAATCGATTAGTACCGGTTTATTAATACGAAACACCTAGGATTATATAGCACCAAAACTGATTTAGGCTGAGTTAATAAGACTTCTGAATAAACATTTTTTTTTTATTTAAATATATTTACGCGAAACTACTACGAACTGTATATACTTATTTGCGAACTGATAAACAGACGAAGCAGACAAACCCTGTTAATAATCTCATCATCTTCTATTGCATCCTCGGAAGGTAATGCCTTCAATTTCACTGCCTTACGGCTGTCCGTTTCAGTAGATATACGTTTCGACGGTTGTTTACCATTTAATATTAAATTGTTTTGCCTGATTGTTCTCTCCAGAGACTTAATTGCGTGAGCCAGCTGAGTAAAATCTTCGGCCATAGTTGTCATAATTGAAGTTAATTAACAATGAAGACAATATACGTCAAAGTCAAGTTAATTTCAATTATTTACCATCTACATTCAAATTTGAAGCGAAAAATATTCTATTGAGTTAGGATTAGGAGGCCCGTAGAATAGGATATATTATGATCGGTGGAAAATATACACATTGCTGAGGCCTGTTGATAATCAATGGAAAATATTTTAAAGGTAGCGTTATGTTCGATCGCGTCCATTGTCGTCATGGAGATATGAGAGGGATTGCAGGGAGGCAATTTAATCATCATACGGACAAAAAAAATTTCACCTATATCACAATCATTAGTTCGAGTGGAAAACGTAGGCTAAATTCAGGATTAACAGATCATCTATATCATTTATTTTTAAAAGCATTAAAGAGAGTAACAAGCATCGGTGTTTTTTATTAATCTATTCTATGGAAATTACATTACTTATGAACCTGGAATAAGCATCTATTCTGAATTAATTTTCATCTAAACAAACTATATTAATATGTCGTAACAAATAGTCTATTATTAATTAATTCTTTAAATAATATTTCGTATGCTTATCATAAATGAATTGGTGTTGTTCGAATCAATCAATCAGAGTAAACTATAGGGGTTAAAAGTATGAGAAGAAAAACAAGGATTTGAGGAAGGTGTAAATAAAAGAACAATCAAAAAGAAAATAAATATGTTATTAAAAGGTATTGAAAAGGAAGGAGAGGAAGATGGGAAGATAGGTAGATGGATAGATAGAGAGCGAGTGGGAGGGTGGGGGAGAGAGGAAGGAAAAAAATTGTGGTTCTGAAATTATAAAGAAACGATCTATTATGTTTTGATCAATCAATGAAAAAACACTTTTCTCTATTCAAGTTGACACGATTACAATGAAAAAAAAAACTTTCTAAAATGGATCATTTGCAAGCAAATAATAGGTGGAGCCCATATTAGCTAAACTCTTTGTACAATTGAAAGACAATTTAATAAGTAAAAAGTAAATTGTGAGGGATTAAGCTAAAGACGAGAAATTTCGATATTTGCTCTAATAACATACTTATTTCAAATATTTTCTTTATCACAAGTGCCTCAAAACACTTTTATTTTTATTATTAGTTTTGTCAATTATAAACATTTGGCATTTGATCAGTTACAGTAGGCGTATAGGGAGGGGGACTTTTACTTTCGGTGACTTGATTATAATCAGGTGGTTTTACCGATTCGTTATCGTACGGTGGAGGTTGATTCAGACTATTAAGGCGTATAGGTTGATTGATAGTGTAATTTGGCTGCATAACAAACATTGGGGGTGATCCGTTAGGTAACTGTGCTATTTGCTGACTAGAAGGTAGGACTTCAATGCGTCTTTGCCTTCTCTCCTCTTGTCTTTGCCTTATTCTTTGCTCCTTTCTATAATTCCAGAAGAAAAAAGAAATACCCATTCCAAAGGCGCAAATGAATATTGATAGAACAACGATCAGTGAGAGTATTATTGGAGAAAATGAAGAAGCTTCAGGCACTTTGGTTGATGTCGGTGGAAAAAATGTAAACTTCGTTTTAGTCGTTTGTACAGTAGATGACTTAACTGTACTAGGTGCAGAATTATTACAAATCACACCGACATCATCTGAATGATCGCACTTCCACGAGCTTTTTTCATCATGATAACGTAATTTGCAATTCGACAGCTTTGTTACATTAACCTCGCACTGCACATGTTCCAGCCATATTTTACCGGTTCCGGGTTTTATGCTTTGTAAAAAATATTATTCCAAATGATCAAAATTATGCATTTTTATTATCTTCTTTTTTTACACTTACTCTTTCAAACTTGCCCCTTCGCTAAAGCCTAATTGAAGGCATACTATTTTGTAAATTAGGCCCATATCGCTCCCAGAATGACAGACCGTCCCCCAAGCGCTGTCATAATAGTATTCTAACCTGCCGGCGTGGCTGGAATCTCCCATCAACCTAATATCTCCCTCTTTAGCTTAATAAAACAAAAAATGAGAAAACTCAATCTTTTCCTTATTCTATTTTTAGAAAAACTTGACATAAACACATTAAATATATTATTATTTTTACGATCTCTTATCTGACCTACCAGCATTGATCGAGGAGAATAGGTGACAAATTCGTAGGATTATCAAAATCAGCGCAATATTCATTTTATTCTCGTCATTTATAGAAAACCTTACTGTGCAATACACATGTAGAAGACAACACTGTTCAATTTAGAAATGCGACGCAACAGCGTTCAATGATTATCGACGAAGTAACCAAGTTGACGTGTGTATATAATGTAAATGCATGTCATCCTTACTGCTTTTTTTTTCTTGTTTTCTCTCTGTTAAATACTTTAGACGCTTGATCATTTTTTTTAGACGATTACGTCAATTTTTTCTTATATATTATGCATTTATACATATATTTGATACATTAAATGTTTTTAATTATTAATTTTAAAGCAATTTGATAGAACGATATATTTGAATGTAGGATAAAGATTTTCTTATTTAAAACATTATGGCAGAAAAAGAAGTCACTTCCTCTATCTAACAAGCCTTTTATCTTGCCCCCTATTGAGTTCGCCTGAACGCCGCCGAGGGCCAAGCTTTATGTGTGCACACTTTGATTTCTTCCGATACTACTAAATTATTTATTCCGGTTCCTTCCTCCAAGTGGATTAAAATTGACGACGGAAGAGGGCACCACCCACTAACTTTACCCTTTTTTTGTTTTCCCTTTTTGTCCCATTCCCTATCTCTCTATCTCTTTCTTTCTCCCTCTCCCTCTCCCTCTCCCCCTTTATATAAGCTCTATTCTCAGTTCTCTCCATAGTTGACTCCCGTATTTAAAAAAAAAGGAGTGGGTAGAAGAATATAAATAATAGTAAGAGTAGTAAAAATAGGAGAAGAGCAAATAGCTTAACCGAAACAATTTGCGTATCGTTCACTCCTACCTATTCGGCTTGAGTAAATATTTAAAAGTAGGACTAAAGTTTTATGGCATAATATGTACATAGATATATATATATATATAGATATATCTCTATATACTTTAGTATATAGATATCTAAAAATAAACGTAAGTTTACGTAGTAATACAAGTTGGTGCAATCGGATGAAGAATGTCGTTTTTATTACTGACAAAATAAAGTAAACTAAGATGTAAACAGATCAATATTTGTTTTTTTAAAAAAAAAGTAATAGCGAGAAATATATAAAAAAAATTTGAATAAAAGGTTAGTATTTTTAACTTATTCTAAATACATTACCCCACGCATTCTGGGTACGTAACTTTTGCATATCCGCTAATAGAACACTCAACTTAATCCCCTCCCTACCTCCATTCAAGTGCAATCGATTTCGACTATAATAAGAAAAAAACGAAAAGCGAACCGCATGGGCGAACGACGCAAAAACCGCTATTTGTGTCTGCATAACGTTTGCCTACTTTCCTCGTTGTCCAAAATGCTGATCGACTACCGCTAACGTCTGGATATAGGAGTAATTTGAGCCTGTTTACACAAAGAACAAGTAATTCATTTTGTTAGTCTTTATCAACATTCGGTCCAAATAGAAAAGTTTTTCGTCATTTATCATGGATAGTTTCCAAGAGTGGAACGGAGAAACTTTGTCGAGGGATAGGCGAAGGAGAATGGGAAGGGTCGAAGATCTCCGCTATTTAGTATTGGAAAATACTCAGAAAGAGGCTGTAAGAGCCCAAGAAGAAGGAGTGATCTCAACAGACGAACAAAGTGCTTCCGATTATGAGTTAGAACTTTTTGATATTGCTATAGAGCCGTTATTGCCAAATGATATAACAGACGAATACGAATCTAGAATAAGACTCTCCGAATTAAGGGATAAACCAAAAGAAAAAGAAAAAGTAAAGAGAGCTAATAGAGAACAACCCAAGACTAATACTCATATTCCAAGGCCCCGGAAGTTACATAGGATGAAATCTGAAGGTTCTGTACTAAAGAAACAAGCGTCTAATCATCTGAGCGACGTCACCATGCAATTCAAGTACTCGAACGCGATGGAGCATAAAGAAATAACGGTAGCCACTCAAAAGGGTAAAAATGTTACGTCGAAGCCGATTTGGGTTGCCGAATCGCGGGAGAAGAGAAAAATTTCACTTTCGCCAGTGATTGGAAGATCTGAATCTTGTCCCCCCTTAAAATCTGTCATAAGAACAACTCCTAGCAATAGTAATTTATTAGCAGTTCCTAAAAGGAGTAGCGAGAAACGACGAGTTCGATTTTCGTTACCAGCAATCGGATTAAAAGAAGATAAAAACACTATAGCTCCGAGTAAGTACCAAGTATTACCGGAGATTAGGTGTAAAGAAGAAAAGTGACCTTTTGGTATTATTTAAAAATTAATTAACCCCTCTAATTGCCCAAATTACTGACTCTTATTTTTTTTATATTTTCCGTTGCTCATTTACGTTCAAAAGTCTTTGTTGTAGGAAATTTCCCAACTGTAAAAAGTGTATAAAAGTTCTCTTTCAAATTGAATTCGTTCAAATTGAAATAAAAAAAACCCTTTTTGTTATTAAGGAAAAACTAGTAAAGAATTATAAAAGATTGGCACCTCATTAGATATTCTCAAAATAACAGTAAATATATGAAAGCTTTCTACTGTCTTGTGCAAACATTCGATTTTCATTTCAATGCCCGAAAAAATGGTGTTCAATCAGTATAATTGCCCTCTTTTCCCCTTTAATCAGACGCCATCTATCGATATCCAGTCCCTCTAGCCTAATAACTCGACCGTTTGCTGGCAATCCGAAACGGATGAAAGGTTAAGGGCGGCGAAGTGAGAAAAAGCAGTCTTTCATGCTAAACTCGCCAAGGCCATTAACCAAAACGATTAATCAAAGGAGTCTGGCTGGTCGTTGTTAATTAAGCCGGCACATGCTCGATCAGATCATACGCACACTCGCTGTTATTAAAAGTCATCAGTTTGATTAGCATCACGCCTGTCGGATTAGCCTTTAATACTGCTTGTAAAGTATAAACAGGCCGCTGCCGGTGTGGATTACAAGACGCTTTACGCTCCTTTATGTGTTGATCAGCTGTGGAAATATTGCTATTTCTTTTGAAGCGGACCGTCTGATAGCGTTTTCCTATCTGTTCTATTCTTTCGTACATTTCTCGTTTTTTATGTATTATTATTATTATTATTATTAATATTATTATTATTCAGAGTTTTGTATACACGACATTCAGCAGTGACATTAGGCCTATATAGCACATGCACTCGACGGACAATAAAAAATGTAAATGTGTGCTTTTATGTCCAAGACTTTAAAATGTATACATGTCCTTTTTTTCCTTTTTTTTTTAACTATTCGCTTGCACCATGCAAAAAAATATAATAAAAACCGAATCAAAATGAAAAAAAAAACAAGTAAAAGAACCAAAATAACAGCTTTACAATAGTCCTTAAAATATATATTTCAACATTGTATACAGACGTTGAACACTACTGTTATGCGTTTCCTTTTTTTTTGTTACTTGAATTAAAAAAAAAAAACAGAGGAGACAGTCCTTCCGAAACGTTCCTGAGCAGACGGATCGTTCACGGATCTCTTCTAGAAGATGACTTCGTATAGAGTGGCTTTTTTGTCGCCTGAACCCGTCACGATAAATTTATCGTCCGTTGATATATCGCAGCTTAATACTGATGATGATTCTTTCGACTGTTTGGAATTTAAGATAGACATTTTCAATTATATGGTTACAATTTGGTCTTTTACGATTGACTGCATATCCTATTTAACATAAATAAACTTTAATACACATACCTGGAATATCGAGGCTCCGTAGGGAGTTCTCCAGGCGTTTAGCAGGTTATCTTTTCCGGTAGATATAAACCATTTTCCACAATATGCAAACTTGAGCGATAACACGCAACTTTCGTGCAAATGAAGCTGATATTTATCAGGTTTGGAATGGTGGAGAACTTCGACATTGCTGGATTCCATACTGTTTATAAAACAAAAAAAATTGATATTAAATAAAATAGAGAGCGGGGAAAGTAAAGTAGATGATTGAATTACAACCCACAGCAAGACGCCATCTATAAGGCGAGAGTGTTAGCACTCGAAGCAAAATTAGGCATTCGTTTGAATGAACAAAAAAACGCAATGCGAATGTCAACGAGCTCGTTGCTGCTTATTAAACGAGCGGAGAAAGAAACGAGTAAAGGGTTAAGCGCCACTTACCCGACTGCTAGCCAATCTCCAGTTGGACAATAGCCCAGTGAAAAGATTTGAGAACTGAAGTCGTGCTGCTGCAACTGTCGTCCCTGTGGGGAAAAAGGTTGAAAGAAAAAAATAAATAAATAGGAAATTCGTTAAGGAGTTTAGATGAGTGGGAAGTGCCCAGTTTTTTACGCCTGGCTATTTTTTTTATACAAGATTTGCTTATCAGGCAGATGGCAGAGACCATTGCTACCCTTCTAAACGTTATCTACTCAATGGGCGGTTAAGGGTAGAGATTCGTGTCAATTATCTAGCTTCATCCGATTCGTATTACCTAACACGTGCAGTCTATGGGAGGTCTCGACCGTAAATCGCCAAGTTACGGTCATTGCGTAAGATTAACGACTGTCTATTACGCAAGTAGCTCTTCTGTTCGCAATTAGAAAGCTTTTTAGACGACGCTTTCGGCGGGGAGCGCCTACGTCCCGTCGGCTAATCAAACCAATTAGCGACGGAACCCGCCTAAAATTAATGGGCTGTCTTGTACAAAATATTACCGAGAGTAGAGCAACTCAATCGCGGCAAATCTAATTCTTTTGTTAAGTAATTCCGCCCCTGCTGGGTTCAAAAAAAGAAAGCACACGGCCGCTCCAACCGTCTCTCCCTTAAGCGCCATCTATACCTGGTGGGTATTCCCCCCCTTCTTTCGTACCAACTTTCGCAGACCATCTGTTCCCGCAGAGTACCGATGGGCAACAAAGAAAAAAGTTCTCACTCTGAGTGCAAAAAGCGGCAATTAATCGCAAAGTGAGAGGCGATGGGAGTGGCCGTACGCATGCGTGCACTCTGTGACCCCGTGCCGTGTGGGTAACGCCTCCCATTCGACGCACGCCTTCTTAATTAGACTACTTCATACATGAAGGGGGGGGGTGGGTGGCTCTGAGTAATACTAGACTATCTTTTTTTTTTCATTCTATTTACCTCTCGCAAATCCCAACTTCGTACTGTGTTATCTAATCCACCGGTCCATAGTTTCGTTCCGTCAGGTGAAATGTCAATGCAACTAGCGCCATCAGTATGACCTTGGAATTGGCGTAGTAAAGTCTGATTGTGTAGATCCCAGACAGCAATATTACCATCCGAGCAGCAGGAAAAGCACACTTTTGAATCGGGGGATATGGCTAGAGCGTAGCAGGCAGGAGCCGATGAATTGAGTTCGGCTTTTATCCTTGGACTGGGTGAGGCAAGGTCCCACATGGACAGAGTAGATGCTTCACCGCCTACTACCAATGTTCTTCCATCATGCAACAGCTTTATACTTCTTATATAATTATCGCGTTGCAGGCAATCCAGTTGGGAAATTGGAGATTTACTGGCGGGCTGTTGAATATCCCAAACTTTAACGCAACCTTTTCCACCAGTATAAACGTGACGACAAGGATTTGAAATTGTTACGGCGCAAACGACTTCCCCATGATTCAAAGTGCTCATCTGCCTTGCGTGCCTAGGGATACCTTGACCCATTAATGCATCTGGGGGAAAAGGGACGGGTTGCATCTGTCCATCGGCTGTCACGTGGAACGAGTAAGCGGGTTTGCCTCCAGGTATTGAAGACAAGACGTTACCGTGGCCTCGCATTTGCAAGTGTTCGAATCCGGGCACCATTGGGGCTCGATAAGGCAATCCTCCAGGAGACATCAGAGCTGCTGCTGCCATTGCGGCTGGGTTTCCTGCAGCCGCCGCCGCCGCAAGCATGGAGTTATTCGGGCTCAAGTCTGCAGGGTGTACAAATCCAGCGTGGTAGCCTGCAGAGCCAGTCTCATGATGCTTTACAACATTCTCCGTATTTTTAGTACAACATTGAATAAATATGACGAAGAACATTTGTTTTTGTTCGGAGGTTCTTAGGCGCCCATTACATTTAAAACTTTTAATCATAAAATAACAAACGGCTTTTCTCCACCGAACAATAACAAATCTGACTCTAGGTTAGAAAAAGAAATTCAACCATCTAAACGAAATATATAAACACATTCTCTACTATCCTAACTAAAAGAATAAGTAACTAAAATATAAGTAAATAATAAAGGTTAAAATTTTTTTCTTCTTTTCTTGTGATTATTCTTTATCGCAATTGTGTTTCTTTTCCATTTTAAATACCAGTTTGATGCGGGTGACATCAAACGATTTTGTAATTGGTCACGCGTAAACGATAAAGAATATTTCGCGTGACTGAATACTATATAAGTAATGAACTAAAGAGAAAAGAGAATGTTAAAAAAAAAAAAAGCAATATTAAATGCTCAAACTATGAACAGAAAAAGAGAAGGATAACAAAGAGAGAAATTAACGAAACTGATGATTAAATTAATCTAGATAACTTCATGTGAAGAAACAAAAAAAAGAAAGAGAAATAAAGCAGAAATCGAGACCGGCTCCACTTCCAGAATAGTATAAACAGTTTGTAAAAAATTGCTCTTAACGTGCGGTAAAAAAGGGTGTGCTATGATAACAAGTAGTGTTCGGTTAAGGGGATAAGGAAGAGGGCTTAAGATTTTTTATATTAAGACAGGAATATGGGGTATGTCAACGTCTACAAACTGTTGATACTTCGTCAAAAATACTCTTTTACATTATATAAATTTAAAATCCTTCATTGAATAGTATAACTTACCTAAAGGTTGTTTTCCTCCGGGTTTGAGCGCTCCTGAGGGTCCCGGAGTACTTGTAGGCGTATCTGGTTTAGAAGCGGGAGTCGACGGTTTGTCAATTTCCTTCAATTTAGAGGAGGCGTGTGAACTCGTATCGCTTCTGGGACTAGTAGGGGGTAATTCTTTCTTAATTTCTTGGGCTCTCGGCGATCGATCACCGTTGACAGGAGATGAGGCTTCATTAGCATCGTCAACCACCAAATTCTCACAATCGCTCTTATCTCCATCACTTTCCTTAAAAGAAAACAAGAGCAATTAACGTAAAGCATATTAATTAAGGCTGTAACCAGTAGATGGCGATAAAGACATCAAAGGGCGCTAATCTGATTAAAACCGTAATTCCGATTATTCGAGCAAATCTACTTTAATCGGCCATAAAGACGGGTTACAGCTGCCGCAGGATAAAAAAAAATCGAACTTACAATCTTCTCTGGTTCAGTACGTTTCCGCTTCATTTCGGATGCCATATCCGGTGAACGACTTCTTCTATATTTATCGAATTTATCTCTATCTGATGAACTGGGTGATGCTGAACTTCGCTGTGTTTTTAATTACAAACTAAATATTAGCTTGTCAACGAAAAGTATTTCACTTGTTTGCTAATTGCTAATGATCAATATATTCTAGGTTTTTTTTTTTGCACGTTCAATATTAATTGCCGGCAAACAAGCCAGCAGAAATCGCTTAATTAAACAAAAAGCCGAGACGATGCATAAACAAGGGAAAGAAAAGGCGTCCCAATATATATAACGTCGCGTTTGCCGATCGATGGGCAAACAAGGCAAGCAAAGGAGGGAAAACATTCAATAAGCGTGCGCGTATGTATATGCATAATGTTTGCCGTTGACGCGCAAATTTGCACTCCAAACAAATTCGACCTTCAATAGCACACCGCGGGCCACTTTCAATATTTACCCGCCGCCATGTTTGTAGAGCCCGAAACGCATGCGCGGTACGCGGCCTGTACAAACAAACTACAGTGATTTTTTCAGGCTGTACAAACCGTCCCTTTTGTTGCTAGCTACTTTATTATCAATTAACCCTATTCGCCCATCCGAAAAATTCCACTCCCTTCTGTTGCCTTAAAGACCGCCCGCTTTTGAAGAGATGCCGTTTTCACCGTCAATTGCCAAGGGGCGTCAACGGTCTCTCCTTTCTGTCAACATCTCACGCGATATTACTGCACTTTACACTTTCTAATCTGCGCATTCCTCACATAACTAAGTTTTATACGGGAGTAAAATTACGGCAGGCCCCCAGATGGCGCTAAACCATTAATATTTGCAGAGCGCTCGAACCGTGCTCCACGTCCCTTTCGAGGGTCTTGCAGACGGGTTTCGAGTAGCCGTTAAGTGTTATGGCTTCGCTCAATGAAGCACTTCAATGCATTCTATCGAAATCACGCCCTTTTATCGTTGAAATTTGCACTTTTCGCTTCGCAACAAGCACTCAACTATTATAAAAATAGAATAGATCCAAATATACTTACGTGTCTCTCTTCCATAACACCTGCAACATGTTCGCAGTCGTTAGTATAAATATTTTCTTCTTAATAAACACACACACACACACAAACTAGTCATACGTAATATATATATATATATATATATAATCTATATATATATAAATTTATATATATATATATATATGTATGGTAAGAATAAATATATAAATATATATATATATATATATATATATATACTCTTAGAATTACACACAAAATGGCGGCGAAACCGTTTTATGGTTATAATAAAACCTTCCAATTAACACTCGTATAAAGAGAAAGAGAAATTTGTCAATATCACAGGTTAAATAAGGTGAAAAATAGGCGGGAAAAGTTAAAAAAACAAACACTATATATACAATATATATACGTTTTGTACATATGATTGCATATATATCTATATATTTATGTATATCTATTTATGAGTATAAAACCGCCCCATTCATGACAAAATCATGAATAATTGAACGTGTTTTATAAAATATATATATATATACATATATACTGTATAAATTTATATGTATATATGTATATATACTATATTAAATAGACATGACGAATAAGAAAAGAGAAATAGGAGGAGATGCAAAAAAATATAAGTTGACGCAGCCTTTGCCTTTGTTATTCCTACCTTTTTCATCTTTAATAGCCCCGGCGGGATATCCTAATCCTCCCCAATAACCATTCGGGATGGCAGTAGCGAGAGAGGTAGCTCCAGCAGATGAACTGGCAACTAAGCCGGCCCGGGCAGCTGCAACAGCAGCTGCAGCCGCTTGCGGCATACTAGTAACAGGACCGGCCTGTCCTGGCGGTGGCATCGGTGGAACCATGTTCTATAAAGAAAAAGCGAAAAAAATCCAATCACGCGGAAACCAAAAGTAAAAACCAATAAAATTTGTGTATGAAAAGAAAAAGTAAATTGAAGGTAAGAAGCAGGATAAATCCGGGCATGCAATAAAAAAAAACAGAAACAATACGACCGGGATATAAAATATGTATGTAAAAATTATTTGTATATTAGGTATTTTAGATACACTTATGTATAAAAAAAAGCAAAAATACATAAATACATAGATATATATATAAAATCAGTAAATAATAATTTACATATATATATATATATATATGTATGTACATACATATTTTGTTTTTTTTTATACACGTATTCAATTTTGATACTAAGGTATATATACAAATTCGCATTAAGGTGTATATACACATACATATATATATATACATATATATTATAAATAAACTGTTAATATATATATATGTATTTAATTTAATTTTTTTTATATAAAATTGTCTATGAATTATCAAGCATGTGAAAGAACATGGTCGTTAAAAACGCGTTAAAGCCGCCATCTTGTCATTATTATTTTTTTCTCTTTTCACCTTTATCCGCCGATGCGGAGCTAGCTGCAGAATTTGCGGCCGGAGCTGCACCGGAGTTTGGCAATTCAGGTTTCAATCCTGGGGGTAAGTGGGCTCCGGGCAATAGGCCGAGTAATGCCGAAGCCGTACTAACACCCGGGGGTCCTAAAGGAACGTGCGGTGCCGCACCATGGGTGGCTGCATGTTGTGCTTGCATTTGTTGCTGAGAGAAAGAAACTACGTCAAAATTTTAAGTTAATATTCTTTCTTCTTCATTTTATCCCGTTTAATTTGTTATTAAGCCAAGAAGAAGAAAGATGTCTACTTATATACATTAAACGAACATTAATTATCAGTTTGATAGGTTTTTAATGAATGGAGAGATGCCTTAAATTATAGACTTTGAACTCAATTGATACACACATTGACATTGAGTGAAATATAGTTGTAATTTTTCTGTGTAATACAAGACATTGTACGCAACCGCACCTATACATTTATAATACGAAGATTGAGTGGATTAGCGCAACAACCGATAATCGAATAAAGCGCGCGAAGGGCGACATTAGCAATTAATCGATATTAGCTTGTATATATATGATTAAGGCTATATATAGTCGGGGAAAAAAGAATAGAGTAATAATAAAGAAACAACTTACCCCAATAATGGCGTTTAATTCTTGCATAGTGACCTGCTTAGCCCTCTCCACAGCCGCTGCTACTTGCTGCTGATGCTCTTGTGATAAGAATGGTATGACTTGCGCGCAAATCGCATTTAATCTCTTGGCGATTTCGGTCTGTTGGTAAAAAAAAAGAAAAAGATAGAATAGAAGATGAGGGCGGTGAAACTCATCAACATCTCGGATTAACGTATCTCTTGGACGTCACGTCCCTCGATCGTCATACGCATTAGATTCGAACGAAGCCGTGTGTTGTCGTCTAGCGTTACCCGTCTAACGTGTCATTTATGCGTGACCAAACGGGACGGCGATAAGCAGAGCCGAGACTGATCCCGGGAGATCGCCTAAATAACATTTCGCCTCTCGCCGCCGGCGAATTTCCAACGAGTCGTCTATCATTTTACGCAGCGTTTAATTACGCTTCGGGAGTAATCGATGGGGGTAGCGAGGAAATTTTTTCTCCTCGACCCCTCCCTTTTCCTTCTGATAAAATACAGAGTTCACGTGATAAAAGTCGCAGCGGAAACCGCCTCTAGATACCTAAAACAACGATTTACCGCCGCCGCTCACGTGACCTTCAATGTCATGTGATTTACATAGTCACGTGACAACTCTCAAGTACCTCAATACGCCGTTAAAATATGCATAAGTAATACGTGCAAGACGCCGTGACCGATTGATAAGCGAAAACGACGCGAGCGTGACTGAGTGTTTTTTGCGTCAATAATAAATGTTTCAGGTTTATATATACTCTTTCAGTATATTTAGATATTAATACTTATTTAGTTATAAAACTACTAGTAAGATATATATGTATATATAAATATATATAGTCATACACCTACAGCTGTATCAAAATATATATCTAAGTATTTAAATATATATATAGGCCGAATGCACTGATTGCGTCCCGGCATGCGTGAGCCAGCTTCAAAATGCCAATTACCCCTGGGGGAAATAAAAGAGTCTCGATAAAAACTCGCACTTTCTCCCACAGTATTTGCCGGACGGTTGACGAAAGTGTTTTTCGCCTGTTTACATTGCCGACCACCCGGAGTGAGACTGGTCGACCCGCCCGTTTCTTTCTACAGATTCGAATAACAGGTCTTGTACTGTGCTTTTCATCGCATCACGTGATTCGCTTTCGAAATGCTACTACCACTACCACCGCCGCCGCCGCCACCAACTCCGCTGCCGAGGACGGAGATGCTAGGGGGCGTGTTTTTTTCCTTTTTTTGAGCGCTACGTCGCCATCTGGCGATTCGAGTATTTACAAAATATATTTTATTTACCTGTTTGTGCATTTCCACATTCAGCCCGTACGACATTTCGTAATACTATATTGATAAAGAAACATAAAATGAAGTAATTAGTAACATATTATCATAATAGAAATCTAAAAATATTTAATATGTGGGAGTAAATAATTTTAAGTGGAAAGGTGAATGATGTCTACTATTTTCGATTACTAAATTAATCGTTTAAAATGAGCCTATAGTCAGAATATGAACTGCTTCGAAAAGCAATACATTTGATCAATCAAGGCTTTGCGGCGTGCAACAGCCAACATTACTTATTCATAGATTCTTGTGTTATTGAGCTGCCGACGGCGCGTGTATAAAGCACGCGTATATATACATATTGCATATATACTTAACAATCTTGTAATGTACACACGCATTAATGCATAGAATGTACTAACCATAACATAATGTCTTTGCATTTCTGTCTTCTCCTGTGCCAGTTTTTCGCATTCCATCTTCAGGCTGTCGCCAAAGAGATACGCGGTAAGTAACTCGTTACTATGGAAACCACTACAAAGGAACGTGTTTGACAAGAGAGTGGTAGTGAGGGCCACTTCTATGCCGACACCACCCTCGTTTTCGAAAGCACCTAGCGTCAATGAGAAATAGGTGCCTCTTTGTCATCGATTTCTCCTCTGCAGCGCCGTTACCGGCGGCGGTACCTTTTTCCTCTAATACACTAAGAAACTCACTAAAATCGGTCCGTCTTCACTATTGTTATCACGCGACTGGTATATTCCTTTGCTAGAACACCTTTAAAACAATCCAAGTCTTGGCAAATTCGAATTAGGCGCCATATTGTGGCCGCCACCACCGCGCGCTGCAGAGGACGGTACAAAAAAAAGCTCCTTTTTCGCCAACTGACTACCCTCTAGAGTAGTTTTAGCTGACTCATGCAGTATAAATACACAAAATGTTGTCAGGTATTACCTGATCGACAAGGGACGACTTAAAAACACTACAAAGGAAGAGTAAAGTGAATGAGCAAGGATGAAAAGAAGGCGAAGAGTTAGATAGAAAAAAGATGATTTTTGACAAGGAAAAACGCTATAAAAGCACGCACGAATAAAGAATAAAAACGTTGAGAGTACACTGTGGCGGTGGTTAAAAAGAGAATAGGAAAAAGTACAGCTTGCAGACCGCCATAAAAACAAAGAGCTATATGTATTACACACATATATATATGTGTGCATATAAACATTTATAGCTCATCGTATGCATTAGATTCGTCTCAGTATCCGCCAGTAAACGCTTTACCTGTGATATTGCGCCTGTAGAAAGCTGAATTCCTCCTTAATTCTATCGCATGATTCCGCTACAGTAAATTTAAACGGTTGTCCAGGTTGATGAGGGCCCTGTAAGCAGTCAATCCGTAATTTCTCCTTTCGATAATCCGAAGAATTGTGTTCACTTACGGGGGGCCTATTCGGATACATGGTGGACAGCTGAGTGAACCAAATAGCCAGTGGATAAATATAGCCGTATATCTAATATCGCTCCTTCTATAAACACTCTCAATCCGCCGTACCTATACCAAATGATTGCCTCTATCGGCCGTACAACACAACATTATTAGTCATGCGCAAAGCGCTCACCTTGTTAACCAATAAGCTTCGGGCGCGCGTATAATCGGATGTCCATCAACAAGTCTGGCTCCGCCTACATTCGTTAACCGTCGATGTAAGCCTAGTTTACGACTTTTTTCATGCTGATTGTTCTGTTTAGAGTCGTTGTTGTGTTTTTTTTATACTACGCCGCTGCGTTTCTGGCGTTAGCGGCTGCGCAATACGATTCGGCCTTGGTAAACATGCACGAGCGTGTGTTGAAGCTTTGCAAATGCCCGAAGCCACCTTACTGAGCGTGTGTGTCATGTTACATCTCAAAGTTCACATACTACACGCGCACAAAAGGTAACACTTTCTAATCAGTAACAGACTTTTTCGTTCACTAAAGAATAGTATAAAACTCTTAAAGCTTTATAGTTTATTTATATCTTTTTCATACATATCCTGTCCCACTATTGGTTTCCTTAAGGCGAGTGATTACACACAACACGCATGCGCGCGTCTATATACATTTAATTGCGTCACAAATGACGTCACTTCCGCGCAATTAGGTCGCGCTAATGACGCAATTTTTGTCACATCCTCGATGCAGATTGCTGCAGCTACTTGACTGTTCACCAACACCGCGAAAGCTGATAGAACAAATCCGCGTCGCTAAATACAATTTGTAGACTTTCCATTTTTCTGACGCTCTGTCAATTTTCCCGCTAAATATCAACACGACAGCAGCAAGAAAATTGCATCATCTCAGTAAAAGAGTGCAGGACATGCAAATATATATATCTGCGTACTCTTTTATTCTTTAAATATATCTAGATATATTTGTAAATATGCATTTATAAGTAAACATAGTATATGTTTTTTATTAAGCTAAAGTTTACTGTTAAATATAGACATATAAATATTCAATATACATATATATTTATATACATATAAATGTTTACACATATAATATCCAATTTAAGAAAAATACATTTCTCTATATGCAAATACAAATACTCAGTAGTTTGGTTATATAATTTTTTTCCTTCAAACGGAAACAACAAATTGAAAGTTTGATATCCAAACAATAACTTGTCAGCATAAAAGAGAAGGAGGTAGAGAGAGAGTCTTCTTCTCCGAGTTAAAGCGCGGCAAACAACGGCACAACGAGTAATTAATGAAGCTTCAATAAAGCGTGATAGAATGAAACAGTTCACTTGACAATTGTGTCAAAAGATTGCTCGTCTGACATCGGCGACTGGTTCGTGTCGTACACCTGCGATCACCTGTCTGCTGACAGTGTATTTAATGAGTTCGTACACGCGTCCGCATGTTGTCCTTTAATTAGCAGCTTGCACGCCTTCATTAAGTCACATTTTTTTTTTAAATTGAAACTACTCGATAAGAAGAGCGGCATTTTTATAGGCGTATAATTAATCATTGAACTTTCCCTATAAATTCTTGTGCAAATGTTTAATTAACACTTCATAGCTTCTAGCATAAATAAATGGTACCTTAACGAAAATAAACGGATGTTTGCTTTGATAAGGAGCTTTTCTGTTAAAAAAAAGGGGTCGAGAATGAAATAGCAGATTATCAGTTTTAATACTTGCCAAGTCTTGCATTGTCTTTCTACTTAAATATATACTCGAATAGGCTGATAAATACGGTTTTTTCGATTATAACATTTGCAAATGAAATTCGAAACACATTGCGCCGAAAGATTAGATAGTAGTTATTGATAAGGTGTAAAAACACTGATTAAATGGCGACCATTTGTATTTTTCCGTTTAACTTATTTAGGCCTATGACTCTGTGGCTAGCTATTCGATATCGGTAGCACATGTTACGTTATAATAAAAATGAGTAATAAATAAAGCGTATTACACACGTAAAAAAATTTTGCAGTCGGAGATTCAGCGCCATCTGGTGATGGGTCGCGTCTCCGCAACAGTTGTTTGAGATAGAGTGTAATAAGCGGCGAGAAATAAGAGCAAACAAGAGCGCGTTGGTTGACAGCTATGCAAACTGAACATACACAACACTTCTAGATAGATCTATCACTAGTAGTTTGTCACGGTCTGTTGATACGTTCCAGTCCGCCAAATATACATATTCAAGGAAGGCACCTTTTCTTTTTGCCTTCATACGGTATTCTAGCGATGATTGCTACTAATCAGCAGATAGTGTCGGATTAGCTTCGATTATCCGCTTTTCTTTCCCGTTCTAATCTGATTTCGCTAATCCGAACGCCATTGCACTTTATACTGTCGCGCTGCCTGGTATTAAGGAATAAAGACGTTTTACGCGTCGATAATTTCTCAGCGCTTGCCGTAAATTATGCAAAACTCGTTATCGGAGAAACGCAAAGAAGCATCGGACAAACAAAGCATGATCTAGATTATTTACATTGTTCGTATTGTGTTTACAGTGCCCGATCGCACTCATTTGTTTGCATTGAGAGCAAATAGAACAATGGGGAATAAGTTGTAAGGAGGCACCTGCTATAGATACAAAATGTCACAATCCAATTTAGCCGCATCGATCTT